GAACCGGCACTTGCTAGGCCCATCGAAATTGCGGCCACAATTCTGCGGACCTTTCAAAATTATCAAGATGGTGACACATGTCACCGCGAAGCTGCTGCTACCCAACGGCTGGCGCACTCACGATGCCTTCCATGTCTGCTTACTTCGCAAGATCGTGCCTGCCGCGACGGCCATCGCTCGCCAACAAGCCGCACCAACGGCACGCCCGGTGCCCGAACCGAACCTTGACCCGTCCAAGATCTTGACGCATCGTGTTCGCCTGGATGTCGTCGGCCGCCACGTGGAAATTTTAATTCGCTAGACTGACCGCACCAGTGAGGACGACACGTGGGTACCATCCGCTTCGCTTGCAGACTCCTCGCTTGTTGTTGATTATCTCGCTCGCAAGCGTGCCGCGTATATTGACCACCTGGCTTAAAGGGGGGGGGGGGGGGGGGGGGGGGGGGTGGGTTTAGTGTAAGGAATTTTCCTGAATTCCTTATCGGGGTTGACTGCTTTGCGTACAGCCCCGATTTTCGGACTCTGCACGTTTGGCCGACATCAACGGATGCCGAGCCTCCTCGCGTCGCCTTCGGCTTTCCTCTTCGCCAAACCTGCACCCAACCTCACTCCAGGGTTCTCGCTAGGTTTAGGGCCTGTCTGACAAAACCCTCAAAAAAATTTTCCCCGTCTTAGGCTTTGACGACGAAATTTGTGTGGTCTGCAGTATAAGATGAAATATTTTTCCTAGTCTGATAAACTAGACGAAAAAAAAAAACCAAGTCAGCCTACAAGAACACTACCTGCAATTATACTCATTCTATCAAACAACCTAGGCAGTAGCTAAGGACCTAGTCAGACTCACTAGAGCCGTAGTCCTCATTGCTATCACTACTACCATCCTCACTCCCCACGGGAACTGTGGCCCGTTCTTTCCTGGTAAGCCACGGGTACTCAACATCCATCCTTGCTGCTTCTGCTACCAGGGCCGCTTCTCGAGCAGCTGCTTCTGCTGCTGCGAGTGCAGCTGTTGCTGCTGCAGCTGCGGCCGATCTCTTCCTCGCACGCTTGCTCTGTCTCTCCCCGGACGCCATCAGCACATCGTTAGCAGGCCTTCGCTTCTTGGAAGCATTCCACCTCCTCAGCAACTCGGGCCACTCCATGTCGTAGTTAAGGAGCGACACAGCCATCAGCTCTCCCAGCTTCGCGTCGCACAGGTTCCCGCGAAGCCAACTCTTGATGATGTTTTGTCGTGAGAAGCCGCGCTCGCACTCGACGGTACTGAGCGGAAGCACGGCGACAGCCATCCACAGGTGGACGAGGTTCGGGTAGCACGTCGCCCAGTCGGGGGAGGACAGCATGAGTTTCAGGCTCTCCGCACACCCGACATCCTCTTGGTGTGTGGCCAGGATGGTAGAGAAGGTGACAAGCTCTCGCTGCGCTCTCGCCCAGTTGATGCCTGCGGTTGGGGTGCACATGGGAACATGGGAACATGTAGTGTTTAGACAAGCATGTGGAGACAACGCTAAACATACAGCTCATTCCCGGCATTTAACGCACCTGGTATAGTGTCAGGGTCATCTGGCTTCCGCTTGAACATGTTGCGCAGAGACTGGAGCCATTGGCCTAGCCGTCGCTCACGCTTTGCCTGGTTCTTGGGATAGAATCTCTGCTTGAACAGCTTCGCCCCGTCGAGGTTTGACAGGTCCTTGAGGCGGTAGTCGAGCCGGCCGACCAGGGTCGTGATGAACTCGCGCGCCAGCACCAAACACGCTTGGTGGTCCACACCGCTCGTCTGCCCCTTGATTTTCTCCTCGTGCAGTCGGTATCGATGGCTGACCGATGTGCCGTCGGAAGCAGTGCCAGCAACGAGGACCTCGCGGAACTCCCCAGATGCGTGCTTGTCGAGGAACGGGCCCAACGCGTCTCCCCCCTGACCAAACATCGCGTCGTCGCAGTCGAGGTAGCGTGTGCGCAGCAGTAAGGTCGTGTTGTGGACCATCGGCAGCACATGGGTTGCCTCAACCTGTAAACGGGGGTGCACAAGCAGGATGGTTAGTAGGAGATTGTAAATGAAAAAACCGGCCACGTGTAACTCGGGAAACTGCTTACCTGACGCCGCTGAAACTTCAGGCTTAGCAGGTTGAGCTCCTTCAAGACGTCAGAAAGGAAGAACAACAGGAAATGGAACTTATAGCTCGTGACGACGTGATACATCTTCTTGTTTGTTTCGTGCAACACCATGACTGCAGCAGGAAAAACCTTCACCAGGCGCTGGATGGCGTCACCACGCGACAACCACCTGACGTCCTTGATGCCTTGAACTTCAAGCTGGGTCTCGCAAATGACCTCCTGAAGCTCTTGAAACCGGGCGTGGTTAACACAGGAACGACCGAGGTTCTCAGCCACGGCGCGGACCACCTTGTCCACGACGCTGAAGTCAGGATGCTTGGCGGCAGCATCCTTGGCCGCCAAGGCCTCCCTGCAAGACAGCAGATGGTAACATTAGCACGGGTTTTTTAAAAAAAAAGTAGGCAGGAAACGCGCAGTAACAACGCCTACCTGTGCGCGATGCAGTGAGACGACACAAGGTGAGGAACCTTGACTTTCAGGCGCGCGGTGACTCCGTTGTGCTGTCCAAGCATGACGGAAGCACCATCAGTGCTCATACCGGTGAGGCGCTGTAGGTCGATGCCGGTACTCTCCAGATGCGTCAGGAGCACTGTGGTGAGTGACGCGGCGTCACACTGCTCCACACTGAGCAAGGCGAAGAACTCCGTCACGGGTGCGTTGTCACGCATGAACGTCAAATAGACGATCATGTGCTTCCCCCGCCGTCGGTCGGTGCTCTCGTCTAGCTGGATGCCAAGGTACGGACTGTCGCGGATGTGCTTCAGCTGGCGGGACTTGAGGTAGCACACCATGGTCTCGACCAGTTGTGCGAAGCCGTACCTGAGACACCACGGGTTGATACTCGTTAGACTCGTAACCAAATAACAATAAAAAGATGAGTAAAACGGGACACTTACTCGCTGTAGTACGTCCCGTTCTCCTTCAGGGGCAAATCCGGTGTCCCCTGCTCTGCCATGAATTGAACCAAAGCCACGAAAAGAACAATGGGAGCATCAGACTTGCAAATGAATAGCACGATAGCCATCAACCGAGCAATACGCTTGACATCAGCGTCCCCACGGTGGAAGTCAGCAATTGACTTCTGCACTTTCTTGACGCCGTCGCGCTCCTCCTTCCTCAAGACCGCGGCCTCGTGTTTCAGACTGTGGTGATGCTTGCGCATCGTCTGCTTCTGGATGTCGATGCCGCCATCGCCGTTACGCCCGTATTTGTAGTTCGGGTCACCGAAGACCATGCAGACGCTGCAGCGCATGCACGGGCGGCCTGCCTTGTTTTCGGAGATGAGGAGCCAAGGAAAATACCGCTGCCACTGCTGCTTGCACTTCAACTGAAGCTCCTCAACCGACAGTTGCTTGCCCTTCGGGTCTTCGAAGTCTTCACTCGCGGGTTCAGGTTCTGGTTCCGCGGGGCGCGGAAGAACTGACGATGCTGGCTGAGTCGGACCGCCCGGACGGCAGACGGTGAGAACACGCTGTTTATACCGCTTCTTCATAGATCTGTCAGGCAAGACGGGGTTAGCACTGCGAGAGGTTGTGGCGACCGACACTGGAGGGATGCTCTTATTTGCACATTCGTCAGGGAGCGGGGGGGATAACAGCGTTGTTGGGGTAGTCGTTGCTGGCACGTGTTGATCGCCATTTTCCGAGTTGGGCAAAGGTACCGCAGCAGAGGTCGACGCAATCGGAGGGGCAGCAGAAGCGATCTGCTTGCCCCGCGTTAGGAAGTCTAGGGCGGAAAGCACGGGCTCCCCATCGCACGGTCCGCCGGCTGTGACGGCCATAGCCTAAACGCTGGGAAGCGTCACGCTGGGAAATCAGACGCTGGGAGGGAAACGATCCATGCTCGGCTGGGAGAGAGGTGAGGACGAGCAGGAGAAACAGGCTTGTTTTCGCGCCAGACCCAGCTGCATGAAACCTCATCACCGTGCACTGCACTCAGAACCGAAAGGCGGTGCGTGTTAGGAGCGGGGGGCACTACGACCACAGTGATGTGTTGCGCGCCCTCTACGAAAAGCAAATGCGCTGGCACAACGGGACAGCGCGTTGTCGTGGCTGTGGCTGGCGTCGGCGCCGACAGCCACCCAAACGACAAACACCTGGCAGCATATGCCGCAGATACATGCCAGCGAGGCTGCACAAGGCAGTTACAGAGCTGTATAAGACACGCGTAATGAATGCGTGCAGTTACAAGGCAGCAATCGGCTGTACCTGTGGTGGTCCTGTCCTCTGGTCAACTGGGCCTATGGCCTAGTGGGTCAAGTTGTCGGTTTCAGACGAAACCGAACTCGCTATCTGTATCCTCAGATAAAAAATTCTACACGTCTGAAAAAATCATACGAACTTAAAAGTCAAATCTTGCTCATCAGATGAGAACAAACACAAAATCTTAGGATTAAGATGAATACAAAAAAACGAGTCTTAAACGCAGACCATCAGACCAAATTGGTCTGATAACGAGAACCCTGCCTCACTCACCCGAAGTTCCCTCCTAGCTAGCCTACTCACTATATAAGCATGTACCTTCATTTTATAATCAGTATGTTCAATCACTTCTCGTTATTCGTTAAAATGCGCACTCTCTTTTACAACTCATAACATGCGCACTCTCTTTTACAACTCATAACACATTAAGTTTGTGGTTACATTTCTTTGCCCTCGTCACTCTGCAAAGCCGCATGCAAACTTTCTCAACCGCGTGACACCGACTGACGCGAAAAGGTTGACGGAAAATTAATTTTGCTTAATTTTGCTTCGGTGTGCCTCTTCGGAACTGGTGTACAGAATGTTGCGATTTTCGTGTGTTGTGTTTTCGCAACTCTTCGCAAATTTCCGCAAGGTTTATGCAGAAAAACATTCGGAGGCCAATTCTCGTAACTTTCCCTTTTCGCGATGACTGAGCCTGCAGCGCTTTCAGAAATCATCGACGATTCGGGAGACAACAGTGGAGGAGAAGCAGCAGCATGTGCGCCCGCGGCGCGAATGTGGCGGTGGGTGTGGTCGCGGCGCGACGTGCTGCTGATGAGCACGGCGTTCCTTTTCTTCTTCGTGGCGTTCAATGCGCTGCAGAACGTCGCGACGAGCATCCACGGCGCGAGCAACATCGGCGCGCTCTCCATGGGCGTGCTTTACGCCGTCATTGTCGTCACCGCGCCGCTCGCGCCCTTCCCCATCCGCTTCTGGCGAGCGCGCGCCGCGATTCTCGTGGCGCAGACGGGGTTCTGGGCTTTTATCGGTTCCAACGCGTTTACTATAGAGTGCGTGGTAGTTTATTGTCATACAAATGGGGATCATTCAATGTGCATCGATGAATTTGGGTCTTAGTTGGGACGGGATTACTAAATAATTGGCAGAAAGCCTATACGGAGGATGCTCTTGATGCCCCGTCGTTCCTTCCCTGACAACAGTCCATACAAGAGACTCATTCCGAACACGTTCTCATGCCCCTAGTACCCCGCGCCCCGTCCCGCCCCAATGCGTCTTCGTGGCCAGGTGGCTGCTTCTTCTCGCGTCGTGCTACCTCGGAGTCTGCTGGTCCGTCGTCTGGGTGGCTCAGGTGACGCTCTTCGTCTCTTTTCCCGTCTCTCAGATGAGTTTGTCTTGTAAAGTGTGTGTGTGTGCGCGCGCGCATGCTTGTGTGAGTGTGTGTGAGTGCGTGCGCGCGTGCGTGTGTATGTGTGTGTGTTTGTGTGTGTGTGTGTGTGTGTGTGTGTGTGTGTGTGTGTGTGTGTGTGTGTGTGTGTGTGTGTGGTGCGTGCGTGCGTGCGTGCGTGCGTGCGTGCGTGCGTGCGTGCGTGCGTGCGTGCGTGCGTGCGTGCGTGCGTGCGTGCGTGCGTGCGTGCGTGCGTGCGTGCGTGCGTGCGTGCGTGCGTGCGTGCGTGCGTGCGTGCGTGCGTGCGTGTGTGTGTGTGTGTGTGTGTGTGTGTGTGCTCTTTTCCTTTTCAGCTGCTCTCCTTCTTTCCTCATAAGCTTAGCACCTGAATGGCATTAATGAAAATCTTTCAGAGTCTCCTACGTCTGCTTTCACAAGATCCCTCCTGGGGCCTTCAACCACTCATCCCCGCGACATGCCTCCTTGTTTTCGCTACGCAGGGAGTGTACCTCGTTGCTGCTGCGGGTGTCTACAGTAAACGTTACAACAAGCCTATGGATGTTGTGGTGACCGAATTTAGCGCCCTTTTTGGGGGAATATTCGCGTTTAATCAGATTATCGGGAACGCAATCACTTTCACCGTCTCGCAACTCTCCTATTCCCCCTCTTCCTCCTCCTCCTCCCTTCCTCCCACCACCGTCACCTTACTCATTATAGTGTTTTGCATCTGCCTCGCTATAGGCTCAGTGCTCTCCTGGCTCCTCCGTGATCTCAAGCCAATAGAAGACTGCCACGTGGACGACGCTACCCTGAACTTCAAGCGCCCAGTCGCCGCGCACGTTCCCTGTCCGTCGATTTCATCCACCAGGGCGCTTTCAATCTTCACCGTTGATTGGGAGGAGATGGAAGTGTTGGTGGAGGAGGAAGTGGAGGAAGATGAGGAGGAAGAGGGGGAGGAAGAGGGGGCGGAAGCGGGGGAGGAGGAAGGGAGGGAAGGGGGAGCGAGGGGTGGGAAGAAGGCGAAGCGGAACTTGCGAGCAATACTGTCGGGCATGGATGAGGAGGGAGGGGAGGGAGGGGAGCGAGGGGAGGGAGAGGAGGAGCAGAGGGGAGAGCATGGGCAGGGTGAGAGGGGAGAGGTGGTTGGAGAGGGTGAGAGGGGGAGTGTGGGTGTAGGGGATGCAGGGATCCCTGACGACTCCTCCAGTGACGTTATACAATCTGCTCCTGCAGGCAATCCATCCCAACCGCATCTTACCTCTCAGCCATCCCGCTCCCTCCGCTCATTCCAAACCTCTTCCTGCGAGTCTACCTCCCGCCGGGCCACCATCCCAAGGCAAACACCCAGGCTCGGCCCGAACCTGGCTTCTGACCCTCGGAGCCAAACCAGATCATCCTCGAGCCTGACCATCAACTCCAGGTCCGGCCGAACCATAGCTTCGTTCCGAGCCCCGTCCCTCTCCCGAACCATGTCCCGGTCCACTTCGACGAACTACTCGAGGCAGCGTACTTTGTCCTCTCCTGTGGCGACCGGGCGGCCAACTTTGACTCGGTCTGTGACGTTTAAACGGATGACGGTGACGGTGGGCGGGGGGATCAAGGAGGGGGAGGGGAGGAACGCGTGGCAGCTGCTGTTTGATCGAAAGCTGCTGCTGCTGATTCCGCTGCTCTTCTACTCGGGACTGCAAGCGGCTTATATCAGGTATGATGATGCGTGCTGCTATACTGCAGGCCGCTTATATCAGGTATAATGCATACACCTGCTGTTAACTGGACGGAATGGTGCATGCTGCCACACTGCATGCCGCTTATATCAGGTATGTTCCATCATTAGATTAGATCATACTCCTAGGCTTGAAGTGCAATAGAGTCGAAGAGGGGAACGAGAAGGCAGGTATGTACAGGGGAAGTCAGGTAAACTCGAAAGTTCTGAACACGCAATGGACGGTGGAGAGGATTGGCAGGTGCAGTTCAGTCAGAAGCTATTTTTCAGGCGCCTTTTTGAGGCGATTTTGAGGCGCCTGAAAGTTACTCTGAACACCAAATGGAGGATGGAGTACTGGACAGCTGACTACCGTTGCTGACTATTATGCTCCCATCCCTCCCACCCCTCCCACCCCTCCCATCCCTCCCTCCTCAGTGCTGACTTCACACGCTATGTGGTGCAGCCGCTGCTGGGAGCGCAGTGGATGGGCGGAGCCATGATGGTCTTTGGAGTCGCCATTGCCGTTGTGAGTTGATATTGCAGTTGCTTTTGATATTATAATGATATTAACTATTATAACTGTTATTACTATAATTAACATTATCATGAATATTAGTATTACTATCAGTCTTATGATTACTCCTACTACTATTATTTAATATTATTATTGTTGTTGTGATTACTATTATTATTATTATTATTATTATTATTATTATTCTGTAAGCCTATGGCACTACTTTGAGCTCCCTCTAGACCTTTTTTTGCAATCCGGTGGCACAGACGAAGTCTTAGGCCAAAACGTGTGTTCCATGCCTCGCAGCTCCCTTGTCCAAGGGGTTTGCTGTCTGTGAGTACTATCGACTTCTCTCCTACTCATCCTGCTGCTCTGCTCTACATGCCTCTAAGTCCACTCCCCCCCCACGCCCCCAGTGTTGTTTCATCGCAGTTCGCTTCGCCAAGGGGCTCTCATCGATTCGCCTCATGCTGCTGCTGGGTGCTGCCTCGCAGACAGCCGTTCTCATCCTCACATGGCTCTTTCAGGACAGGTGAGAGATCCTAGAGGTATGTGCCTTACAGATGGCTCACAGGAATCTTTGAGGGTACTAGTTCACTCTCAATTCCAGCCTTGCCCTTTTCTGTTTCCCCTTCCCCCCTATTCCGCCGTATCTCCTCCCCATCCCTCCTCCTCTCCAGAGCCATGTCCAAGCCAGCAGCATTCGCGCTGGTGTTCAGCTGTGCACTGCTGTGGGGAATCGGCGCCACCGCGTTTCAGTCCCAAATCACTGCGCTCCTGCCGTTGGTCTTCCCATCCGACGTGGTAAGATACCTGCCATTGGTCGAGACCCACTGTTGCCACACATAACGTAGCCCACAGCATACCTCCTCCTCCCCTCTCTCTCACTCACACTCCTCTCATCCTCCTTCCATGCTCGCACCTCTCACTTCTTCTTCCAACATCTATCAATCTCTTTCCTCTCCTCTTCCATATCTTCCTCCCACAATCTCCCCTCTGCACCGCATTGAACACTCCATGACCACACCGTGCGCATGTTGGATCGCCTAGAGCAGTGCTGCCTGCTGCATCATAGACTTCCTCTCAGCCCCCACTCTCACTCAACCCCTCCCACCCCCCACAATCCCCCTTGAACCCTCATTTACTTCCTCTCACGCAGCGTACGTGCATTGAATCACTCAGAGCACTGCTGCCTGCTGTCTCCATCTGCTTCCTCGTGTGCCCTCTCTCTCAAACCCGTTTCCCCTTTCAACCTTCCCATTGCCACGCCTTGACCCCACACAGGACGCAGCATACGCGCATTGGATCTCGTGGAGCAGTGCGGCCTGCTCCGCCTACTTCCTCGCCAGCCCATACATCGCCACGCCCATAAAAAACTCCCTCCTCCTCGTCGTTTGCCCCCTCTCCGTTATACTCGCTGCTGTCGCGGTCAAGATTAGACCCCCAGGACAGGCCACACTATGTGAAGGGGTGTGAGGAAGCGGGAATATGTGGAATTCGTTATGTTTCACAGAATCAAAATTTTCAATTAATTTCTCACAAAAAACCATCTGTCATTCAGCGTTGGGTGTTGGGCGCTGCTGCCATCCTTGTTTTTAGTTGTCTCAACAACTCTCGGTCAATCGGCTTAAGATTTTACGGGAGTTAGTGTGTGTATCCTCCTTGGCTTTCAAGCAGGTGTTAGAAGCTGGTATCCTCTCCTACAAACTAGTATCCTCTTGAGGAGTAGTGGTCGGAGGAAACTCGGAGGACTGAGGAGCGGCGCGCTGCCGCCCCTCGACGCAAGGAAGGCACGGCGGCGCAAGTGAGCGCGGGAGGGGGGGCAGGGTCTTAGGGAGGCCAGAGACCAGGAGCCGGGAGTGCATGCCGCGCAGACGCTGCAGGGAGGGGTGATCAAGACGGTGGTGCCAGCGCTGAGTCTCGTGCGTGAGTACTCTGCACGAACAAGGCGCAGCTAACTGTCCTGATGTAGACGCTCGACTCGACGCAGCTACCTGACCTGACTCAGCCACGTGTGCAGACGCAGTGGTCAGTGTGTACAGACTAGACCCAAGCTGTCGAGTGAACGTAGCTAGGTGACGGCCAATCCGGAAGCACGTACAGATCGCCACACGCTGCCCTCCAGGAATAAAGGTATCAACCCAGACATCCTGAATGGCAGCGTTGCTCACCAAGTTCGTCAAGAACGTGGGGAGGTGGAGACCTGACAAAGAGAAGGAGGGGAATGCTGGGCAAGGGAGGACCGTGGAGGCTCTCGCAACCACTGGGCCCCAAGAGGGGTCAGCCAGTGAGACTGGGACACGTGATGTGAGTGGTGTGACTGTGGTGCAATCACGAAAGAAGCAACGTGACGCGCCTGAGTCAAGCGTGAAAGTGTGCAAGAACTCATATGAGGCCGGACATGTAGTAGTAGACGCACTAGCACCTAGAGCGTCGGTAGACGCACGCGCACATAGAGCTGCAGCAGACTCACTAGCACCTGGAGAGGCAGCAGACTCACTAGCACCTAGAGAAGTAGTCCTAACAGAACGATAACCTCCACCACCAGGACGACCTCGCTGAATAACCCACTCACGAAGTTGCTGAGGGGTGGGGTCGTCCAGGAGAAGCAGTGCCTGCTGCTGTCTACCCCTGGCCGCAGCAGCTGCCACGGAAGTGGCCATGACAGACATTAACTGTTAGGAGTAGGTCCAGCACCTCTAGCTCCTACAGCACCAGCATCACCTCCTGCACTCCCAGCAGCACCTCCTCCACTCCCAGTCGCACAAGTAGCAGCACCAGCAGTAGTAACAGCAGCAGGGCGGTTCGGTGGAGCTGGGAGGCCGCACCTCCACTACTCCCAGCAGTACTCCATCCAGCAGCAGCAGTAGCAGGGCGGCTCGGGCAGCAGCAGCACCAGTAGTAGACCGAGTAGCACTAGCTGTAGCAGCAGTAGTTGCAGCAGCAGTAGCAGTGACAGCTCAGGTTGGGCGGCGCGGCTCGGACAGGTCGGCGCGGCTCGGGCTCAGTGGCGGAGCAGCAGCGGCAAGTAGCAGCAGCAGTCGGCGCTCAATAGCAGCAGCAGCACCAAGTAGGAGCAGCTGCAAGAAGTAGCAGCAGCAGTAGCAAGGAGGAGCAGCTGCAGCAAGTAGCAGCAGCAAGGAGGAGCAGCTGCAGCAAGTAGCAGCAGCAGTAGCAGGGCAGTGCAGGTGGCAGCAGCACTGCAGCAGCAGTTCAGACGCAGCAGCGAAGCAGCAGCAGCAGTAGCAAGTGCCGTACTAGTAGCAGCAGCAGTAGCAAGTGCCGTAGTAGCAGCAATAGCAATAGCACTAGCTGTAGCAGCAGGAGCTTTAGTAGCAGCAGTGACAGTTCAGGCTGGGCGGCGCGGCTCGGACACAGTGGAAGAGCAGTAATAGCAGTTGTAGCAAGTGTGGTAGTAGCAGCAGCAGCAGTAGCACTAGCTGTAGCAACAGTAGCCTCGGTCAGTAGCAGCTGTAGCAAGTGCCGTAGTAGCAGCAGCAGGAGTAGCACTAGCTGTAGCAACACTAGCTTCAGTAGCAGCAGCAGTGAGTAGCGCTAGCTGTAGCAACAGTAGCATCAGTAGCAGCAGCAGTGACACCTTGGGCTGGGCGGCGCGTAGTAGCAATAGGTGCGCGTGGGCTGTGGGCGATCAAACCAGGGGCGCGCAACAGGTGCACGCGGGGCAGCTCTACAAGGGGCGCGCAGCAGGTGCGCGCTAGGGGCTGGCGGGTAGCGTGAGTGGCGCGCGTAGCAGCAGGAACGAGGGGGGACCGGGCGTAGGGCGCGAGTGGCGTACGGGGCAGCTAGGCCGCGGTCAGAAGGGGTCGCGCGTGACTAGGTAGCCTAGGGGACGGGACGCGCCTATGGCAGAAAAACGTCTCGCCTAGGGCGCGTTTCGCGCTTCGTGTTTCTCCTAGGGGCGCGACTCGGGCAGCAGTTCGAAATCGTAATGGTGGGCTCGGTAAAATATTTGATCCTTAGGAGCATTTCGCTCTTAATACCATGTTAAAGCTAGGAGCTAGGTGAGAATGATCGATTAGGTAAGGGGGGGGGGTACAAGGACTATCGAGAGTGAATATAGTACCCTCTAAGGAAAGAACCCTACACAACCTAGAGTGAAATAAGCAGAACAATATGTTTTGACAGAATGGCCACCAATGGTTGCGGCTGACTGTTTTCGGCTGTGACGGTTCGACGTGGTTCAAACGCTGCGTGTGCGCGATGAAATGAGCGCTTGCATTGGTTGATGACGCGGAGGACTGACAGCTGGGTAACTGACGCTACACTGGGATGAGTCCTTCGCAATTTCATGGTCAGTGATATAGTTAGTTGGTTTTCCATAGTAGGAAATGTTAGCGAGTTCTATGGAATGAAAGAAAGAACGACATTCCACGTTAGTATACTCAGAAGAGCGACGGACTCGGAGGCAGGAAGTTCTGGATATAGCCATCTCTCAAGATGGTACTCGCACTCTAACTGTGATTGTAGTCCTCGTGGCCTCTGATCTGAGTATTGTCAGAGAAACGACTCGAGGACTGGGCCCACCGGCCTGCCGCGCGTGGACTGGGGTTCCCGCCAGTGTGATGTAGCCTCAGCTCGGCAAGTTACCAATTTTCAGATAGCTTCCATGGATTTCCGCCCGTGATTGCCAAACTTGGGCACCATTTTGTCGCCACTGATCGCCACTGTCGCCACTGACTGCATCTCTGCATGAGCCGAACTCTGTCTCTGTCAACCAGACATTTGTTCGCCACCCTATCAGCTTAGCTGAACGAAATCCTCGTTTGAAAGAGCTCTACTACAAGTTTTGCTTGGATATCAACGTTCCAGCTATGAGGATCTGAAGTGAAAAAATAAATATTTGACTAGGAATCCTAGACCCGTGCTCTCACATGCTCAAATCTGTGTATTAAATATCAGATTTTATTATATAGTTTTTATTCAGCCCTTTCAGCTACAGCGGCTATAGCATTGACTTATTCGTTTTAAAATACTCGTATGCTAGTATCATCCCTTATATAAAAGGAGGTTGTACCGGGGATACACCAGTGGATGCCAGTTGGCTATTGTGGGGAGTGTGGGAGCGGGTTCCCCCATACTCGCAACAGTGTTGTGCTATCCTTCATGTCAAATGCATGGAGCGCTGACCTCCCAACCGCCACAAACTCCCAACTCAACGCTGTCACGCCTCCACTCTTGAAAGCCTATTGGCTGAATGTGAGCTGGTAAGTGCTTCGAGGTGGCACTTACGCTAGTTGCTCTGTTTCTTCAGGTGAAATCAGGTGTTCTTTTTCATCCCACCCACACTGCAAGCTCCACCCTCGCGGCGCACATGGTGCTGAAATTCCAGTTCACGCACCGCGTGGCGCAAAATCCAGGCTGCACAACATTCGGTTCCAAGTTCCTTCATTCCCGACACACACTTGCCATTTTCGTGAACCACTTCTCACAAGCATCTCTGCCCATATTGAGCTTAGCGAAGTTCAGCTAGGGGGATTACTACATTTTCCAGGTGCTAGGACTGTCCGTCGCGCCCCGTAAGTCCGCGTTGTCGGTGTTTCGTTCCCTACGTCATTTTATTGGTCTAAATCTAATCCGTACGAGTTTAGTAGAATATCATCCCTTCTCTGACTCCAGCATCAGACACACAGCCTTCGCCGCATTTCATGCACGAAAAGCCAACACCCAGCCAGCAGCCATGAACCAGCAAAGAAGAGCCCGCCTCATCTCGAGAGCCTCAGTTACCTTGTCGCTTCTACTCCTCTCGATTACTCTATTCGAGCCGAACTCGCATGATCGCGCGCACGCAGCGTCCGTACTTCCCGGTCAGACCGTCATAACCGGCGACAATAGAGCGCATCCACTACATTCCATCCTTACCGCCCCGCTTCGCGCTACACGACGACCGTTGCGAGACTCCCTCAGAGTCGGAAACCCCGAGGTATCCGATGACGCACAGCGTGAGAGGCGGGAAGGGGCGGAGGCCGTGACGCAGCTGCAAGCTCCCCTAGAAGGCGCCTCCCTTGAATCGTTGCTTGTTCACCCGCTTTTAAAGCCGCGTCCGCAGCGCCGAACCGAGTCGCCCGTCTCGGAAATGTCCATCTGCCCGACCTTCCAACCAGGTTCGGGGACCCTGAGCGAAGTTTCGGCGTGCAAGTGGTCGGCACCTGCGCAGGCTAGAGAGGGTTCGCTTCCCGTCGCGAATGATCTCGCAACATTCGCCTCGCGGTTTCGCGAAGACGAAAAGTTGCATTCGCGAACGCAATGTCGCCAGCGGCCGTGGCTATGGCCGTGGCCGTTGCTACACGTGGGCGACGTGTGCGAAGGGGAGGGTGAAAACGGCGGCTCCGAGGAGCCAATTGACGATGAGGTTCCCCCCAGTGTGACAGACGAGACGGGTAACAGCTCGATCCTTCTTTTTCGTGACGTCTTCGTCAACGGGAGGGGCGTCGTGTTCAATGCGAGCCACGTGTTCGAGTTTAGCGCCTGCGGCGGCGGCGCTGGCGGGGAGTGGAAAACGCGGACAGAAAAACAGTCTATAGCGGAGATGTCTTACCCTGCGGGAACCGTTACTAGTGTTCACGAGCATTTAATCAACTTGCTACCTTATGAGGAGGCCGACGGGTGGGCTGAGCTGGCGGCGGAAACGGGGGACTCGGCGCAGGCGGAAGGGGGGAGCGACGGCGGGGGAAAAAGCGCGTGGAAGGAAAAAGCTCGCGCGGTGGGCGGAAGCGCGAAGGAGCGGCAGCTGGCGCGGCTGCTGCCGGTGCTGTTCCTGGTGTCGTCGTCTCTCATGCCCACTGCGCGCCGATACCCGCTGCTGCTGCGCGATCGACGGGTGAGCCTATGCCAAATTCACGAAAATACTAGCGCCCAATCAGATCATATCGCTCATGGAAGCATGATTGCATCATTATCAGCTCAGTTGACAATCCGCCTCACAGTCGCCTCTCCGCTAACTCTTCTCTCCTCCCTGTTTCTTCCTCTCCCCCTCTTTCCCTGGAATGCCTGCTCCCTTCCCCCAGTTGCTACACCACGTGCGCATCGGGCTCTTCGGAGTGGATCTCGCCGCGCTCTCCATCCCCCTGGACGCCACGTCAGCGTATTCCACGTCAGCAGCTGCGCGTCCGCACCTGTTCTTTGCGAAGAAGCTCTACCTCCCGCTCCACCCGGACTCTCTCTGCGGATTCGCCGCCTCCCCCCGCCCCCGCTCCCCCGACCCCCTCTGGCGCACCCTCCGCGCGCACCACCTCCTCCCCCCAAACGGCTTGCCGATCCTCAACCCGAACTGGGTGCCTCGGCTGCCGAACCAGCATCTGAACCAGCAGGCTCGGGCGCACATGGTGGTTGGGGAGGCTTTGCGTCGGGATTGGGTGGTGGTGGTGTCGCTGGTTTGGAGTGTGCATGGGGGGAGGGAGGGGCAGGGGGTGGCTGGGGGGGAGGATATCGGATTGGGGGAGGGGGAGCTAGCGGAAGGAGGAGCAGGCGGAGGGGAGGGCGCGGAAGGTGACAATAAGGAGGCGGCTGACGCGATGAACCGTGTGATTGTAATGATGCGGGAGCTCTTCGGCGAGGCGCGCGTGGTGGTATACGACGAGCACGTGCCGCCACTGCAAGCCAAGGAGCTCTTTTCCCGCGCGATTCTGTTCGTCGGCCCGACGTCGCCCGCGCTGTCGAATCTCATCTTCATGCCCTTCAACTCCACGCTCATCGAAGTCCTCCCTCGCACCGTCGCCATGGCAGCCGCGTCCATCCCTGTTGTCGGCCAACAGCGGGCTGCCACGTGGCACTTCCACCTCGCGTCCCGCCTCGGGATCCATCATTTTCTCTCTGCCTGTGATCCGACTAAGGTGAACTGGCATTCTCAGGAGCACTGCCACGTGGACGAGGTGTACGGTACAGTCACCGCGATGATCCGTAACAACCCTACACTCCACGCGTTCACCGGGTTACCATCCGTCTCCTTTCCACCGGACGAGCCTGCCAGCTTCGGCGACTTCCGAAGCAGGATCCCAGGCTCGAGGCTCAAGCCCGGAACAGGCGAAGCGGCAGCGTTCAAGCAGTGGATGAGCTGCGTGGCGGAGCGCGGCGAGTGGCGGTACAACGCGACGCCGAGGGTTCTACCGTGGGAGGAGAAACAGGTGCAGAGCTGCGACTCCCGACACATGAAGCAGGGCGGAGTGGCAGGAGTCCACGCGGACAAAATCGCAAACTCGGGATGGGATCCCGCTGCCGCTGCTGCGGCGTGGAAGGTTCGAGAGAGTCTGAAGTACCAGTGGGTGGTGCCTCGGGAAAAGTGTGCTGGAGTTGTCGGGGGCAGGCAGGCGGTGGTGGGGAGGGAGGGCGTGCAGGGGGAGATTTTCTCGAGGTTCGACGGGCGTGCGCTTTGCGAGCTGGCCGCGCGGAGGAAGGATGGGCTGCGGATTGCTTTTATCGGGGATTCGCTGACCCGCGAGCATCACTATTCGTTTATGAATAACATCATTAAGCACATCCCCAAGCCTGCGGTGGGGACCATAGTGAAGCGGAAATGCCTGGAGTGGATCGATGACACAGTTACAGTTACATGCGCTGGTTACCGCATTGAGGGGTGCCCAAAACTGGAGATACACTACGTGGCTACAACTCGGCTGATGCGTGTACAGGAAGAGAAGCTAGAACGAGCTGCATGGCTCCACGTGCCATGGCAGCAAGTCCCTGGAATCAGAAATTCCCATGTGCTTATAATGAACCGGGGTGCGCACTACAAGCCAGCAGTGAAGGTGGTGAAGGCAGTCAGGCGAATCTTCAGATTCCTTCGCCATAATCACCCTGACAAACTCCTTATCTACCGTACAACACCTCCCGGTCACCTCAACTGCCTGAACCACACCCGGCCAATCACAGAGCGGCAGGATGGCACAGCGTTACCGTTCAGATGGGGAGAGTTCAAGCAGCAGAACGAGATGGTGAGAGAGATAGTGGAGGATGCGGGAGGGTTGTTCATGGATGTGGATCCGATGATGGCTTTAAGACCGGATGGGCATAGAGGGGTGGTGGCTAAGGATAAGGTGGACTGCCTGCACTACTGCCTGCCAGGCCCGGAAGACACGTGGTCTGAGTTCCTGTACAACATCATCCAGAGGCTCGTGCCTGTCCAGTGAGCTTCCGAAGTGATCATCGTGGGGTGCCAGCCACGCTTCCAAGACACGTGGCCTGAGTTCCTGTACAACATCATCCTGTCCTGAGGCTCGTCCCTGTCCAGTGAGATCTTACTGAGGTGCCTCAGAATGTGGTCGGTACAGGAGAGTGAGGGGATGCCCCCTACCATCAGGGTCATGATAAAAAACGGGGGTCAAACTTCAAGATTTCATGCTAAAATTCCTGAAATCTGAGGCCCTGGCTACCGTATGTGAAAGAATTTAAAGGGAAAGAGCAGAAGTACTGGGCTGATGGGAGGAAGAGGAAGAGGAGGAAGATGCAAACCAACTTCATCAGAACCCAATCAAGAGATAGCTGAATTTATTTTCAGTTTCTTTTGGCTATAATGGCATTAGCCTTATCCTGATAGCGCAGTCCTCACAAAGCTGAAAGTGGAATCTTGTGTTTCTGTTCGGAAATAAGGGCGTGTAAAATCGCCGCACCTAAAAATTCGGCCACAAGCCAAATGGCCGAATTGGCGCAAGTAACCCGTTTGCGGAAATTACGAATATGCTCGCGATTGTCATCAATTTCGCCAATAAAAAACGAAATTGATGGCCATTTTGAAAGTCGACTCGTATCCGACACCAGGTCGACTCCAATTCGGCCAAGTAGTCGACACCGTGAGCGACTGTCACGTTCCACGTCGCACGGTCTCGCAAAACGACTGAATGTTTTTATCCTGTCCAATCAGAGATTGAAACATCAAATGTGCGACCCCGTCGTACATACGTTCCTACTGTAGCAACTGCAAAATTTACAACCTTTTGAAACCGGCCTGGAATTTGGCCCCTCAAACCTGTAAAGTTTGCCAATCTGCAAGTAGTGGCTGTAAATGTGACGACACGAATTCGACCAATCCGTCGACTTTCGCGAAAGAAATGTCGACGAGAGATGGTCGACGTAAAACCGGCCAAAAGCAGATTTAGCATATTGGCAGGAATTGTACACGCCCTAAATTTCTCCCTTCTCTATGGAACGGTTTAGAACGGTACCATGAGAATATAAGAGAATCTTCGAACGCGCTGTAAACGTGATGCCGATTGCGATTTTCGTGTCCTTATTTTGTTTCGAATCTGGAATGGAATGCCTTTCTTCCCTCCCTCCCATGTGCCCACACGCGCACTTGCGTGCTTGACGGCACCTTTCCCCGCAGCAAATGAAACCCGTGATTGCGGAAACGATGCAATCCCATTTCACCCCTCATAACTCCCTTCCATCCGGACTAAGCTACAAGAGGATAACTTTCTGGATTAGCAGTATACGTAGACTGCCAGGCTATTACAGCTCACTCCACGGGCTTACCCGACCGAACTGCTCTTAGGACACACTTTTTCTAGCGCGTGCTTGTCGCCGTGTAGATGTTTGTTTCGTCGCTGAGGGTGCTCGTTGGAGCATCCAAGCAAGCGCTGCAGATAACCATTATCGGATTTGCAACCCTTCCTCCCCCTATTCGGAGTCGCGCTTTCCACGCACGTGGCCAGGGTCCGTCCAACGTCTTGCTGCTTCGCCATCAGGGTTTCCCACGTGAATCGTACGTCCTGACTTTCTCGCTTCCGCTTACATGCCACGTGCCGCTCAGTTTCGCGAATCGTATCGCCAGAATAGGGTCGTGTGGGACCCAGAATGCGGTGCTGCACGCCGGTTCGTGACCCAAACCGCAAAACGCCTTTCAACGAGATGACGTTGTTTACCCAGTATGTCGTCAGTGGGTCGGAGTCACGCTTCGCCTTTACACATCTTATCCGACAGTGCTTCGAAGAGGTGCGAGAGGCGGTTCGCTGTAGATCTTATCACTAGACACCTTGACTGAGGTGCTGAATCCGCCCTCAGTCCCGCTTTGGTCATGGCAGGCAGCGGCCGTTCGAACCGACGTAGTATCGTCCCCTCCTATTGCGCGACTTGACCTATTTGCACTTGCCGAGTGGTCTACTGGCTTGTTTTTGTTGGAGTGGTTTCTACGAACCACACTAACGACGGCGAGAAATGCGGACCTACGGCGACTTATGGCGGTGACGTGTGGAAGAAGCGAGAAGGAATTACTAAGAAGCGTCTAAGATTACTTGGCGTGTGGTCTACGCTGAGGGGAAAGGAGTAGAAACGTAAGGAAGAAATGGGAACGTAAGGAAGTTACGGGGGAATAGAGATGGGAAAGTGAAGGAATTGGTTTGACGGGGTAGGAGTTTGGGTTGAAACGATGGCGTGGTTCACAAGTTTCTGAAATTCGGACTTCGGGAGTGTTCGACGAAGGAGTCGTGGTTGCGTGTGCGACGCGACGTGAAACTTGGAGTGTGGGGTAAGTTTGGTTACAAGGGAGGTTGCTTGTGGAACACGTTTTGGGTTCAGTTACGTGGGTGCATTGGGATGAGTATAAGTTAGTTGTACCAGTCAGTTGAAATATACACTTGGAAATTCTTTGATTGAAGGTGCAAGACAAGCACTGGTGAGATTGAAAACTTAGTGAAACGTTCTCAGAATTAACTGCTGCGCATATCGTTGGAATCGTGAGAACGAGGAGAACGTCATCGACAGCAGCAAGCAGACTTTTGTCGATTGAGGCGTCAACGATCCTGACAGTTTTGGCTTCCAGGCTGTCAGATCAGCGTTTGTACGATCAGCACGTGGGGCTCCACGTTTCGTCGGTTCAATCCATGCGAGTCCTGTCCTATCAGCATTTGCCGCGACCTTCGCCCATGTCGTGCCGTTTCCTCCCTCATCTCGAAAAGCAACTGAACCTCGATATCGCCGGCGGCCAGGCCACTGTTCTGCGCTGCCGCAGTGGCGGCGCAGGGAAAATCCGGTCTAAATCAGTGTGGGGTCCCATGTCGTCAGCGTCGTGGATCCTTCGCCTCGCGCCTACACTCCAAGAACCGCCCATGTCGGCTTCTCCCCGTGAGTGCATCCTCTGTCGTTTTCCCGGCAAAAGCCTCCACTTTCGTACGGCTTCGGTTGTCTGAGGCCGCAGTAACATGGATTGCACAGTTCCGCCGCCGTTGCCGTTGCCGCGCCGCGCGGCCTCTACTTTCATACGGCGGCTTCAGTGGTCGCTTTTCTTTTTCCCCTTGGCTGGGGTTTTGTATAAAAGGGAGAGTCGCTTTCGACACTGAGCAGCAGAACACAGCATCCTTTTGCGATAGAAAAGTCCTCCCGCAACAGCCCAGGGCTGCGTGCAAAGCGTTTTCCTGTGAGAGACTCAGTCTACCAAGACTCATATTGCTTTCCCTCCAGCGCTGGTTCTTACAGCGGACTGGTTTCTTTTTTACCCAGCTCTTAGCTTCCAGTACTCTTCCCTGCAGAAGAAAGGCCCTTGTCTCAGGCAGTGCCTGTGACGAGCAGGGAGTTCGGATTTCACAAGCAGGGAGTTCGGATTTCACAAGCAGGGAGTTCGGATTTCACAAGCAGGGAGTTCGGATTTCACAAGCAGGGAGTTCGGATTTCACAAGCAGGGAGTTCGGATTTCACAAGCAGGGAGTTCGGATTTCACAAGCAGGGAGTTCGGATTTCACAAGCAGGGAGTTCGGATTTCACAAGCAGGGAGTTCGGATTTCACAAGCAGGGAGTTCGGATTTCACAAGCAGGGAGTTCGGATTTCACAAGCAGGGAGTTCGGATTTCACAAGCAGGGAGTTCGGATTTCACAAGCAGGGAGTTCGGATTTCACAAGCAGGGAGTTCGGATTTCACTAGCAGGGAGTTCGGATTTCGCCATTTGGTTGTTACGTTTAACCATGGAAGCTTCCGAAACAATCCCGCAGCGCCGTCACAGTGTGCCTGCACTGGGACAGAGGACTTGCACCGCTTACTGTGACTGCATCTGCCACGGAGCAAGCACTTCTGCCGCCACTGAAGTTACCCGCAACGCACCCGAGCGAATGGTTGCGCCCAACGGTGATATGGGAGGCCACGAGACCAGTTTGCTTTCCCTCAACGCGACTCACTTACAGGCGAATCCTCTGCAGCAGGCAAGTAACTTGGTCGACTTAACCAGAAGCCAGCGGCTCGGATTGTTGACAACGAAGGCTAACCATTATTTGGTTGGGCTGAACAGAAGCTGCGAGGCTGACTCGGACGAGGAGGAGGAAGATGAGGAGGAGGATGAGGAGGACGAGGAGGAGGAGGCGGGCTTTAAAGACATGGAGGAAGTGTTGTGGCAGGGGCAGAGGCGGCTGGTGCTGGGGACAAGGCATGGCACGCCGTGCTCGTTCCCCCGTGAAAGGATAAGTGAATGGCGAAGTGAATGGAGGAGCCGCCGTTCACATGGCGGTGATTCCCTGTACCCATCGTCGGCCTCCCTGCCTTGCTCCTTCCCTCCTGGGCGCATCAGTCGTTGCCCTGCTGGCAATGATTCCCCGTACCCATCATCAGCCTCCCTGCCTTGCTACTTTCCTCCTGGGCGGGCCAGCCATCGCTCTGCTGGCGGTGACCCTTCGCACCTGTCATTGGCTGCCCTGCCTTGCTCCTTCCCTCCTGGGCGCATCAGTCGTCTCTCAGCCAGCGGTGGAACTGAAGCAACGTCCTTCACCACCACGAGGCCCTCCCTTCGGGATTCCCGTAAACTCAGCCGCAGCTGTTCTGCTGCTGGCTTTCGTGCTCCTGCCCTCTACCAAGTGCTCCCCTGCTCCCCTGCACTCCACTCATCGGCGCACCGCAAGGGAGAGACACGGTTACCATTTTCCCTGTCCCCTGATCTTCTGCACTCCATCCGTGATGCTGCTGCAAGGGCTCCTGCTCGCTTGCTTGTGCATGGTGCTGCTTTGTCGGGTGACAGGCAGAATGATCAGAGGGCTGTTGGTGATGATGATTCGGGACGGAGCAACAGCCGGCCGTACCAGCAGGTGCGGAGACACTCGGATGGCTCAAGTGCCAAGAAGAAGACCGAAGCTAGCAGCAGCCGTGGAAGCGCAGAAGAATCTTCCTACATGGCTAGGAGTGACCGAAGCATCAGCATGACCGCTCGCAGCTGCAGCTTTCCAGGGAATTACAAGAGCCAGGCATCAAGGAATACAACCCCCTATTGTGAGCCGGAACGACATGCTGTCAGAGATGGTGGGAGCTGGAGGGAGACACCTTGGTGAGCATTAGAGGAGTTTTTGGGTTTACAGACGTCTCGAAAGTCGTCTACAGGAGCCAGGCGTCTAAGGGTACCGTGCTACAACCCGCTCTGATGCGCCGGAACGACATGCTGTCAGAGATGGTGGGAGCTGGAGGGAGAGACTCGCAGTTGCAGCTTTCCAGGAAAGTACAGGAGCCAGGCGTCAAAGAGTACCGTGCTACAACCCGCGCTTATGCGCCGGAACGACAAGCTTTTAGAGACGGTGGGAGGTGGATTGAGGGAGAGACATTGGTGAGCAATGAAGGTGTGTTTGACCCCTAGCCTCTCAGGAGGACATGTCTGTGCGGGATGGTGCAGTGTCAAGCAGCAGAGGGCCTTTGAGGCGCTTCATTGCAAAAAGTGGGACAGGGCATGGCATGCCGCCTGCTGCTGTCTGGAAAACGAGTCCGCAGAGGGTGGTGCAGTGCCAAGCAGCAGAGGGCGGCGCTTCCCAAGCAGAATAATATCTGCTGCCTAGTTGGGCGCGTGGCGAGCACATGCGTGCTTCAGCCGGCACAGGAGGAGCCTGAATTGGCAATTCGGCTTGTGCCAAATCAAGTGAGAGTGAGGTTGGAAAATGTCATGACCTGCAATAATGGGATTGCATGAGATGAGAGCAAAGGACATGGGTCCCGATATGTGATGTGGTGATGGCATGGCAAGCGCTCTTGGTGTGACTCAGCTGTAGGTCACAACAATCGATAGGCTCTCAATATGACTCTGTTATTGCATGCCCGCTGAGTGGAAATGGGCAAGGCATGCATGTAGAGAGACTGTTACTGGCCAGTCGGTCGGTCTCACTTTAGATTGGCTCTTTCATTGCTTCCCCAAGGTACTGTACACTCATATTTATCTCAAAAGTATGAAGAGTATGAGCCCTCGCTTTCAATTCGTTTTTCAGCACACCACACAGACATAGTGTATGTCACTTCAAGGACGGGCTTGTCCTGTCATCGTAAGTCTTTAGCAGATGGCAGGAAAGTATAGGTACTTACTTAGCACCTAGAAAAGATACCAGGCAGCTGGCGTTTGCCGCAAGATTTCCTGCGAAGGCAGCCCGAGGGTTAAGTGCTGCAGACAGCAGCAACAGATTCAGACAGCACGGTAAACATTTGCACCAGTACGAATTCTCTTCTTTTTAGAAAGCTCCGACTAGTGCCTTGCGTGGATAGGTGCGGCCGTTGTCACTATAAGAGGACGAAACGCCAGCAGCCAGCTCTATAGCGGAGGCAGTTTCATCGTCCAGCGCTTCCGCGCGCACAAAGCGACAGAAGGCGCAGTCCGAGTGGGCGAGGTCGGTACACTTATAGTCGTCTACAGTACCGTCGATAAACCCCTCGGCGTTGTCGCCAGGAACCACTTGGGTCTTGAAAAGGTTGCTCCACACTAGCTTCTGCCGCTCACTGCACCAACAGCAATGGAGAAGCAGCAGGAGCAAGAAGAGCAGAAGGATGAGTGGATGTGAAGGGAGTGAGGGCTAGGGGGAGAGGATCTAGCGGGAAAGGGAAAGCGAGAGAGAGGAACAGGTACGGTTAGTCAGGAAGGGTGAAGCTGGGAGCAAGTGCGCGAGTAAGGGAGGGGATAGCAGAAGAGAGACCAGTGCGGGGAGGGGAGGATGGAGAGAGTGACGAAGGAGCTGGGGGAGGGGAGGGAGAGTGGGGATGGGGAGTGAGGAGGGGGTGGGGAGAGAGGAGGGGGTGGGGAGAGAGGAAGGGGTGGGGAGAGAGGAAGGGGTGGGGAGAGAGGAAGGGGTGGGGAGAGAGGAAGGGGTGGAAGACAGGCGACTCACAGCCGTCCGATGAAGTCAGGTCGGAACGTCTGACCCAGCACGCCGTGCACGTTGGGCGACAGCTTCGCGCTCAGCACGTCCACCGTGAAATGCACCACGCCGTCGTCGTCCGTGCGAAGCGCTGCGATCTCGGGTCGCAGCGTCAGCCTGAGCGACAGCACGTCGCCTATGCGAACTTCGTACTCGTCAACAAGCTCGCGCTTAGCGGGTTTTTTTGCAGCTGCCCATCGCAGCTCAACCTGCCCGTCGAAAAAAGAAACGACATCCAGGTGCGAGCCTGGCCGGCCAAGTTTCACGTCGTCCGAGTCAGCCGACAGCCGTTGGAGGTAACCGTTTCGGTAACCAGGCTCCCACCCTTCGCGCGCCTCGAAAACGATCGAGTGGTGGCCCCACAGAATCGAGATCTTTCGCATCCACGTCAGCGCCTTGTTGCGTCCCTCCCATTCGCCCCACCGCCCCCCGAAGTGCGCGTTCACTGCCACGTGTACGTCCGAGATCAGCGCGTAGTCCTCGCCTGGGCGCCCGCTGAAATCGAACCGCGACCCGTCAGCTCCGACAAAGTGCGGGTCGCCTGTTCCGTTCGCCGGGCAGATTTTGCCGACAAAGTTGACGGCCGGCAGGTTGCTGTCGTCTTCTGACGGCCGCACGAAACGGCGGCCATTGCACGCAGCGGCGCCGAAACAGCTGCAGAGTCCTGCCAGGGAGGGAAGCAGGAAGGAACGACGAGGGACCATACGCATGAGTAAGGACTTGGTTCGGATTTTGAGGCGTCTCAAAACCCCAAGAGCCATATCCTAGCAACTAAAAAATCAAGGGCCATCTATGAGCGACTCATCGTCACTGCGTCCGCGTACCTCCGGTGCTGACATCGGTGAAGGGCTCGTACTGCCAGTAATCTATGGGGCTCGCCGCGCGCGTTGACTTTTAAGACGACTCGAAAGTCAAGAAACAAGGTCAATCTCTGAGCGAATCGAAGTCATCGCGTCCGCGTACCTCCGGTGCTGGCGTCGGTGAAGGGCTCGTACTGCCAGTAGACCATGGGGCTCGCCGCGCGCGCCCGTCCAGGCCTCTGGTTGCGGTTCTTGCACTCGCGCCAACACTCCATGCTGTTGCCGTCATCGCTGCGGCGGCCGTCGTTGGAGGAGTTCTCTCCAGCGAGAACGACGGAGTACCTAGGATCGATCGACGTGTCGAATCGGCCGTTACGGTGCGACCCGGCTTGGCACGGGAATAGAGGGCACCCGCGGCACCTCTTGTTGGGGCTGCGCCTCTCACGGACGGAGTTCGTCGTCGTTCCGTCAGGAGCTCCATTTCCGTCAGACCCCGGCGTCCCGTCAGAATTTCCGTTACCGTCTGCCGGCTGGGGCTCGTTTGGGGACGTCTGCGAGGGTTCCGTCACAGAATCATTGGCGCCGTCGCCAGGGCTGGTACTAGTGGTGTCGCCGTTAGGGTTATTGACAGCAGGATCTCCAACGTCGGGGTTGACGGTGAGGTTAGGATTCGCAACAAATCCAGAGTCTTGGCCACTGGCAGGATTGGTCACAGATTCATTCTGGATAAGGTCACTAAAATTCGCGATGCTGTCGGTTTGAGCTCGCGCTCTGGTTGTGCACAGAAGCAGGGAAAGAAATAGGCTCAGTCGACAACTGATTTCTGAAATCTTCATTTTGTTTGTGCAGGCAACGCTGGCGGGGTCCCGGGCGGTGCTGGTGAGAAGTGCGGGTGCGATTGGGGCGAGATGACAGCAGAGGAACTTCGCCCGTGTCAGACGAGAGCAGATGAGATGATGAGAAACTGGCGGGATGAAGCGCAGATTTTGAGCTTTCAATCTGTCGGGTGTAAGAACGAGACGCGGATTTTCAATTGACCTGCGGTTTCTGCGAGCCGCGGAGGGCCGAAATGAGGCCGAGCCGCAACCGAAAACAGACAAAACAGACGACTTAGACGAACTGCTGAAGTTTAGCTGTTACGTACGGATGGGTTTGGGACTTCGCACACAGGCCATTAACCAATTCGGGGCCTTCATTCAGCGTCGTACGCGGTGATGTTTGCTGATTTCTGTCGTTCACCTCGCGAGTCGCAACCCAGCATTTCGCAATGAAGCCAGCTGAAGGGAATATGTGGGGTTTGATCAGTTACATTTACATTTCGGTTCGCCTCGGTCGTTTCCGTCTTCTTTACACAATAGCTTGCCTGCTTACATTATTCAGTTCAGATATATCATATATAGCCCAAAGACTAGGTTAAACACAGAGCCTCCCTTTACAACTCTGAACTTCAAAGTCCATACTTGCCCAATTCATTCACGTTTATTCCAACCTTTCACTTCAGATGATTTAATTCTTCCCCATAACTATAGGAGCGCCAAAGGCTGTTGAAGAGCTCATCATCGAGTGCAGCTTCTCCAGAACGACATGCAGCCATGCGCTGCTTGAACTGGATGATGGCCCTCTTTTTGCTGGCCTTGAAGCGCTGAAACGAAATTGCAGAAAATAGGTTAGGGGCATGGAGTTTGCAACAAAAACAGGGATGGAGGGGAATGGGTAAGTAAGGGGTATCTGTCCCCATAATTCTTCCCATATTCGCTGTTGTTCACCAATAAAGACTCACCGTCATCCATAACTGTATACTCATTTCCCTGCAACAACCCCTTCTTTCCACGTTCGATTCCAAATACACATCACTACCACCCACCCATCCCCACTATTGCTTAGTTGCACACAACTCACAGTCTTCTTGCCCGTCTGCAGCATCTCTGCCAGGTATTTGAGCCAGAGACTGTTGGTCTGAGGACACCTGGGAGAGGGACAAGAGTCGACACAGAGAGGCAGGGCGAGAGCGATAAGAAGGAGGATGAGGGGAGGCATGGTGGATTGGTTTTGAGTGGCAGCGGGCGCAAGTGACGGTGAGGATGGAGTAGGGTTGAGAAAGCGGATGTGCATGTTTGCAAGGAGAGGTGAGGGATGAAATCACAGGGGTGTTAACAACATGATGGGGTGATTTATGGAAGCAAGGCATGCAGCTTGTAGGGACCAATGCATGCTGTTTACCAAACCTGGTTCTTTTGAGGCGCCTCGAAACGACTACCTACCATCTATCCCAGTGTCCTTTGGTCTTCTTCTTCATCTCTTTGTACGTGTCAAACTGCAGTTATGAACGAACCACCACACAGCACCGCGCACCGCCACACAGCACCGCACACCACCGCATGATTCAGTAGTTGGGAGCAACATTGTTGATTTAGGGAAGCACTACAGGTGGACATGGAAAGAAGCACTGTGCACCTTGGTTACAAAGGGAAAAAGAGGCGGGGACACAAAGAAAGGAGCCAAATGGCCTTGTGCATTCATAAAGCCTCAAAGTAGAACCTGCTGTGGCTGGAGGCTGGCACTGCACCTGGGGCGGCACTCACCTAAGGCAGCACTGCACCTGAGGGCTGAGGCGGCACTGCTGGGCGGTACTCACCTGGGCGGCACTTACTTGGTGCAGCACTCACTTGGGCGGCACTCACCTGGGCGGCACTCACCTGGGCGGCACTCAACTGGGCGGCACTCACCTGGGCCAGCACCCACCTGGGCGGCACTCACCTGGGGCAGCACCCACCTGGAGCAGCACTCACCTGGGGGTGGCCCTTATCGCCCTGGAAAATGGATGGCTCTTGGGAGAGGTCGCTGAAATGCACTCGAGCACCTGCCGCACGAGCACACCAGTTTGGTTCCAGGCAAACCAGGAAATCTCATTTGGGCGATTAGGTGTGTGTGTGTGTGTTTTTTTTTTTTTTTTTTTTTTTTTTTTTTTTTTTTTTTTTTAAGCAATTATTATGAGGAAAGGAACTCAAGAGCATGCATGCAGATGCAGTTGACCAGAGAAGAGAAGCAAGTCTCATAAGGCTGTGAGAGAATGGCACCTGACTGGAGACGAGAGAGGGAGAAGTCAATGATGGTCACACGAACGCCCTTGTCATGGAAGCTCCGCTGCTGCCCGTTCAGCCTGAACCACTGCCCGCTCTCGCCCTCTCCCTTGCGGCTACCACTGTTGTTACTGCTTACGTTGCTGGAAGCACTACTGTTCCCAGTGCTGTTCATGCTCGCAGTGCAGTCACTCAGAGCCTTTGCCTGCTCGCTCCTGTGAGCGGCACTCCTGCCCTTGCCTGCCCTTTGTGGCCCACTCGCCTGTGTGCGATGAATGAGAACATTGCCCCTGCGTGGTGGGTGGATCGGTGGGTGGTTAGGGTTTTGGAGCAAGGGAGGGAGATAGAGATGAGCACTGAGCCGATAGTGCAGTACAGTCAAGCAGGGCCTTTGCCCCCTCGCGCCTGTGACTGGTATTCCTGCCCTTGCCTGCCCTCTGGGGCCCGCTTGTCTGTGTGCAATGAATGAGGACATTGCCCCTGGGTGGGTGGGTGGAAGGGTAGGCTTTTGGAGAATGGGAGGGGATAGCGATGAGGGGAGCTGCGCGGATAGTGCATTGCAGCTGTGCAGGGCCTTTGCCTGCTCGCGCCTGTGAGTGGTACTCCAGTCCTTGCCCGCCCTCTGAGGCTCCTGTGCCTGTGCGATGAATGGGAATTCTCAAAACTCCAGTCCTTGCCCGCCCTCTGAGGCGCCTGTGCCTGTGCGATGAATGGGGATGTTGCCCCTGCGTGGAGATAAGTCGAGTTTTGAGTCGACTCAAAACTCGACTTATCACACTGTGCCTGTGCGATGCATGAGGATGTTGCCCCTGCGTGGATGGGGTTGGGGCAGCGGGAGCATGAGAAAGGGAGTTGAATGAATATGGTCAATGACACATACCAACGCGTTGAATTTGACAAACCAGCACGACCACTCTGCACAGCATACCATTTCCGCTACTCATTGCCGATGCCGCAGCGTGCCACTGCCACACAGAACGTACCACCAGTGCAGGGCGCGGCGCTCAAACTCACACGCTGCCTCCGCCACCGCCACAGCATACCAGTACCACAGCCACACCACTGCTTACCACAGCCACACCGCTGCGTACCACAGCCACACCGCTGCGTACCACAGCCACACCACTGCGTACCACAACCACACCACTGCTTACCACAGCCACACCGCACAGCACCACACCACACCACAGCGTACCAGTGCAGGTCGCGGTGCTCAAACTGACACGCTGCCTCCGCCACTGCCAGCCCTGCTGCCACCTGTGGTAGGGTTGACGCGGTACAGAGGGGCAGAGTGCGGTGGCAGGTGAAGTGGGGCATTAGTGCAAATTGAGGGGATGAGTGAATTGTGGTACGGTAAGGGCAGATGGGGAAAGGTGGTTTCGTGGCATTAGCTGCCTGTGTTTGATTGGAGACTCATTGTGTTGGAGGTTGCCCTCCTGGTCAAGTGTCATTTTATGGGCTTCAGAATAAACAGCGCAGCTGGAAATGTGCAGGTGGGAAGATGCAGCTGTGCCAGAATAAGGGCGCAGCTTGGTGTCCAGACATGTAATAATGATGCAGTTCCTGCAATTTGAATCAAGGTGGATAACATAGAAATGAATGAAGAGAATCACATATTCTATTTATTGATAGTTCACTCATGTGGAAGGTGTGTGTGCAAAGGGAAGTGGATGGAGGGGAAGATTTGATTTCAGTTGATCAAGGAAAGGAAAGTGTGACACAGCTGATCATCCGTACAACACAAAACCTGATTGCACCCTTTAGCACCGCAGACACCGTTAGCGTCACCAGCACGCTTCGCTCTGCAGCCAAATTGCGGCCCGTGCTTTCACCCTACCACATTCCACACGCAGCCTGCGGCCTGCTGCGCGCCTGACAGATTTTAGCTAGGTCGTGGGGTGGTAACACGGCACGATCGAGGCGTTAGTTGAACTTCGGCTTGTGCCAGTCTCGAATGGCGGGAAAACACAGAGGCTTTGAGATTATTACGGATAACTCGTCAGCATGACACGTGGATGCGAGCGATTGGTCACGTCTCTTACGCGTCGCGTTGCCCGTCGCGCGCAGTACGGAGGCGGCTCGCGTGAGCTTACCTCGTCCGCTGTATCTGCGAATTCAAGTTTTCGTGCCACGTGGCAGCAGCATCAGATCTGTCAACCTCGCCAAATTCTCGCGCCGAGCTCCTGGACGGTACCCGATTCATATCTCGCCTTACGTGGCAAAACCAGTACTAGTAGTAGTAACGGTATTGGTGTTAATAGTAGAACTAGTGACATCTATTCATGTGACTATCGCCAATCGCCTGCTGCCACGTGGTGCTCGCGGCACATAGGTCAGCCAATATCAACTTCTCCTGTTGCCACGTGGCGTGGTGGTGGTGGGTCCCACCTGGCGAAGTTTCCGCAGACCTTCCTTCCGCCGCCAGCGGTTCCCCCATCCACGGAGTTCGCGTTCGTTCCGCGCTTCACTGCCCTCCGCAGAGAATGGCCCTCCCCCTCCCCGCCGCCCGCCACTCCGCCTTCCGCGCATGCAGTAGCGCGGAGGGGGAAGGAGGGCGGGGGAAGCAGAAGGCGGAGCTGGGGGAAGGGCAGGTTAGCAGGGGGAGAAGGAGCTGCGGCAGGGACGGCAAGAGGGGAGGGTGGGGAGGCTTTAGATGCAGATGAAGAGGCTTATATGGAGGATGGAGCGTGGGACAAAGGCAGGAGAGAGGATGATGCAGAGGCGGGCGTGAACACGGATTCAGGCCGACATGGAACGCGGTAGGGTAGACTATGGTGGGGTGGGACGCCTTTTTTTCAGGATTCAGCCTTTTTCTGGGATTCAGCCTTTTTCTGGGATTCATCATGTTTGTAATACTCACTCTGTTTTCCCGTGCAACCATGAACCTTGTCAAGATAACAAGGTGACTTTTGAGTCGACTCAAAAGTCACCTCGGTAGTTTGGAATATTCACTCTGTTCTCTCGTGCAACCATGAACTTTGTCCCCTTTCTCCCATTCGTTTTCCCCCTTTCTTCACTCTGTCCTTCCCCCACCTCTGCATTCTACCTCCCCCACCCCCCTTTCTCGGTTCCAGCATGCTGGTGGTGCAGCCGCGCCCCCATCCGCGCTGGCTGCTGCGCGCCAAGCTGTATGCACACATGCTGGCACGAATATACCTCCTCCCTTTCTCCCTCTCCCCCTGCCTTCCGCTCCTCCCTTCCCCCCCCACCCCCCCACATAGCATGCTAGTGGTGCAGCCGCGCCCCCATCCGCGCTGGCTGCTGCGCGCCAAGCTGGGAGAGGCGCTGCGATTGGTGGACTCGCTCACAGGCACGGACAGCCAATGGGAGATGGAGCAGCGCTCGTGGGGGGGCGCAGGGGCAGGGGAGGACGCACAGGCAGCGTGGCGAGGGGGCCAGGAACCACAGCAGGGGCGGGGAGGAGCGCGAGAGTGGCAGGGGGGAGGGGAGCAGTGGCGGCAAGGGGAAGGTCCCGAGGCTGAGTGGAGAAGGCGGAGTGAGGGGAGAGGGATGCGTGGGGATGGGGTGGAGGGAAGAGGGCGGAGTGGTGATGGGGTGGAGGGAAGAGGGCGGAGTGGTGATGGGGTGGAGGGAAGAGGGCGGAGTGGTGATGGGGTGGAGGGTTTTGGATTCCCGCCGCCGGGAGGGGGGCATCCGTGGGTGGTGGTGCACAGCAGAGGGCGGGGGATACACGCAGGTAGGCTGGATGTGGTTTGGGGGGCATGGCTTGGAGAGCTTGGGGTTTGGGTTTGGGTCTCTGGCGCCGGGAGGGGGGGCATCCGTGGGTGGTGGTGCACAGCAGAGGGCGGGGTATACACGCAGGTATGGTGGATGTGGGTTGAATTCCGTCTGCCACCCTTCTCGCCTCTCACTCTTATCACCTTCTCACCCTTCTTGCCTTTCACCCTGTCCCATCCCTTATTGATTTCGACAGTGGGGCAGTGGAACCATCGAGGCCATTGTTGCTCATGTGCATGCTCTCGCTCTTCCCGCCTCCCTCTCTTCTCCCTTCCCCCCTTTCCCCCGTGCTGATGCTGTCTTTCAGGGTCGTTCTTTGGCAGTGGCACCATAGAGAGCATTGCCGCTCATGTGCATGCTTCACACACCATGGTATGTTATGGTTTGCACTTTACATCAGCTCAAATGCAGTGAATGTGAACATGCACACTCGCTTGCGCAAGTGTGTATGGAAATTCACACCCTCACATTCATTCATCCACATGTGAGCTTCTGAGAAAGAGCGAATTGTTTTTCTTTATTTGTTTGTTTTTTTCCCAGTGCTGTCCAACTACTTATGAAGCGCCTTGAATGCGTATGTGCCATGCGCTTATCTTCTCATCGTCCACCCTATTAACCAGGGCGTACCAGTGGAGGCAGTATTCGTAAATGCTGCTCTCTCAGGCGTACAGCAACGGAATCTGGAGGTGAGAGCTGGGGGGAGGGAAGAAAACAGAATACAGAGCTACCAGATTCCCTTTTTCAGTTGAGGCATTTGCACACCTTTCTGCTCACCAACACTTCAACCGTAGAAAAGCCCGGATTTGCAAACCTCACTACCCTTACCACTCTGTACATTACCTTCCCCTGAAACCAACACCATCTGTCCAGCCTTCTTCACCTCCCAGGACTCATGCATCTGTACACCTTCGCGCGGCGCGAAGGTGTACAGATGCATGAGTCCTGGGAGGTGAAGAAGGCTGGACAGATGGTGTTGGTTCCAGGGGGAGATGATGTGGTAAGAGCAGTGAAGTTTGCAAAGTCGAGCCTTTCTATGGTTGAAGTGTTGGTGAGTTGAAGGATGTGCAGATGCTTCACCAAAAAAGAAGAATTCAGTGGCGGTGTACACTCGTGAAGACAGAACAGGGTAACTTGCTCCAATTTGTTGGAGAGTTGGGGGCGAAGGGTTTCGCTAACCAGGGGCGAACGAGGGGAGCAGGGGAGGATGTATTCGTTAATGTTGCTCTCTCAGGCGTGCAGCAACACAACCAGAGGTGAGAAGGGGATGGGGGATCTGTGTTGCTGGGTGCAGTGGAGCGAGGGGGGCGATACGGGAGAGGGGCAGGCAGGCAGAGTAGAGGGTGCAGTGACAGAGGCAGCCTTAGTGATCGCCACAACCGGTTTGTCCTTTCTCCGTCCCCTCTTACCCCCATCCCCCCTTCTCACCTTCCCCTCTCTCGTTATTCAAGGCTGCGTGGGGCCTTTCGGTGGTGGACAGGGTGGGGCTGATCATTGAGATCCTTGGAGCTCGTGCAAACAGCGGACCCTTCACCTCGATTCTCCCCCTTGCGGCCCTCTTCCTGCCCCCTCTTTCACCACCTGCTCCCCTTAAGGCCGCATGGGGTCTGCCGGTGGTGGACAGGGTGGGGCTGATCATTGAGATCCTTGGAGCTCGTGCAAACAGCTGGCCCTTCCACTCCCTTACTCCCCCTTTTTTCCCTCTTCCTTCCTCCTCTTTCGCTCCTTCTCCTTCCCACCTGCCCTCTCCAAAGGCCGCATGGGGCCTGCCGGTGGTGGACCGGGTGGGGCTCATCATTGAGATCTTTGGAGCTCGTGCAAACACACGAGAGGCCAAGCTGCAGGTGGGTTGGGCTGGGTTGGGTTTGGTTTGGTTGGGTTGGTCGGTTGCTCAGTGACCCTATTAAATAGAAGAAAGAAGAAATAATCAAATAGTTAAAAAAATACAAGTTTACCTTCCCATCCCTTTTCCCCGGTACGCTCCGTTGTTCTACTTCCATTCTAAACCTCAGGTCGAGATGGCAGGTTTGGAGTACCAGCGCAGCCGGCTGGTTCGGCAGCGAGGCTCGGGGGGCTGCAGGCTTGGGTTTGGTTCGGGAGGGGAGCAGCAGGTGGTGAGTGCGCGAGGGAGGGCGGCAGGCGGGCGGGGCTTTTTGGCTGGAGCAGGGGAGAGCGAGCTGCAGCTGCAGAGGCGACGGTAAGAGGGAGAAAAAAGAAAAGGGGAAGGGGGGGTGTGGTATTTTTCACCCTTTAGGCGCACTCATCGCTTCCCCTTCCCTCAACCTTCCCTCCCTCCCTCCTCCCCCCCCTTCCCTCCCTCCCTCCCTCCCTCCCTCCCTCCCTCCCTCCCTCCCTCCTCCCCCCCCTTCCCTCCCTCCCTCCCTCCCTCCCTCCCTCCCTCCCTCCCTCCCTCCCTCCCTCCCTCCTCCCCCCCCTTCCCTCCCTCCCTCCCTCCCTCCCTCCCTCCCTCCCTCCCTCCCTCCCTCCCTCCCTCCCTCCCTCCCTCCCTCCCTCCCTCCCTCCCTCCCTCCCTCCTCCCCCCCCTTCCCTCCCTCCCTCCCTCCCTCCCTCCCTCCCTCCCTCCCTCCCTCCCTCCCCCCCCCCCTTCCCTCCCTCCCTCCCTCCCTCCCTCCGTCCCTCCCTCCCTCCCTCCCTCCCTCCCTCCCTCCCTCCCTCCCTCCCTCCCTCCCTCCCTCCCTCCCTCCCTCCCTCCCTCCCTCCCTCCCTCCCTCCCTCCCTCCCTGCCTCCCTCCCTCCCTGCCTCCCTCCCTCCCTCCCCCCCCCTCTCTCCCTCCCTCCCTCCCTCCCTCCCTCCCTCCCTCCCTCCCTCCCTCCCTCCCTCCCTCCCTCCCTCCCTCCCTCCCTCCCTCCCTCCCTCCCTCCCTCCCTCCCTCCCTCCCTCCATCTCCCCCTGCCCCTTCCCATGACAGAATAGCGGAGAAGCAGCACAAGCTGAGGCAGCAGATAGCGCAAGTGAGGAGGACACGTGGCCTGCACCGATTGGCCCGCAGACGAGCCTGCTGGGAGGGCGGAGGGAAGGGGCGAGGGCTGCCGGTGGTGGCGGTGGTGGGCTATACGAACGCAGTGAGTGTACTTATTGAGGGGGACGGTGAGTGAGTAGTATCTCTCATGGTTAGTACGTGTGTGGTTATTTCTTGTTATGGGCACAAGGGGCGAGGGCGAGGGCGACGGCTGCTGGTGGTGGCTGTGGTGGGATGGGATGTACCAACGCAGTGAGTTCCTTCCACAGTTGTATTGTAAGCAACAGATGTGAATGCAACTGTGTCCTTTTTCTTTCTTTCTTTCTTTCTTTTTGGGGAGCCTACAGAAATTGCGTTCAATGCACAGTAGTCACTGCAGGGGACGTGCTGTGCACTGTGGGAGGGTGGCCTGGATGATGCATCTATAGCATTGTGATGTAGGGTTTTGAGGCGCCTGGGTTTGAGAATTCTCATCGCTTACATCCTACATCGGCCTGGATGATGCATCCATACCATATTGCATGTCTGTCGCATGTACATTCAATGAGCATAGTTTTTTTAGGTACACGTGTATTATGTTAATCGCTTTTACTTGCACATTTATGCCATGTGCATCAGGTCCTGCTTTTGAGTCCACTCAAAAGCATTTATTTTCCTTGCACATTTATGTCATGTGCATCAGGGCAAGTCAACGTTGGTGACAGCACTTTCACAGTCGCCCCAATACATTGATGATCGGTGAGTGATAAGACTAATGATAGGCGGGGGATAGGGTTGGTGAGAGGTGGGAGACTGGTTGTCGAGGGCTTCTGAGTCAGCAAGGGAGCTCGGTTGCAAACCTCTGAGAGCGTTAAACTCCAGTAAAGCATTGCGATGGGTTTTGAGGCGCCTCAAAACCCACCTTTGTGAGAGGTGTGAGATTGATTGTCGAGAGCTTCTGTGTGAGATTGATTGATTGTCTCTTGACAATCAACCTCACACCAAGGGGCTTCTGTGTAGTTCTGGGTGATTGGTTGCACCAGGAAGGGCATTAGATAGAATCCAGTAAAGCTGCCTGACGTCTCGTCTGGTGCAGCCTTTCTCATTCATTCATTGCTCTTTTGTCTGCCCGATGATGTTACTGTTTGGTTTTCAGCTGTCCGTGCAGGCTATTTGCAACCCTGGATCCCCGTGTGAGAGCGTTCAAGCTGCCATTTTGCGGCTCCTGCGGTGCACATTCGCGCCTTCATGGCGCTCTCTCTCTGCTCCTTACTTTGCATGGGTTGGTGTTCTGTCGCCCTTGCAGGCTATTTGCAACTCTGGATCCCCGTGTGAGAGCAGTCAAGCTGCCATCAGGGTGAGATGGATTGAGAGGGGAGGGAGATGCCATGGGGGATCAGTAGGATAGTGGATCCAGTTTATATGCTGAATGTCTTTGTGTGTCTATCTGTTGCATCTCCTGCATGGTCCATTTGTCATCTCCGCCTGCCAGGCAGGGTGAGAGTGATACAGCTGCACTCGTATCCTGATAACCAATGCACACTCACAGGCCATGTTCGTGTTTCACCCGATTTTCTTTTCTTTTCTTTTCTTTTCTTTTCTTTTGATACTTCTTCCCTTCCTCCAGGCGCAGGGTGCTTCTGAGTGACACAGTGGGGTTTATCTCCGACCTGCCCCATCAGCTGGTGGAGGCGTTTCATGCGACGCTGGAGGAGGTGGTCGAGGCCGACCTGCTGCTGGTAGGGTCGTTTCAAAGCACAGATGGCGGTAAGAAGCATGTTGCATGTGGTATAATGCAAGAGACACGGTGGAGGCTTTTCATGCCACGCTGGAGGAGGTGGTTGAAGCTGAAGCTGACCTGCTGCTGGTAGGGCTCATCTCATGCAGAAGTATCATATGGTATGATGCTGGCATGAAATGGAACATACACCATGCCATGATGATGGATACACGGTGGAGGCGTTTCTTGCGACACTGGAGGAGGTGGTTGAACTTGAAGCTGACCTGCTGCTGGTAGGGTCCCTCACTGATGGCCCGCTTGCACAGTGCGTGCTGCACCCGTTGTTGTCCTTCTGTTCTGTCTTGAGTGCTGCACTGGTGGGGTTCATATCCCTTTTGAGGCGCCTCAAAAGTCATATCCGACCTACCAACTGGTGGAGGCGTGGTCCAAGCCTTCACGCTAGGTGGTCCAAGCCTTCACGCTAGGTGGTCCAAGCCTTCACGCTAGGTGGTCCAAGCCTTCACGCTAGGTGGTCCAAGCCTTCACGCTAGGTGGTCCAAGCCGACCTGCGGCTGGTAGGCTTGGGCCACACGCTCTGCTCCAGGTGTTCATTGATGATTCCATGCACAATTCTTTAACCTCCGTGTTCAGTGCTGGGCACATAGTGGAGGCGTTTTTCAGACGTCTCAAACAACTCAGTTTTTGCCACGTGGCTCCGTGTTCAGTGCTGGGCACATGATGAAGGCGTTTTTTTTTCTTCCCTGTTATTCCTTGTCGTGTAGGTAATTACTGGGCGCACACAACATATTGAGCGCTGTCATAATTTTGTGAAGGCTCCTCCAAAACTGCTGTCCACCTCTCCCCTAAGCTCCTCTCCCCAACCCATCCCCACCCCTCCGCCCTCCCCCCTCTTGGCTGCCTGTCCACGTCAGCATGTGGTGGACGCGTCAGCACCAGACATGCATCAGCAGCGGCAGGCGGTGTTGCAAGTCCTGACGCAGATGGGGGTGCCTGTGGATCCAGGCATGGCCGCTGACGTCAGCATGGCTGCTAGGGGAAGCAGCATGGGTGTGCATCATGGTGGTTATGGTGTGGACGGTTCAAGAATGCATAGTTACGGCAGCTGGAAAGAGGGGAGGTTCTTTACTCATCCACACATCATCGAAGCTTGGAACAAGGCAAGTCTGTTTGTTTGGTTGTGTGTTTGTTTGTTCTTACCAATTTCAGGGTGTTCTTGTGTCATTGCAGTGCATAAATGTGTGTGTTTCTCTCCTATGCCCAACCTCTCTGTCCTTTTGTCCAACCCTCTTTGTGCATGAATCGTCTCCGTTTCCTCACAGGTGGACCTCCTCCCTCCCTCGCACCCCCTGCTCTCCGGCTCGTCCATTCTAGAGTCACATCTGCATAAGAGCACACTAGACCCGGCTGTAGCACTGTCCAAATCCCAGGATCCGTTACAATCACAAGAGGCTTCGTTAATGAGAAATCCTGCGCTGCAACAAGAACTCGAGGCGGATAGTGCAGGAGTGCAGATAGGAGAGGGAAGCGGGCGGGTGCACGTTTCTGAGACACTCAGGCTTGGTGGTGGGAGTGGGTCGGGCAATGTACGGAGTGAAGCTTGGGGTATCCCTGATCCCCAGCTGGAGGAGCAGGATGAGCATGGTGAGGAGGAGGTGGAGGAGGAGGTGGAGGAGGAGGTGGAGGAGGAGGTGGACGATGAGGAAGAGGAAGAGGGAAGTGACGAGGAAGAGAAGGGTGATGAGGAAAGGGAGGATGGGTGTGTTGAGAGAGTGCGTGCCGAGGAGGAGGAATATAGGCTGGGTCAGGTGGGAGTGCATGGGCAACAAGATGCTGTTACATGGACTGGGAGTTTTAAAAGTTTGGGAGTGTATAGCAATGGTTCGGAAAATGGAGGTTCTACAGTAAAAGGGGCTTTTGCCCGAGTCAAAGCTTCAAGGCCGGTTTTTATCTCGGCTGTTCGTGGCACTGGTTTTGAGAAAATTTTGAGTGATATTGATGAAGCGCTGATTGAAAGAGGCTTATGAAAGGGTGGATGGTTTTGCTTAAATTATTCATAAATAATTTGATGAATCATGGAATAATCGTCATTGTAGTGTTCTGAATGAGACGAATATCTCAAAATTCTCCGTTTGGCGTTTCCTTCTGTTGTTACCAGCTGGCAATCGTCAGTTTCTGACAAAACACACACTTGTGGCTGCCGCGTTTGTTGTCCTGCCCTTGAAACGACCGTCTGTTTGCTAAAACTACTGTACAGTAGAGTCGCGTAAACACTATGGGAGTGACTCCAGCTCAACACCCCCGCGACAACACTCGGTTTGAAAAGCACCGATTGCAGTTGATTACACCCTGTTTCGCGCCACACTGACATTCGCCATATTGACAAGCCGGTTGTACTGACATCAATGCGTCCAAATTGGTCCCAGAACATACCGTTTAAGCACTTTTGCCGCACGAAACCGAACTCAAAAGCACGTTTTGTTTTATAAACCGTTGTCTACCGTTCTCCTGAAGTGCATTTTGGCTGCAAGCACCAGCCCGCTGAATCCAAGCACACGTGCGCACTGTAGCCGGGGCTCCCGTTTGTTCAAACATCGAGAAACAGGGTGTAACAACGAAGGATCTAAAACAGAATACTCAGCAAGGTCATTGAGCAATTTTTGGGGGAAGACTAATCATTACACTTTTGTCTCAATGTGGTCGCATTCCAAAATCAGACTAATTGTGAATCACCTAATTGAGCCGCATATTAATAAACTGTGACAACAGGGCGCTCGTTGGTGCGGTCAGTAGCGTGATGCCACAATACAGAGCTTCAGAATTATAGAACCAGTGCAAACAGAATGAGATAATGAGTGTATAGACCCAATCATGAAAACCCAAGGCAGACGATCTTCACACACCCCAGTTTCAGCTGCGTCGATGGAAGTTGCTTCTGCCCATAGGCGTATCCCGCCCGCACTTCACATTGGCCGAATACACCACCATTCTTGAAAAATGGCTGCTGTTTGCGACTGATAACACCTAGAAACACCGCTGCATCGTTCTCTTGCCCTTGTTTATCTCAGTGTACCGTAGTCTTCCGCCTTTCTCCCCTTGTACAAAACCAAAACCAACTTCCATAACAGTACAGTGGAGTTGCCATCCACTTCCATGCTGCCTCCAACTCACCCTCACCATCCTCCATGACTTGTTCCACCCTCCTCGTCCCCCCTTCACGAGACAGCACCTGTTGCCGAAACAGATTAAATTCCAAAAATCGGATCCACTCTTGTCTCCTTGCTGAACCTCCTTTTCCATCCCTTCCCTCTCTCATTTCACAGCTCGAATTACAGCTCCAAATTTATTGCTCAGCCAATCTCCTCTCTTTCCCAGCCATGCCCAAGTTTCGAAGTTTCGCCGCACCTACAGCTGGGCTGGGCAGCGGCCAGCCCAGTCAGCCACCTGTCCACCAACCAATCCTTGCCGACGAAGAGCCTCAGGGAACTCCAGATTCCAAATCGCGAAGCACCATACGCCCCCAGCCCAGAGGAGCAGCAGCTGAGCTGACCTGTCCATCCCCGTCCTGATTCTTCTCAAACTGCTAGAATGTGAAGTGCAAATCCTTTCCCGCTAACCGAGCAGCAGAAGCACCCCATTGCGCGAAGCGCCATACGCCCAGAGGAGAATGACTCGTGATTGACAGTAGGGTTTCTTTCGACGCCTCTCTGTCTACATCCGTCCGTTGCCTGCCTGCGAGGCTGTCTGTGGCGGTGCGGATGGCTGTCTTGTCCTGTGGACTGTATCCGCCGAGAAGTGACACTCGCGTGTTCCCGGCTTTCAAGGTTTGAATCTTAGCAACGTTTTAGCGATCATCTGTGCTGAAAGCCTTGAAGGATTCCGTGATGGAGGGAAAGATGCACAGGTGTTGGGAGAGGAACAGTGCCATCACGTTTAGTAGCTTTTTTTTTTTCCACCATTGGATCGCTCGCACCGCGGACGATTACTGTAACGATATGATAGTATGGTGCTGGGTGTTCGATGCAACGTTTGGATCTCAAGCGTCGTTAACTCGTTTTCGGTCAAGAATTAGCGGCGACCATGTCCGGTAGCGGCGAGCATTGTCCCTACCCTTACATATCTTCAGTTTCGTAGTAACGCGCGGTCATGGAAGCGACTTACGCAGCTCGACGGTAAGAGTCTGGGGGAGCCATGGCGGAGCGCCGTTTGGATCCGCGCCTTTTCGAACTGCACCCCTTCAACCCGCGCCTTTCCGATCCCATCATCACTCACGAGACGCGTCAAGCGCACCCATTAGAGCCCGTGACGTATAGTGGAGGCGAATCTGGAAGTTTCAAGTCGGGGGTAATGCGCGGTCGCGGAGATGGCGATACGGTTAAACGTATCAGTAGTGCGGCGGGCGCATCGGCCGATAGATCTCCCGGATGTCCTGCTGCGACTCCGCGACGCAGCGCATCGCGGCAGTCGTTCGACAGTCGCAACCCGTCGCAGTCGCAGGACGGACGTCGCTACCCATCGCATTCGTTCGATTTCGATAACGACTGGTGTAGGAGCGCAGATGCTTTTGCCGACCTTCGTGAAACGCCCCGCGCTGGAGGAATGCGAGGGGAGGCAGTTGCGCAGGTTGGCGCAGATTGCGCCTCCCCTCAACTCGGAAGGGGAAAGACGGCGGAGTCGCGTGGAACAAGCATGCGCACTTCGAGTCCGCTCAGCTGTCCCCAGCAGCGCCACGGAACGGTAACAGGAGGCTTGGGGACAGGCTCGAGGACAGGCTCGGGAACAGGCTCGTCACCGAACCACGAGTGGGAGAAGTCCGTCACGTCTCCAGCTTGTGGCGGCGGGATCTCCGCGGACGACGGCTTTTGGCGCCGCGCGGCGGAGGCCGGCGGGGCGACAGCATGGCGCGGGGACGGCGGCAGCGGCGGCGGCGGAGCAGCATGGCGGAAGCCCGGCGCGTTCCTCCCCCCCCGCCTCCTCCTCTGCACGGGGCCTCCCGCCGCCATCTCCCCGTGCTCGACGCTCGAGCGCCAGCTCAGCCCGTGCTGCTCTTCCGCTGCCACGTCAGCAGCGTCCAGCCCTTGCCCCGTGTCGAGTCCGCTATCGGCCGCGTTCAGCCCACTGTCCGCGCGCAGCGCCTCGCCGCTTGCCGACAAAATCCCCCCCAACCCGTTACCCGGAAGAAGCGCTTCCCCCTTTGCGGGGAGAAGCCGCTCTCCCCTTTCGAGGGGAAGCTTTTCCCCCTTCTCGGGGGGAAGCGCTTCCGCCTTGTCGGGGGGAAGCTCCTCTCCGGTTGCTGGCCGCGGTAACTCCTCGCCGCTATTCGGGAAAAGCGCATCCGCGCTTTCTGGCGGAACCACCTCTCCGTTTCTTCCGCGCAGCCCTATGCCTCTCCGCAGCCCGTTACCCGCACTCGCGCCCTCCTCGCCCCTCCGCCCGCGCAGTCCTCTTTCCGTGCAGTCCCCCGTCTCCCCACATGTCAGCCCTGCGCATACACGTTCCGCCTCCGCTAAGAGCCCCCTTGCGCGGCGACCGCTCGGCCGCTCCGCCAGCCCCCTGAATACCGCTGCGCCGCACCCACCTGCGCCGCTCTCACCTGCGCCGCTCTCACCTGCGCCGCGTTCACCCGCAACCTTTGAGTCGACTCTAAAGTCGCCTCGACGAGGAGACGGAAGCAGCGGTTCCGTAAGCAGCGGTGGCGCAAGCAGCGGTGGCGGCGCAAGCAGCAACATCTCCCTGTTTCGAAGCAATACCAGCTGCAACGGTAGCAGCAGCAGCAGCAGCGCCACCTTTTTCCGCAGCGCCAGCAGCAGCAGTGGCAGCAGCAGCACCAGCGGAAGCGGCATCATCAGCGGCAGCAGCGGCAGTATCGGCGGTCACAGTTGCAACAGCAGTCCGATACGCGGAGGAGGGGCGCGCGCGGCGCAGGGGCCCGCGTTCGTGAGGCGACCCAGCCTGCTGTCGCGCGCACAACCGCCCGCCTCTCCTCCGGCCGTCTCCGCTCCTCCCGCCTCGCCTCCGCCATTGTCCTCTCCGCGCGCCTCCCCGCCATCAACCGCAACACGCGCTCAGCCTCCGCCGTCCGCTCACCCCCCCGCCTCCCCGTCCTTCTCCCCTCCGCCATTTTCCCGCAGTCAGCATCCGCTTTCCCCTTCCCCACTGCTCCCCCTCTCCTCAGCTTCCAAAGCGCGCCCAGTCTCCCCCCTGCGCCCAGTCTCCCCCTTGCGCCAAGCCTCCCCGCAAATGCGCCCAGTCTCCCCCCACCTGCGCCCCGTCTCCCCCCACCCGCGCCCAGTCTCCCCCAAAATGCGCCCAGTCTCCCCCCACCCGCGCCCAGTCTCCCCCAATATGCGCCCTAGTACCCCCCAGCGGTCCCCAGCAACCCACCCTGCGCCGTACGCATTGCGCCCTGTCTCGCCCGCCGCAATGCGCTCTGCATCGCCCGCAATGCGCCCTGCGTTGCCCCACCTTTCCCCCACCTCATACGCACCACACCCTCCCTCCCCCTCCCCTCTCCTCTCCCCTCCCCCGCTCCTCCGCGCCCCTCCTTTTCCCCTCCGCCCCACCTCCCCCCTCCTCCGCCCGACTTCCCCCACCCTTCCCCCGGCCACGCCGTCGTTCCTCCGACCATCCGCGCAATTTCCCTCATCCACTCAATCCCCCGCATCCGCGCAATTCCCCCCGTCTCCGCCTCTCCCGGGCACCACTTGCCATCCCACCAGCACCGCACCTAACCCTTCTGACCATCCCAACACTCCACCCTCTCCCAACCCTTTCCCCTCTCCTTCCTCGCTTCAACCTTCTTTCGCTCCTACCGCTCCCAACCTTTCCTTCTCTCCTAGACCGTCCCTCGCGCCGCCCACACCCTCGTGGAGCAGCGAGAAGGAAAGGCGAAGCGCAAAGGTAACAGCACCCGGCGCCGCCGCCGCCGCCGCCGTCGCAACCGCCTCTGCAGCACCAGCGTCAGCAGCAGCGGGAGAAGGAGGGGCAGTTGGCGCAGGAGGTGGAGGGGGAGGAGGAGGCGGAGGAGGAGCAGAAGCAGGGGGGAAGGCGAGGAGCGGAGGAAGAGGCAGCAAGGCGGGAGGAGGCGCGGAGGTGCGCCGAGCCGTGGGGCTGTCGGAGCTGGCAAAGGGGAGGGGCGCAGCTGGCGCGAGGGGCGCAGCCGGCATGAAGGGTGTGGGGGGCACGCAGGGTGTGGGGGGCACGCAGGGTGTGGGTGGTAGCAGGACGGCGACAGGGCAGCAGCGAGAGCGGTGTGCCAAGGCGGCGCCACGCGATCAGGAAACCTGCCACGAGAGCGTTGCTGCCGTGCCCGCTGCTCCCGCGTCCGCGACCGCTGCTCCCGTGCTCACAGTTTCTCCCGCCGTGGCTTCCCAGTCTCAAAGTCAACCTTCCCCACTCACGCGGAAAGACCTAGACCTGTCCCCACACATCGCCCCTCGCTCGTCTCACCCGCCTTGCTCCCCCCACGCGCCCTCCTCCCCCTACTCGCCGCGCTCCCCCTACTCGCCGCGCTCTCCCCGCACACCTCACTCCCTCCACACTTCCCGCGCTTCCCCCACTCCTCGCTCCCCACTACGGTCCATCACCCGTGATCCGCGCACAAACTCCCCTCTCTCCTCCCCACTCACTCCTCCCCATCCTCACTCGCTCTTCTCTCCCACCACCACCCCTCCTCGCCCTCCCCTCCCTTCACCCCTCTCCTCCTCCTCCTGCTCCACCCTCCCTGCTCCCCTCTCCTCTCCCTTGGGATCTCCAGCTCCGTCTCTCGCTCGCCGGGTCTCCACCTCAGCTTCGGGAGCTGGTTCGGCCTCAGCCTCTGGGGGATCACCCACGCGGAGCTGGAAAGAACGGCCCGAACCGTCAGGTTTGGCTCAAGGCCCGGGATCAGGCCCAGCATTGAGTAGGCTGAGCAGCAGCAGCAAGGAAGGGTGCGATAACCGTGACGGTCACACCACAAGCAGCAACAGCAACAGCAACAGCAACAGCAGCAACAGCAGCAGCGGTGGTAACGCCAGCACCATCACCGCCACAAACGGCAGCAGCGGTGTGAAGGCAGCAGAGTTCCCATCGCTCCCGCGCCTGCGCATGCGCACCCCTCTCTCTCACAGCATGGACGCCCGCTCGCTCTCCCTCCTCCCCCTCTGCGCTCCCTCTGACGGGATAAAGCCACGTGGCGCTGCTGATTCAGCCAGTGTTGACGGTGGTGGTGGTGGTGGTGATGGTGGTGTTGGTGGTGGTAGTGGGTGTTATCATGACCAGTCGAAGCAGCTGAACCCAAACCAGCTGCTGCTGCAGGAGCAGCGAGAAGAGCAGCAAGAAGAGCAGCGAGAAGAGCAGCAGGAGGAGCTTAAGGCGGAGCCGAAGCTACTCCAAGGCAGGCAGCAGCAGCCGGAGGAAGAGAAGTGGCAGCAATCGCAGCAGCAGCAGCAGCAGCAGCAGCAGCAGAGGAAGGGGCAGGAAAGGCAGCAGAAGCAGCAGGGGGAGGCACGGGTGCGGCGAGGCAGCGTGGCAGTGGACGGCATGGGCGACTCGTTCCAGGAATTCAGGAGCCTGCGGCCGGCAGAGTTTGTCCTACGCCGCACATACTCAGACGTACACGCCTCCTACAGCATAGACTACCAGGGAGCCCCTCTTGGCACCGGGCAGTTTGGGGTGACCAGGAGGTGCGTGAGCAAGCGCACAGGGGAGGAGCTAGCGTGCAAGACAATAGACAAGGCGAGCATCAAGACGCATGAGGATGCGGAGGACGTGAGGAAGGAGGTGGCTTGCCTGGAGCTGCTGGCTGGGCACCCCACTGTCGTCACCATCAAAGATGCATTCGAGGATGCTCAGGTCAGTTGTGACCCACCACGACTCATGATTCCCGTTATTCCACAGCACGTACACATCATCATGAAATGAGTCGATTTTTGAGTCGACTAAAAAATCGACTCGTGATTCCCGCTATTCCACAGCACGTACACGTCGTCATGAAGCTCTTCACATGTAGCAGTATCGCCATGCCACCACTCCACTAACACTCTGTTTCCTCTCCTCTCTCCTCCCCTCCCTTTCCCTCCCTTTCCCTTCCCCTCCTCCGCCCCACAGCATGTGCACATCGTCACCGAGCTCCTACCGGGCGGCGATCTCTTCGACAGAATCAGATCGCTCCGCCGCCTCTCCGAGTCGGCTGCCGCCCGCCTGTGCGCCGCCCTGATCGAGGCCCTGCTGCACTGCCACTGCCGCGGCATCGCCCACCGCGACATCAAGCCCGAAAACATCCTCCTTACAAGCCTCTCCTCCGACTCCGATATAAAGCTCATCGACTTTGGCGTCGCAACATCCTTCCAACGCGGCGTGCCTTTAACAGACGCGGTCGGGACTCCCGAATACATGGCTCCGGAGGTGCTCCGGCAGAGCTACGGTCCCGAGGCGGATATATGGAGCGCCGGGGTGGTGCTTTACGTGGTACTTAGCGGCGCGCCCCCGTTTTGGGGGTCTAAAAGCAAGTCGGTGGTGGAGAGGATACTCAAGAAAGAGGTGGCATTCAGAGGGGCCAAGTGGGAGGGCGTGTCGGAGGAGGCTAAGGACCTAGTTGCCCGCATGCTGGTGAAGGATGCAAGCAAAAGGATCGGCGCTCTCGAGATTCTCGGTGAGTTGTGAATTGAGGTTTTTTAAGTCTGCTGTACATTGCGGGTTTGATTGAGGGTTTCTTTGAGTGGGTTTCTTTGAGGATTGGGGCTCTCGAGATTCTCGGTGAGCTGTGCAACCTGTTACAATGTGCAACTGTTGCGATGGCCCACAGCATTCAAGCATGCCAGTCACTAGCTGTCCCCCTAAGCCTCCCTGCCTCGACTAACATCGTGTCTTTTCTCCTGCCTTGCCTTTCCCGCGTGTCCCTGATTCGTCTCTTTCTCTCAGAGCACCCGTGGATTCAGAAATGGAAGCTTGCTCCTCGCACGTGAATCGTGGCGTGAAGGTTACACCGGACGTACAACAGAGATACACCAGAGTTACACTGGAGAAGTTGCACCGGAGTTTCACATGGTGTAGCAGTGGATACTGGCTGAATCCCGATCCGTAGTTGTCTGTAAGGTCTACCTGCCGGGATGACTGTGATGAAGGGCTTTACCGCACCACCAAGAGGAGAATAAAGGCAGATTTGGTTCTCATTGCACAGGACCCGATTGCAACTGACCCGAGGAGGAACTGGGAGAATCCTCGCGTTTTTTAGTGCAACGATGGTGCTTTGTTGAAGGCACTTTCTGGCTGAAAGGAGTCTCGGGAGGAGCAGACTCAGCTGTGGGGTGTGCTTTGGCGAGAGCATAGCCCATGTTGTATACTATGTAGAAAGAAAGGGGACTGTCAAGGGGGAGAATCCGTAAGGATATCTTTCTGAAGGTACACTCGTTTGTTATTTGAATAATTTCATTTCATTAATTTATTCATTTTATCAAAAGTACACGCTTCGTGTGTTTGAGTGTGAACGGTTATTTCAGTGGACTCATGCGTCGACTTTATCACACGAGAACAGGCTTGCCTTGCCATACAGTGTACTTTTCCGAAGGCAACCGTAACGGACGCATAATAGGTTGAAAGCCAGTCGTAGGTCGATGCACCACCTGACACGCAGCGGCGGCGGCGGCGGCGACAGGATTCAGCTACCCCTGCTTGCAATGTAGCATTCACATCACGCACGTTCTCTGTCACATGTGCCGTGCCGTCTCTTGAGTGTTCCAGGCTGATTTTGAGGCGCCTTAAATGCACAGAGAGTGTTATGGCGTCTCAAACTTGGATGTAGCTTCAATAAATCCTCACCCCGTTCACAGTCAGTGTCCATGGCGGTTCCGACGCTCTCCTGTCGCGAATGCGCCTGTTAGATTAGACGTTTGGCACCATATTATCTCATAACGAGGATGAAGCTGTTCGCGTTTATCGAGTTTCTCCGCGCGTCGCTGTCCGCACGCGACGTGCTCGTCTCCCTGCTCGCCCTCACCCTCGCCTGCCACGTGGCACGCGTTCCGCAATGCGCGGACCTCTCCCATTGGCGCGTCGTCGTCAGCAGCCAGTCAAAACTCGCGACGCTTCCGGAGCGCCTCATGGTAGACCAAATCAACGTCGATGCGCGACTCGAGTCGCAGGAGCCGCACGAATCGCAGGAAGCAGTGAAGCAGTTGAATATAACAGGTGACAAAGTCTTGCCTGAGCAACCACAGCCGCAGAAGCAGGTGACCGTTCCGTCAACTCGAAACGCAGCTGAGCTTGAGAGTCAACCTCACGAGTCCACGCTAAGAATTCTCAAGAATGACTCACTGTTGACTCGAGTTCAGCCGCTGGAAAACGGCGGTCGAAGAAAGCTTGCTGGCAGCAGCCGCAGCTACAATGCCGCACCAGGACGTTCAGGTCCGGGCCGAGCCTCGCCAACAGGTTCAGGAATTGCCTCTTCCGAACCAACCCAGGCTCGGCATTTCCCGTCCCTCGCGCTGTACACAGCTCCTATCGGGTACAACACGACCATGACGGCTTTAAAGCGCGCCGTGCTCTCGTGGCTGCGCCTCGCGCCGCCTCCCTATACTCCTCATGTGTATTTAATAGGCTCGCACCCTCTTAACTACTCCCGGCCGCATCCGTCTCTGGTTTGGCTGGCCCGGCAATTCCCAAGGCACGTGCACGCTATAGGCGGAAAAGGGGACATGGTGGGAGGGGGAATGCAGGGAGGAGGCGTGGATGTGACTTATGACGGTGTGACTAAAATGAATTCGCTGTTTGCTCTGGCGATGCGGGAGCAGCGGGCGGATGTAGCAGCGGTGATAGACCCTGACGTGGTGCTCTTGGGGGACGTGATGGCGGCTGTAGCGCGGCTGACGTGGCAGGAGGAGCAGGAGCGACGGGAGATGAGGAAGTGGGAGAGAGGGTGGTGGAGGGGAGTGGGGGGGAGGGAGGGGGAGGCGGAGAGAGAGGAGGAGGACGTGAGAGGAGAGAGGAGGCACAGAGGCAGGCTGCTGAGACGAAAAGACTCCTTCACTCCCTCAACATCCTCCTCTTCCTCCTCGTCCTCCTCTTCCTCCTCTTCCTTCTCTTCTCCCTCTCCTCCCCTCTCCCCCCGATGGATTCTCACCTCTTCTCTCTGGCGAGTGTCCTGGTTCCCCTTTGTTCTCGACAATCTTCCACCGGAAATCCAGCCGGCCAATCACAAGCCGCCAGCTGGTGTGGACGAGGCGGGAGTAAGGAGGTTTCTGAGGCGGCATGCTGAGCTGGACAGTGGCGGGCTGATCGGGTTTGTGATGTGGAGCCAGAGACAGTTCCGGGAAGCTTCCTCTGCTGCGAGCATAGCTGCACAACAAACAGCTACAGCAGCAGCAGTGGGAGGAGGAGGAGGAGGAGGAGCAGGAGGGATAAGGGGAGGAGGAGGAGGGGAAGGAGGGGAAGGAGAAGGTGAAGCAGCAGGCAATGTAGCAGCGTTCGACCGAAACGGGTTGCGGGTTTCGTTGTTTCCTGAGCCGATGCCGCCCTTTTTGTACGGGCGGGGCCCTCAGGGGTGGCAGTGGGTGCTTCGGCAGCTGGCTTGGGCAAGCCGAGGGACGGGTAGTGCTAGTGGTAGCAGCACGGGCAGGGAGGGGGCTGACAGAGGGCAAGAACGAGAAAGGAGGAAGAGAGAGGCACTGGTGGGAGGGGGGGGAGTGGAGGGCAGGTGGGGGCACAGACGAGTGTGGTACTGGATGGGGGGCGTGGACGGGAAAAGTGCTGCAGTGGATCGGGGGAGGGGGCTTGGGGATTATGCAATGGCCGAGCATGACTTGGTGCATGTGGTTGGTCCGTTGGGTAGGGAGGGGAAGGTGGGAGGGGTGAGTAGGGAGGGTGTGGTGCATGTGGTTGATGGCACGGGTGCCGTGTCTGCTGTTCGCATTCACCCTCAGTATGACTCGGTGAAAGAGGCCGAGCGGGCGAGGGGGGGTGCGGAGCAGGGCAGGAGAATGGGTGAGGGGGATGGGGAGAGGGGGAGGAGTGGGAGGTGGGTGGCGCTGCCAGCTGTGCATAGTGCCACGTGGCATGGGCAGGTGAATGAGATGCTGCTGCGAGGGGGAGTGGGGGACTGGGGGGAAGTACTGGGGGAAGGACGGCGGGAGGGAAGGGGGGAGGGACAGGGGACGGAAGGGGCCGTTGGGGGTATGAGAGAGGGAGTTGGAGGGGAGGAGGAGGGGGAGGAGGGGGGAGAGATCGCATGGGAGTGGAAGAGGTTGGGAGGGGAGCCTACAGTGGCGCATCTGCGATGGCATCTGGCCACGTGCTATGGGCCCGAAGGTGAGTGATATGGCATGGGCCAGGTGGTGAGTGAGATGGCACGGCCCGCGTGGTGAGTGAGATGGCATAGTATGGATGTGCGAGCGATGGCATGGTAATGATGGTGATTGTGTGCGATGGCATGGTAATGATGGTGATTGTGTGCGATGGCATGGTAATGATGGTGATTGTGTGCGATGGCATGGTAATGATGGTGATTGTGTGCGATGGCATGGTAATGATGATGATTGTGTGCGATGGCATGGTAATGATGGTGATTGTGTGCGATGGCATGGTAATGATGGTGATTGTGTGCGATGGCATGGTAATGATGGTGATTGTGTGCGATGGCATGGTAATGATGATGATTGTGTGCGATGGCATGGTAATGATGGTGATTGTGTGCGATGGCATGGTAATGATGGTGATTGTGTGCGATGGCATGGTAATGATGGTGATTGTGTGCGATGGCATGGTAATGATGGTGATTGTGTGCGATGGCATGGTAATGATGGTGATTGTGTGCGATGGCATGGTAATGATGGTGATTGTGTGCGATGGCATGGTAATGATGGTGATTGTGTGCGATGGCATGGTAATGATGGTGATTGTGTGCGATGGCATGGTAATGATGGTGATTGTGTGCGATGGCATGGTAATGATGGTGATTGTGTGCGATGGCATGGTAATGATGGTGATTGTGTGCGATGGCATGGTAATGATGGTGATTGTGTGCGATGGCATGGTAATGATGGTGATTGTGTGCGATGGCATGGTAATGATGGTGATTGTGTGCGATGGCATGGTAATGATGATGATTGTGTGCGATGGCATGGTAATGATGGTGATTGTGTGCGATGGCATGGTAATGATGGTGATTGTGTGCGATGGCATGGTAATGATGGTGATTGTGTGCGATGGCATGGTAATGATGGTGATTGTGTGCGATGGCATGGTAATGATGGTGATTGTGTGCGATGGCATGGTAATGATGGTGATTGTGTGCGATGGCATGGTAATGATGGTGATTGTGTGCGATGGCATGGTAATGATGGTGATTGTGTGCGATGGCATGGTAATGATGGTGATTGTGTGCGATGGCATGGTAATGATGGTGATTGTGTGCGATGGCATGGTAATGATGGTGATTGTGTGCGATGGCATGGTAATGATGGTGATTGTGTGCGATGGCATGGTAATGATGATGATTGTGTGCGATGGCATGGTAATGATGGTGATTGTGTGCGATGGCATGGTAATGATGGTGATTGTGTGCGATGGCATGGTAATGATGGTGATTGTGTGCGATGGCATGGTAATGATGGTGATTGTGTGCGATGGCATGGTAATGATGGTGATTGTGTGCGATGGCATGGTAATGATGGTGATTGTGTGCGATGGCATGGTAATGATGGTGATTGTGTGCGATGGCATGGTAATGATGGTGATTGTGTGCGATGGCATGGTAATGATGGTGATTGTGTGCGATGGCATGGTAATGATGGTGATTGTGTGCGATGGCATGGTAATGATGGTGATTGTGTGCGATGGCATGGTAATGATGGTGATTGTGTGCGATGGCATGGTAATGATGGTGATTGTGTGCGATGGCATGGTAATGATGGTGATTGTGTGCGATGGCATGGTAATGATGATGATTGTGTGCGATGGCATGGTAATGATGGTGATTGTGTGCGATGGCATGGTAATGATGGTGATTGTGTGCGATGGCATGGTAATGATGGTGATTGTGTGCGATGGCATGGTAATGATGGTGATTGTGTGCGATGGCATGGTAATGATGGTGATTGTGTGCGATGGCATGGTAATGATGGTGATTGTGTGCGATGGCTTGGTAATGATGGTGATTGTGTGCGATGGCATGGTAATGATGGTGATTGTGTGCGATGGCATGGTAATGATGGTGATTGTGTGCGATGGCATGGTAATGATGGTGATTGTGTGCCGCAGAAGAATTAGGTACTGGGTTTGGGATGGCGGGGTGAGAAGTCGATTTTTGAGTCCGACTTTAAAATGGGGGGGTGAGCCAATAGTGGCACATTCGCGGTGGCATGTGGCTGGGAGGTGAGATGGCATGGCATGAGTTGCAAGGTGAGGTGGCATGGCATGAGTTGCAAGGTGAGATGGCATGGCATGAGTTGCAAGGTGAGGTGGCATGGCATGAGTTGCATGGTGAGATGGCATGGCATGAGTTGCAAGGTGAGATGGCATGGCATATGTTGCAAGGTGAGATGGCATGGCATATGTTGCAAGGTGAGATGGCATGGCATGAGTTGCAAGGTGAGATGGCATGGCATGAGTTGCAAGGTGAGATGGCATGGCATGAGTTGCAAGGTGAGATGGCATGGCATGAGTTGCAAGGTGAGATGGCATGGCAGTTTATGTTATGGTGGTGCTTGCTGCTGCCATATTAGGAGCGGGCAGGAGCTGCACACCTCTTGCAACGGGGGTGCTGCTTCACTCTCTTGGACAATCCTGAATGGAATGTGGCTGTCCAATCATTTTCTCTGCCTTCACTCTCATCCCACCCACCCACTCAGCCGAGCACCCCTGTATCATGCGTCGCATCCGCCCCGGCAGCTGCCCGTACGAGCACGCCCAAGCCTCCTGCAACAGGGGTTCTCTGCTCCTGCAACAGGGGTTCTCTGCTCCTGCAACAGGGGTTCTCTGCTCCTGCTCCCCTGAATGGGATGTGGCGGTTCAACCATTCCCTCTGCCTTCCCACTTACATCCCACCCCCCAGGTGAACACCCCTGTCTCATGCGTCGCATACGCCCTGGCATCTGCCCCTGTGAACTTGCCCACGCCTCCCGCTGCTCCTCCCTCCCCTCCGCCCCCTTCCGTGCCGGTCCCTACTTCGCCTGCTCCCCTGAACCTCCGCCTCCCCCTCCCCGGCCGGTACTCGCTATAAGCCTCCCCAATACCTCGGTTTTGACATTTGTGAGAACAAAAAGTGCTGTAGCCGGGGAAAAGGGGATGGAGTCAGTGGGGCGCCTGGAGGGAGGGGGTGAGACCAGACAAGGTGGGGAAGAGGTAGAGGTGGTGCAAGCACGGGGGTTAGAGGAGGTGGTGGGGGAGGTGGCGGATGGGTACAAGGCGGTGGTGCTTGTGGCGGTCACCTACCACTATGCCTCCATGCTTCTCAGCTTCGCTTGCATGTGGGTGCGTCATTCTTTCATGTGTGCTGCTGTATTGTGAAAGCCTGGCTTTGCTTTGATCCGGGATCTTCTCTCGGGTCCCTTTCTTTTTGCAACGTTTGGTTCAGGTGTGTGTTTCTCCTTCCTCCTTTCTCCTCTTGCGCTTTATGATGTTTTCCTTCCGGTCTCATTTTGTCAGGTGGCATGGCACATGGCACGTACATGGCACATGGCACGTACATGGCACATGGCACGTACATGGCACATGGCACGTACATGGCACATGGCACGTACATGGCACATGGCACGTACATGGCACATGGCACGTACATGGCACATGGCACATACATGGCACATGGCATGTACATGGCACATGGCATGTACATGGCACATGGCATGTACAGGACACATGGCATGTTTGTATTCTAGTTCGTGCCATGTGCAACCTATTCTTCTCTCAGTTTCCTTCTTCTCCCCTTCCCCTCCCTTCAGGCTCCGCCGTCTCTCAGTGCCCAACCTGCTGGTAGCAGCTCTCGACCCCTCGGCCTACCGCATCGCTCTCCTGCACGGCCTCCCCGTCTTCTACGACAACACCACTGCAGCACCAGCGTTGCCAAGAGATGCACAAGGAGCAAACGGAGCACAAGGAGCAAACGGAGCAGAGGGAGCAGAGGGAGCAGAGGGGTTCGGGGCAGGCGGCTGTGCGTTCAACAGCCACTGCTTCCGGCACTACACCAAGCTCAAGAGCCGCGCCGTGCTGCGCGTGCTGCGGCTGGGCTATGCTGTGCTGTGGAGCGATGTGGATGTGGCGTGGTTTGAGAATGCCATGCCCATGCTGTGGCAATATGGGGATGGGGTGCTGGCGATTCAGGTGAGGAGGGGTTGCGGTGGGCTGTACATGACTTCGCTCATGGCATTGTATCAGCTTCCTTCCCCGTGTGGCGGGTGCTGCGGATGGGCTATGCCGTGATGTGGAGTGATGTGGACGTGGCGTGGTCTGAGAATCCGCTGCCCATGCTATGGCAGTATGGAGAGGGGGTGCTAGCAATACAGGTGAGCGGTTGTGCTGTACAGGAGTGGCTCCGCTAAACCAGAGCAACAAGCCTTACCCCCCTTCTCCCAGTCAACTCCTCTTGCCGCATCAACAGTGGCTTCTACCTCGCTCGCCCCTTTGATCTCTTCTGGGAGCCACTCATTTCTGCATGGTGTTTTGTGCACTGTATGTATGCCACTTCCTCCCCCTTCCCAACCCACCATCAGAGCAACGAGCCTGACCCCTCGCTCCCACCCAACGCCATCCGCCGCATCAACAGTGGATTTTACCTCGCTCGCCCCGACCCCCTCACCATCGCTGCTCTCACTGCTGTGGTCAAGCACGCGGCACACTCACGGCTGTCGGAGCAGCCTTCCTTCTATGATGTGCTGTGTGGGGAGCACGGGGAAAGGCGGGTGAGTGAATTGTTCTGTCTGAACGTTACTCAGCTGCAGATTTTCCCTGGCACATGCTGCTGTCACTCTCACTCACTGCTGTGGTCAAACATGCCGCACACTCACGGCTGTAAGAGCAGCCGTCCTTCTATGATGTGCTGTGTGGGGAGCATGGGGAGCGAAGGGTAAGTAGCTTGCTCTGCTCTCTCTCACCATCGCTTCTGTTCTTCTCATTCACTCATCCTGCCGCACATTCACTGTGCTCATCCCATCCCATCACCTATGCTATCCTACCTGCTGCATGCCAGGCTTTTGAGACGTCTGAAAAGTCATCCCATCACCTATGCTATCCTACCTGCCGCATGCCAGGTGGGCTCTGATGCGTGCCAGTGGACCAATGGCCTGCGAGTAGTCTTCCTGCCGCGTCAGCAGTTTCCCAACGGGGCAGTTTACCAGCTGTGGGGGCCCAGGGAAGGAGATGCTGGCAGTGGGCAAGGGGAGGTGTTATCTGGTGCTGATGGTGAGGGGGAGGTGGTATCTGCTGGGAGTTCAAGTGCGAGGGACGAGTGTGAAAGAAGAGGGTGTGTGATTCTGCACAATAACTGGATCGCAGGTGGGTTGTCCTAGCAGCTTCAACACTTCCAAATACAGCACTTGTATCAGCTGCGGTTGCCTCTATTCAACTCTCCTCCCCATCCTCATCCCCACCCTTGTTATTTACCAAAAGAACATTATGTGAGCCTCTCCCTTCTCCCCACTTCCCCTTCTTCCCTTCCCCGTTCCACCTTGCTCTAATTTCAACCATTCATGTGCGATGGGATCCCATGTTTTACCACCTCTTCATTTGCTAACTCGACCTCCCCACCACTTGCAGGCTACGATGCAAAGGTGTCGCGCATGAAGAACCATAAACTATGGTACCATGACGCCACAAACCACATGTGCATCAATCTGTAGTGCAGTTTTACATGATGCACAATTCAGTAAAAATGTTTCACATACAGCAGAAGCTCATATATTATTCGATGTGATCAATTTTGCTGCTGGACATAATTATTTATACATTTCCGTTACATTTTATCAATGATCGCCGGAGCAACTCCCCATTCGCGACCAATCGCCGCTTGACTTCCAGCCAACTCTCGAAAATTGTAAGGAATTTTCTCGGCATTCCTTACGGAGCCCGACCAGGCCTAATTTTATCAGTGTAAATCACCCTGATACCCTGATAATCAGGGTGGTTTTTTATGGTCACACTGATGGGCTAGGGTTTTTTTTTGGGGAGGTTGATTTACCCTGATGTGTCAGGTTTTTTTTGTAAGGCACACTGATGGCCAAGAGTTTACGGATCCCGTATCAAGTTTTACCCTGTAACGCGTAACCTACCCCCCCCCCTCCCCCCAGTTCACCCACCCCCACTTTCCCGTAACCTGGGATTCCACCAAGGCCACTGAGGCCGGAATTTCGGCTTTGACAACTCCTGTGCTGGCACACAGAGGGCCACTATTGGCCAGGGTTACAGTTTCCTTGCTGGCACCGCCACCTCCGCTAGTTGGTATGTTTGTCAGACTTGACAACAAGGCCAGGTTGGCTGGAAACTTGGCTGACTGCAGCAACAATGACCACGATGAACAGCCTTGGGGCATGTCTGATGATGAGTAGGATCTGTATTGCGTGCAGCATTAAAAAAAACTGACCAGGCTTTACAATAATCTTACACTGATGCGACAGGGTAAATTTTTTGAAAGTTAAGAATACCCTGATGGGAAAGTTTTTCTATAGGGGGTCACACTGATAATCAGTTTTTTTAGCTAGGGGTACACTGATCTTAAGGGTATGTCAAATCCAAAAATTTGCCCTGAGCCCGACTACATCGCGTATAGCAATACAACAGCCGTTGTTTGCTCGTTACTGTTAACGGGACTTCGCCAACTTCGCGCGCACTGTTTTGCCAAACCTCGCACTGCTGGCCCGGCCGTGTCGGCCTACGCTCCGGGACTAGCCCGAGCCTCGCTGCCAGCGTAGCACTAGCTAGCTCGCACGCACCGCGTTACCGTTTGCATGTTCGCCTATAAATGTTCGCTCATGCCTTCGCTCACATCGTTGTACTCGTTTTGACACTGCAATTCTCGCTACTTAGATTCATTGCACCCGTAACAAAAGTAAATAACTCGCCAGCTCCAGTAATCTTCGCATAAGCATGTCCGGGTTACCCCCTGCCACTATTTTCCAAATTTTGCCTAGATTTTGGGGGCGGCGGAAGGCGCAGCGCTTTATCAGCTTTTGTTCTTGCGGGGAAACTGATATATCTCCCTCATTGTACGGGCCTCGCTGTATCATTGGTGCATTTCAATAATTTACCGCACTTCGTTGCGCCTGCGACGCGCAACGACCGAGAAACGACAAGAGCCGAGCGACGAGCGACGGGCGACGATGTCGCTAGGGTTTGCGCGCGACAGCGCGGCGGAGGTGCGACTAGACGCCGCCTTGCAGCGACTCCGCGCGCTCGACTCGAGCGTGCGGCCGTCGTCGATTGTCGCCGTCGGGGATGCCCTCCCGATCGGCGCCGATGCATCCTTCCTCAGGTAACGCCGTCCTTAGCTTTCTCAGGTAGAACCCTTCTCAAGTAGCACCTTCCTCAGGTGATAAATTCTACTGTGGGATGCTCACTGCGTCTGCAATCACGCTAACACTTAGTAGCTAACAATGCTGCTGCTGCTGCTGCTCTGCTTTGCTCCTCCTCCCTCTCTGTGCGCCTGGATGGAATCGGCAGGGGGCACGGCACGAGGGAGGGAGAGGAGGGGCAGGTGTGTGCCACGGTGTGCGGCGTGGTGAAGCGCATCAACCGCCTGCTCTCCGTGCAGCCGCTCAAGACGTGGTATGGGCTGTGGGCTGGGCTGGGCTGTGGGCTGGGCTGTGGGCTGGGCTGTGGGCTGGGCTGGGCTGTGGGCAGGGCTGTGGGCTGGGCTGGGCTGTGGGCTGGGCTGTGGGCTTGGCTGGGCTGTGGGCTGGGCTGTGGGCTTGGCTGGGCTGTGGGCTGGGCTGGGCTGTGGGCTGGGCTGGGCTGTGGGCTGGGCTGTGGGCTGGGCTGTGGGCTGGGCTGTGGGCTGTGCTGTGCTGTGCTGTGCTGTGATGTGCTGTGCTGTGCTGTGATGTATTGTGTTGTGTCGTCAGGGAATATCATGTGGATTGGTATGTGGTCGAGCGTGCATGCCATGTGTGGTGAAGCTCATCAACCGCCTGCTCTCCTCTCCTCTCCTCTCCTCTCCTCTCCTCTCCTCTCCTCTCCTCTGCTCTCCTCTCCTCTCCTCTCCTCTCCTCCTCTCCTCTCCTCTCCTCTCCTCTGCTCTCCTCTCCTCTCCTCTCCTCTCCTCTCCTCTGCTCTCCTCTTCTCTCCTCTCCTCTCCTCTCCTCCTCTCCTCTCCTCTCCTCTCCTCTGCTCTCCTCTCCTCTCCTCTGCTCTCCTCTCCTCCCCTCTCCTCTCCTCCTCTCCTCTCCTCTCCTCTCCTCTGCTCTCCTCTCCTCTCCTCTGCTCTGCTCTGCTCTGCTCTCCTCTCCTCTCCTCTCCTCTCCTCTCCGTGCAACCGCTCAAAACCTGGTGCGTGGCGGTGCTTTGTCATGTCTTGTGATATGATATCAGGTGTTCAAGTCATGTCATGTCATGTCGTGTCGTGTCGTGTCGTGTCGTGTTGTGTCATGTGCTTCAAGTGTAGGGCAAGCCTGGTAACAGAGACGTGGTGGTGGGGCGCGTGGCAGTGCTCGTCCCCAAGTGTAAACTTTCAGTTTCTCCCCTCTTCGCCCTCCCCTTCTCCCCCATTAACCCTTTCTCCCCATACCCCAGGCACGTGGCGCAGACAGGAGAAGTGGTGGTGGGCCGCGTGACAGAGCTCGCCCCCCAAGCGGTGGACAGTGGGGCACTGCAACAGTGGAGCATAACAACCCAACCCACCTTCTTCCCATCCCTCCCTTCTCCCCACACTGAATGCAGGTACGTGGCGCAGACAGGAGACGTGGTGGTGGGCTGGGTGACAGAGCTCGCCCCAAGCGGTGGAAGCTGAATGTGCAAAAAAACACCCCTCTCTCTCCCCAACGCCCCTCATCTCCTCTCCCTCACTCCACCCCCCCTCTGCAGGTACGTGGCACAAACAGGAGACGTGGTGGTGGGGCGGCTGACAGAGCTCTGTCATGTGCCACGTACTTTGGGGAATGACAGAGCTCACCCCCCAAGCGGTGGACAGTGGAACACTGCACCAGTCCCCCCTCACCTCCCCACCTCCCCACCCTCCCCCCCTCCCTCCCTCTCTCCCCATACCCCAGGTACGTGGCACAAACAGGAGACGTGGTGGTGGGGCGGGTGACAGAGCTCGCCCCCAAGAGGTGGAAGCTGGCTGTGGGGTCGGCGCATGAAGCACAGCTCATGCTCTCCGCTATCAACCTGCCGGGAGGAGCCCAGGTGAGGAGGAGGTAGGTGAGGAGAGGAGGCGGGCTCGTTGTAAGGTGCTTGTGGGGGAGAGAAGGGGTGGGGGGGGGAAAGAAGCGGTGGAAGCTGGATGTGGGCGTGGGGTTGGTGCAGGAGGGAGGCACAGCTCGCGTGCCATTATAACGAGGTGACTTTTGAGTCGCCTCAAAAGTCACCTCGTGGGGTTGGTGCAGGAGGCATACCCTGTGAGCAACCTGCTGAGGGGTTGGAGTGCAGCTGAGACTGTGTCAAACAGGATGAGGCAGAGGGTACTAAGGAAGGTCGAAGTGCAGCCGTGATAGAGTGGTGCCAATGTTATCACAGCTTTTTCTATCCAAGAGCGCTTTGTTTTCTGTGCATGCGTCATCCATGACTCTCCTTTTTCTCACCCCTCATCTCGTTGTATTTCCCTGTCTTGTACCAGAGGCGGCGCACAGCAGTGGATGAACTGAACATGAGGAACATCTATGTGGAGGGGGACCTTGTCACGGTGAGTAGAGTAGCGCTCCTTGCGGCGCCGCTAAAGTCTCCTCTTCACTTCTCTACTGTGGATGAGCTGAACGTGAAAGCATGAGGAGCATGTACAGAGTAGCACGTAGATGGTTAGTGGAGGTCTAGGTCAAGTCAAGGCATGATTGTTTGTGTGAACGGTAGTTGGGATCAATGTGTGCAATGGCCGGCAGTGCCTCTTTGTCGCACGGATCAGTGTTTTGACGGTGCTGTGTTTGTTGTGAGAGTTTGTATTGTCCAGCGTATTTTTGTGATATTTATCTGTCTCAGAATGGCACGATCCGATTGTTGCACAGGTGAAGGATCAAATCATGAGTTGTTCTTTTTCTTCTAAACTCCTCTTCTTCTTCACCCCCATGGTTACAGGCAGAGGTCCAGAGTGTGTTTCATGATGGCTCGGTGGTGTTGCACACTCGCAGCGATAAATATGGCAAGGTATTGATGAAAAGTGCTCTAATTTGAGACGTCTTGTAACTCCGTATATGACCAGGTTTAGTTGGATGGAGTTTTATTTCGCCCGTGGTTATGACAAGGGGGTGCTAGGCGTCATGAATCGTCATGAACCTCATGCCCTTCTGTTCCCATCCCCCATGCACTGTTCCACTGCAGTTGTCAGGGGGTCTACTTGTGCACGTCCCCCCATACCTCGTACGCCGCCTCAAGCAACATTTCCACATGCTCTCGCCCTCTGGCCCGCTCCTTGTCTTTGGCTGCAATGGCTGGCTCTGGGTGGGCCAACCGCCTCCCCCCACCTCTTCATCCGGCCCATCTGGAACCCAGGGTGAAGGGGCTAGCGGGGGTGTTGGTGGCGGTGCTGGTGGAAAAGGTGCGGCTGAAACGGCTGTGGGTGTGGAGGAGCGGGAGAGGATTTGTCGAGTGGCGGCGGCGATTCGGGCGCTAGAGAGGGGAGGTTTGGCGGTGGATCCGCCGGCGCTGGCGAGAGTGGTGGAGTGGAGCGTGGCGATGGGCGTGTCGGTGGCGGAGATGGGTGATGAGGATTTTGTCGCGACTGTTGTGGAAAAGGAGGTGGAGAAGAGGGAGGCTGATGCGGCGGAGGGGAGCTGAGTGTGTCACTTTGCTGGAAAGGTGACACTAAATTGAAATAGATGCATGCTGGCAAAGGACATTTAGTTAAAAATCATCATTCCTAGCTTCTTAGTCTAAGAGAGCCCTCACGTTTTTCGTTTGGAAGCAGTTTGTCGGAATTACAATAGCGAGTATATACCCTTTGCGGCCTCGCGATACTGTTGTGTACACTCCAAAAGGCAGTGGCACTGATTGTCGCACCTACTGTATATACTTCCATTTGCAGGTTGAAACTCCAGCTAAATGTAATGCATTTATTACCAAGACCTGGGTACAGTTTTTGGCCGTACGTTTGTACGTCTTGTCGGGCAGCGGGATGGAAAGGGCAACATCAGCAGCAGCCTCCATTGCAAACTCTGACGGGGCACCATCAACAACCCCACATGGGTGACGTCACTAGACAAGCCAACACTTCACAGAAGCAGTTCGAGTGTCGTGTCGTCGACTGACAAAATTAGGTCACTCTACTTAGGTAGTTAATATATTCGCGGTTCCTCAGAACCCACAGACCCCGTCTTACCGCAATTAACTTTACCTGTCTGTCGTCCTTATTTTTTCCACTACTCTAAGTAGCTTTTATTGAAATTTCATTCAAACCCATGTCACCTCAGTCTGAGATCAATGCAAGTCACATTCCGCATACTGAGGCGTATCTGACGGTCTAGGTGAACGCATGGAAGTAGCATTTCAATCGACACATTTGACTTCTCGACCGCATCAACCAGCATTACTAGCACTCGCCGCTGAGCCCGCCGCAATGGACGCGTTCGCGTCCGAGGATCGTTACAATGAGTATTCTTTGCAAGCTGACTATAACGAGTACGGAGCGCGAGACGCTACGGGGAATGATTCGCATGAGCATTTTCACGATGGTTACGCGTACGAGGGTAACGATTATGATAATTCAGGCTATGACAATCCTGCTGATGAGCTGTACGGTGATCATCATGACACGTGGCACGAGCAACCGCAGATGCCACAGCACCAACAGCACCAGCAGCAACCCCAGCAGCAGCAGCAGCAGCAGCAGCAGAAACAGCAGAAAGGAAGGAAGGTCAAAGTAAAGGCGTCAACACAACAAGCAGTCTCAAGAAGCAGAAGCACCGAGGAAACTATAAGATGGGGGCCTGGTGAAAGGTACAAGGAGAGGGGACGGGGGCGACACAGGGATAGTTATAACGACGTGGAGTATTTAAGAGACGAGGAGAGCGGAGAAGCGGAAGAGGAGGGAGACGACGTAGGGGTATCCGGAGGAGAGGAGTTCAATAACGGGGATGGCGGGCTTCGGGTGATAACCAGCAGTGAAGTCTGTAACGCGGACAACAGCTGTGCTGTTGTGGGGGAGGTTGTGGATCCGATAGAAGACGTTCCGAAGCCTAATAACGAGTGGGACGACATTCCGTTGGGTTACTCTATCTCCACGCCGGTGGGAAACTACCCTAACCAACATCCGGATGCGCTAAGACAGAGCATCTTCAAACGAGGACGTGGTGTACAGGTCTTGGACGAGAAGCAATTAGAAGAGCATAAGCAGCGGCAGGAGCAGCAACAGGAGCAGGAGCAGCAGCAGGGAGGGGGCTTACCAGGGGAGGAGCATTTAGATCCGTGGCTGAGAGGGCCTGTGAGAAAGGTCAACGCGTGGTTTGAAACAGCAGCAGTAGTGGATCCTAACGTTGTTCCTCCTCTTCCTCTCCCTGCTCCTGCTGTTCCTGTCGCTCCTGCTGGTGGTGCTGCTGGCGGTGGTGGTGGTGCTGCTGCTGCTGCTGCTGCTGCTGCTGCTGCTGTTTCCGCATATAATGAAGGTGTTAATATTGAGAGGAATGATGCTCCTGCTGACCTCAGCAGGGGTATGGACGGTGGAGGTGCGATCTGGGAGCAGCAGGAAGGTGAGTGTGACTACGAATTCCGTGACAGAAACGAGGGCCAGGCAGGGGTGCGTGAGGCTGGGAAGCGAGGGTCTAGAGGGGGGAGTGGAGGTGAGGGAAGTGCTTATAAAGGGCGGGATGATGGCGATTTGTTCGGTGGGGATGGTAGGGATGCAGAGGGATGGGAAGTGGTGGACGAGGGGCAGGAGGAAGAGGAGGGAGAGGAAGGTGTGGGAAGGGAGAAGGGCGGAGGAGATGAGGAGGAGGAGGAGGAGGAAGTCGACGAGGAAGTGGGGGGAAGGAGAAGGACCGGGGATTCAAAAGACGATTCATTTGAAAATGGCGGAGTGTACTGTGGTGCTGTCTATAACGAGCATGATGAGGATGCTTATGGCGGGTATGGCGGGCAGGGGTTGGGGGTGGATAGGAGAGGTGGGAGAAGGGGGTTTGGGGGAGTTGGAGAGGAGGGAGAGGAGGAGGAGGAGGAGGAGGAGGAGGAGGAGGAGGAGGAGGAGGAGGAGGAGGAGGAGGAGGAGGAGGAGGAGGAGGAGGAGGAGGAAGAGGAGGAAAGGGAGGAGGAAGAGGAGGAAAGGGAGGAGGAGGATTTTAATCAGCAAAGACAGTCTCAAAAGGAAACTGATTCCCAGGGGTATTCACAGGTGCAGGCGCAGGGGACCACACAGGGGCGTGCACTGGTATCAGCGCGTGATGGGATGCGGGCGGTGGGAGGGGGAGGGGAGGATGAGAAGGCACGATGGGCAGAAAAATGCGCTTCTCGGTTGAAGGAGTGGGAGAGAGAGGAGGATGAGGATGATGATGAGGATGGCGTGGGGGAGGGGAGAGGGGACGGTGGAGAGAGGGGAGAGGATGAAGAGGAGGAAGAGGAGGAAGAGGGGGAGGAGGAGGAGGGGAAAGGGGGTGCGGACATGTATGGAGAAGACTACCGGTTTAATAGAGATGGGGAGAGTGGGTATGGAGACAGGGGTCATGAGGAAGAGGAGTATGGGAAGGTGGAGCATGGAGACGGGGAGTATGAAGAGGGGGAGTATGGAGAGCGGGAGCATAGAGCAGGGGGGTATGGTGAGGGGGGGTATGGTGAGGGTGGTTATGGAGAAGAGGGGCACAGAGAGGGGGAATACGGAGGGGGGGGGCATGGCAGGGACGGGTATGCAAATGGAGAGGGTGCAGGAGCCTGGCAGGAGGAGCACCAAGGGGAGGACGCAGGAGGGCATATGGGAGGGGCAGTGAGAGGGCAGATGGGCGGGCAGATGGGCGGGCAGATGGGCGGGCAGATGGATGATATGTATGGGTCGTTTGACGTGACTGGGGCTGCGTATGGGGGGGGTTCTGGTCGGTACTCATCGCATGGGGAAGGGTCTTTTGAGGCGCCTCAAAAGTCGGGTTCTGGTCGATATTTAATGCACGGGGAGGGTTCTGGTCGGTACTTGTTGCATGGAGAAGGGCAGGAGGCAGTAGAGGAGGAGGAGGAGGAGCAAGAGTGCGACGAGTCGCAGGTGGCAGGTGCGGTAACCGCACGAGCCATCGATCTAGTTCCCACTGGGGGTGGTTGGTCAGATGACGCAAGGGGATCGGTTTTGCCTGCTCCCTCGCCCTCCACTCCCCTCGCTCGCCCTGCTGCCCGTTCCACTGCCCCTGCCACTCTCCAATCCACTGCTGCTGGTTCTGCTGCCTCTGCTGGTACTGGTGCTGGTGCCAGTGGTGGTGCTGCTGCCGGTCCTGGTGCTGCTGCTGTGGGTGGGAAGAAGGTGGGTAAGGGTGAGAGACTAGGTCGGGTTGGTTCTGGTTCTGGTGGGGATGGGGTGGGCAGTGGAGGGGAGAGTGATAATCGCAGTGCAAGGGGCACAATGAGAGGTGGAGCAGGGAGGGGAGTGGGTGGAGGACGCGGAAGGGGGGGGGGGAGGGGGTGTGGGGCGGACGCGGTTAGGGCAACGTTCGGATGATGAGGGGTGGGGGGTCGAACAGTCAGGGGTGGGGGGACGAGCAGAGGAGAGTGGGAGTGTGGGGGAAGGGGGCGGATGGGGTGAGGGTGGCGGGTATGATCAGTATGGGTACCAGCAGCAGCAGCAGCAGCAGCAGCAGCAGCAGGGGTTGGGATTACAGGGAGCAGCAGCAGGCAATGGTGGTGGTGGCGAGTGGCATGAGCACGACTTCCAAACCAGACACGACCCAGATACTGGGTTGGAAGATGGATATGGGCATGGGTATGGCAACAGCGTTGATCAAGACACTGGGTTCGGGGATGGGTATGGCAACAGCGTTGATCAAGACCCTGGGTTCGGGGATGGGTACGGGAATGATACCAGAGATGCGTTTGGAGATGGGTTTGGGGATGAGTATGATGGAGATGGGCACGGGGATGGCTATGACAATGACCTCCACCCTCACTCCCAGCAGCCACATTACTCTCAGCACCAGCAGCAGCAGCAGCATCAGGTGCAGCAGCAGCAGCAGTCCTACTTGCAGGGCCAGCAGCAGGACTCTCAGCAATCTTACTTTCAGCAGTCTTTCTCTCAGCAGCAGCAGTACTCAGATGCTCTCAATTCCTTCTCCCAGCCCTCTGACCCCTCAACCTCTTTCTCCCAGCAATCTGTTGATCCGCGGCAGCTGCAACAAGGCTACTCGTATGACCACCAGCAGCAGCAGTCGTTTTCCCAGCAGCAGCAGCAGCAACCGTTTTCCCAGCAGCAGCAGCAGCAACCGTTTTCCCAGCATCCCCAAGACACCCAGCAGGGATATTCTCAGGGATCGCAGCCCTACTATCACCCGCAACAGCAGCAGCAGCAGCCGTACGACTCACAGCACACCCCACCCATGCAAAGCCCAATCCCGTACTACAACCACCAACCCCCTGATCCACCCCAAGATATCTTCCCCCCTGCCCAGTCGTACGGGCAGGGTAGCATGCCCGCTGTAACACCTCGGCGGGCAGGTAAAAAGTCTATCCAGTTCCAATCCATGCCTGGGGATAGTTTTGGGCAGCAGGAGGAGGTATATTGCCCTCCCATCACTCCTGGCCGTGTTGCGGGGGGGAGTGGAGGAAGAGGAGGGAAAGGGAGCGGGCAGGGAGGGAGGCTGAGTGGTGATGAAGGAAGGGGAAATTACCCACAGCAGCCGCAACAGCTGCAGCAGCAGCAGCAGCAGCAGCAGCAACAGCTGCAACAGGTGGTTTCAGCTGCAGCAGCAGCACAACAGCAGTATGCACCCACTACCCCTGGACGCTTGAAAAAGCCTGTGGGGGGGATTCATCAGCCAATCACGCCGCGACATGTGGCTGCTAGAGGGGGGGTGAGTGGTGGGGGTGGTGAGGTAAGATTTGATCCTGTCACACCAAGATATGATCCTGTAACTCCCAGATTTGATCCTGTAACCCCAAGATACGATGCTGTAACTCCAAGATACGATCCTGTTACTCCGAGACGAACGAAACAGCCGATTCAGCAGTATCCTCAGACTTATCAGCAGCAGCAGCCGCAAAACCAGCAGTATGGTTACCAGCAGGAGGAAGCACCAGCAGCAGCAGAAGCAGTTACCAGACGCAAGCAGCGCGTGGCCTTTGACGACCAGGTCGAGGAAGCTTATATCGAGGACGGGGATGTGCAGACGAATGTGAGATCTCTTAGCACGAAAACAGGCGAGGAGCGGAGAGGTGAAAAGGCAAAGGTTGGTGTGGGAGGAGCAGGGCCGATGGGGAAGAGCGGACAAGCACAGGGTGGGCGGGAGGAGAGGAGGGGACGGATACAGCGGCCTATGGACGATGGGGAGGAGAGGAGAGGAAGGCTTCAAAGACCAATAGAGGATGGGGAGGAGAGGAGAGGGCGTCTTCAGAGACCAATGGAGGATGGGGAGGAGGGAGGTAGGGGGAAGAGGTATGGGGGTGATGTTGCTCGCACCCCCAGGAAAGGGGTGGAAGTGAGAGGAGACGGGAGGGGAGAAGGGAGAGGGGGGGAATGGAGAGGGGGAGATGGACGGAAAGGGGAGGGACCGGAGGGGTATGGCAATCTAGCTCTGAAGAGGCAGCTGAGTTTGAAACTTGCTGTACCCACCACTCCCAGGGGAGAAGGGGGAATGATTGGCGGTGGGCCGAAGAGCGTGCGAGGGCGCAGTAAGAGCGGCGCGTGGGAGATGGAGGAAAGCGGGAGGAGAAGAGGAGGAGGAGGGTCAGGAGGAGGAGGGGGGTGGGGAGTGGAGGGAGGGAGCGGTGGGAGTGGAAGGAGGGAGCGTTTAGACGAGTTTGAGGATCCGTACGGTGGGACACAGGGACCGGGAGGAGGGGGGCGAGAGAGAAGGTCACGAGGGGGAGGGGCAGGAGGAGGAGCAGCAGAGATGGTTCCAAAGACGCCCAGGGACCACAACCCCAAGACCCCCAGGGGTGCGGCTGGTAGTGGTGGTGGGGGTGGGGTTGGTGATAGTGGGCTTTTGCGGACTCGAACGATGGATAGGGGAGAGGGGAAGTCGGGTGACAAGGGGGACAGGAGGAGCGCGGACAGAGGAGGAGGGTTTGGGCCTGGGAGGACAGGGGGCAAGGAAGCGAGGGAGCGAGGGGAGCGAGGGGAGCGAGGGGAGAGAGGGGAGAGGGTGCAGGGGGGTGCATCGGGAGCAACGAGGCGGATAGAGGTGACTAAGAGCATGTCTAGTAAGGACGTGGGGAAGGTTGGCGGCGGGGGGAGAGAGGTGAGCAAGGGCACGAGCTTTTCGCTCAAGGCTGCTTTGTTTGGGAGGGATTCGAAGGAGGGGAAGGGAGGGAAGGAGAAGGAGAAAGAGAAGGGGAGGGAGAAGGAGAGGGAGGGGAAGGATGGTGGATGGGCGAGGAGTAGAACAATGGATAATACCGAGGTGAAGATGCAGCGGCAGCTGAGCTACAAAAGGGGCCCGTTCTGATGTGACAGTAGTCTTTTGAGGCGCCTTAGAAGGGGAGGGATGGTGGATGGTCGAGGAGTCGAGCCATGGGTAATGGTAATGAGGTGAAAATGCAGAGACAGCTGAGCTACAAAAAGGGGCCCTTCTGATGTGACTGTTGTGATTAATTCTTCGTAGGGGTTTCGAAGAAAGTGGAGAATCCTCTGTATAGGAGCACTTCATGACCCGTTCCTACTGATGTAACATGCAACAACTGTCAACTTTGCGTGTAGTTTTGCGCCTCCTCTTTCCCCCCACCACACCCCCTGGGCAGATTAACCAAACCCACCATAACACACCAACATTCAGGGGTGCGAGGTGGGTCTTGTCCTCGCTGTTGACAGTTCCCATATCAAATAAACAACAACACAAATACGGTAAAAGCAACTCAGCAATCTGTAAGAGCCATTCAAGGGTTTTAAGACAATAATCATGTGTTGTGGTCTATGCAAAATTGGGCTAGAGATTGAATACCCTTCTTGCAAAAATAACTTCTGTTCCGTACCATTGGCTTTCTTCTTGTCTGCCTTGATTTTCAAAGATAAGACCAAGCAAAACTCAAAGCATCGGAATTTGACTGCTCTGGGCGTTTCCCTCACAGGCTGGAAAGCAAGGCTCAGCACCTCGGGTCGTCTAGGATTCACAGGAACGGAACGGAAGCTAAAACCGGAGGCAACTCTGATCATCCATTTCTGGCAGCGATGGCGGCGGCTCCGGTTAACTGATTCTGACAGCAATGGCGGCGAAAATGACGGAGAGGAGGCAGAAGACGAGCAGAAGGCTGTTCTTGATGGGCGTGGCGATGTATGGGCTCGAGAGGAAGTAGGCGGAGCAGGCAGCACTGCTCCAGGAAATCCAATGCGCGTATGCTGCGTCCTGGAGTGGTAAAAAAGAGATTGTGGGGCGTGGGAAGGCGTGAGTGTGTTGAGAAAGTAGGCGGAGCAGGCAGCACTGCTCCAGGAAATCCAATGCGCGTATGCTGCGTCCTGTGAGGGGTCAAGGGGGATGTTGTGGGGTGGGAGGGGGTGAGTGAGAGTGAAGGCGTGAGGGGAAGTAGGCGGAGCAGGCCGCACTGCTCCAAGAAATCCAATGCACGTATGCTGCGTCCTGGAGTGGTAAAGAAGAGATTGTGGGGCGTGGGAAGGCGTGAGTGTGTTGAGAAAGTAGGCGGAGCAGGCAGCACTGCTCCAGGAGATCCAATGTGCGTATGCTGCATGCTGCGAGGGGTCAAGGGGGATGTGAGGAGTGGGAGGGGGTGAGTGAGTGTGAGGGAGTGAGAGGAAGTAGTCAGGCAGCACTTGTCCAGGAGATCCAATGGGCGTATGCTGCATCCTGCGAGGGGTCAAGGCGTTGCAATGGAAGACAGTGAGAGGAGGGTATGGAAGGATCATGGAAAAAGAGAGGAAAGTGAGTGATAGAAGTTGGACAGGAGAAGGGAGGGGTCAAGCATGGAGAGACGATGGGAGGAGAGTGGGTGAGAGGTGGGGAGGATGGGAGGAGAGCGAATGAGAGAGGGGGAGGATGGGAGGAGTGTGAGTGAGAGGGGGGGAAGATGTGCGGAGAGTAGGTGGGAGAGGGGGAGGATGGGAGGAGAGTGAGTGAGAGGGGGGGAGGATGTATGCTGTGGGCTTCATTTCGTGTGGCAATTGGGGTCTCGGCCAATGGCAGCTTACCACGTCAGAGGGGAAGACCAATGGAAGGAGCGCCGTAATCTGAGATTGAAATGCAGTGGCACCGATTCCCCACAGCAGCGCACAGCTGCACACCAGCGCGAATGCTGCTGGCTTTGACATGGCTCTGGGGATGGGGGGAGGGGATGGAGGGTGGAGGAGGGAGGGGATGGGAAAAGGTTAGTGTCTCTGAACCAGTCGGTGTGAACCATAGTGCACAGCTGCACACCAGCGCGAATGCTGCTGGCTTTGACATGGCTCTGGGGAATGGGGGGAGGGGAGGGCGGAGGGTGGGAGGATGAGGGACGAGGGGGATGCAGAAGGGCAGAAAGGAACTAGGAGTGCACTCATCCTAGGAAGGTATAACGAGAACCAGGAGAGTTTAGAGGCAAGATGTGAGAGGACGAGTGAAGGAGGTGTGAGATGCTGGGCTAAGATGGGGCGGATGTGAGATGCTGGGCTAAGATGGGGCGGATGTGAGATGCTGGGCTCAGATGGGGCGGATGTGAGATGCTGGGCTAAGATGGGGCGGATGTGAGATGCTGGGCTAAGATGGGGCGGATGTGAGATGCTGGGCTAAGATGGGGCGGATGTGAGATGCTGGGCTAAGATGGGGCGGATGTGAGATGCTGGGCTAAGATGGGGCGGATGTGAGATGCTGGGCTAAGATGGGGTGGATGTGAGATGCTGGGCTAAGATGGGGCGGATGTGAGATGCTGGGCTAAGATGGGGCGGATGTGAGATGCTGGGCTAAGATGGGGCGGATGTGAGATGCTGGGCTAAGATGGGGCGGATGTGAGATGCTGGGCTAAGATGGGGCGGATGTGAGATGCTGGGCTAAGATGGGGCGGATGTGAGATGCTGATTATCTCTCACATGGCCGGCGTCGATACCATCACGTACGGATCGACACCATCACGTACGGATCGACACCATCACGTACGGATCGACACCATCACGTACGGATCGACACCATTGCATGGACGGATGGGAACGTTTGGTACATGCGATGACTAGAATTGCACGTGCAACAGTGAGGTTGCGAATGGCTGGAACGGTGATTCAAGCCATCATCAACCTTCTTGCCGGAATGACCGATCAAACACCGGCTGTAAAAGGCTTACCTGCCCTCAAAGAGCCATGTGAGGTGACTTCTGAGTCGACTTAAAAGTCAACCTTCCCGCCTGAATGTCCACCTGCTCCTGCTGCAACAGGCTTACCTGTCCTGAAAGAGCCATGTGAGGACGAGAACGGCTGCCTGAGAGGCAGCACCGAGCAGCAGCATGAGGCGAATCGACGAGAGGCCCTTGGCAAAGCGAGCTGCGAAGAAACAACACTGGAGGCGTGGGGGAGTGGGTGGAGATGCATGGAGCAGAGGAGCAGGATGAGCAGGAGCGAAGCCAAGAGTACCCACAGACAGGAGCCTACTTTTGAGGCGCCTCAAGAGAAGCCAAGAGTACCCACAGACAGGAGCCTACTTTTGAGGCGCCTCAAGAGAAGCCAAGAGTACCCACAGACAGGAGCCTACTTTTGAGGCCCCTCAAGAGAAGCCAAGAGCACCAAGGAGCACCAAGGAGCACCAAGGAGCACTTTTGGGCAAAGGGAGCTGGGAGGCATGGCGGACGCATTTCGGCGAAAGACTTTGTCAGAACCATAGAATTACAGGGAAAAAAACACAGAAGAGGAAAGGGAAAATCATCATAACAAAAAACTGCAGTAGCGACTCACGACAGCAATGGCGACTCCAAAGATCATCATGGCTCCGCCCATCCACTGCGCTCCCAGCAGCGGCTGCACCACATAGCGTGTGAAGTCAGCACTGCCACCAGGTGCATGGCAGGCATGGGAGGGAGGGGAGGGATGGGTGGGGGTAGGAAAGAAGAGGATTTTGAGTCCACTCAAAAGTTGCAAAACAAGTACCAGAGAATTCTACGCAGACAACTGTTCTAAGGTGACTTTTGAGTCGACTCAAAAGTCATTCTATGCAAACAACTGTTCCATCCTCCTCGTGATATGAAAACCAGGTGACTCTGAGTCGACTCACAAGAAAACCAGGTGACTCTGAGTCGACTCAAAAGTCAACTGCACCCGACAAGTACTCTATCCTCCTCTTGACGTCTAACATACCTGATCGTAACTTACCACCCTTACTGCCCCTACAGCCTAGGTGCATTTCATGTTAAACTTACTTGACTTTCCCTTTCCACATCTCTTGGGCTTGAGGATGGAGGTATAAATGGTGTTGAATCGTACCTGATATAAGCGGCCTGCAGTCCCGAGTAGAAGAGCAGCGGAATCAGCAGCAGCAGCTTGCGATCAAAGAGCAGCTGCCACGCGTTCCTCCCCTCCCCATCCTTGCTCCCCCCGCCGCCCACCGTCACAACCATCCGTCTCGAGCTCACAGACCTAGACAAAGATCGCCGCCCGGACACCGCAGAAGCGGACAAGGAACGCTGCCGTGAGTGGGACGGCGCAGAGGATCGGGACATGCTGCGGGAGAGAGACGGGACGTGGAACGAAGCTATGGTCCGGCCGGACCTAGAGTTGATGGTCAGGCTGGAGGATGACCTGCTCAGTCTCGGAGGGGCAGAAGCCAGGTTCGGACCGAGCCTGGGCGTTTGGCTCGGGATGGTGGCTCGGCGGGAGGAGGAAATGAAAGAAGAGTGGTTGGCGAAGGATGAGACTGAGCGGAGAGAGCGGGTTTGCTGAGAGGTGCAGTGCGGTTGGGGTGGGTTGCCTGTATGAGCGGATATCATGCCAGGGGAGGAGTCGTCAGTTATCCCTGCAACTCCTACAACCGCACTCCCCTCCTCACACTGCCCATTCTCCCTCATCTGCTCCCCCTCTCCCTCACCCCCCTCCTCAACCACGTCTGACAGTATCGCTCGCATGTGGTGCTTCACCTTCTTCCCACCCCTCCCTCCCCTTTCTCCCTCCTCCTCATCACTTTCTTCCTCCCCCTCTTCCTCCTCATCTTCCTCCCCCCCCTCCTCCTCCACCACCTCTTCCATCTCCTCCCAATCAACGGTGAAGATTGAAAGCGCCCTGCTGGATGAAATCGACGGACAGGGAGCCAGCGCGGCGGCTGGGCGCTTCAAGTTCAGGGTAGCGTCGTCCACGTGGCAGTCTTCTATTGGCTTGAGATCACGGAGGAGCCAGGAGAGAACGGAGCCTATAGCGAGGCAGATGCAAAGGACTATAATGAGTATGGTGACGGTGGTAGGAGGAAGGGAGGAGGACGAGGAGGAAGAGGAGTAGGAGAGTTGTGAGACGGTGAAAGTGATTGCATTCCCGATAACTTGATTAATGGCGAATATTCCGCCAAAAAGGGCGCTGAATTCGGTAACCACGGCATCCATAGGCTTGTTGTAACGCTTACTGTAGACACCCGCGGCAGCAACGAGGTACACTCCCTGCGTTACAAAAACGAGGACGCATGTACAGGGGATGTTGCTAAAGGCCCCAGTAGAAAATTTGTGAAGGCAGGCGTGAGGAAATATGAAAGAGTTGCATTCAAGCCATTCAGGTGCTGGATTAATGAGAAAAGTTTGATGAAGTAAGAGGCCATAGAGGGATTTCTTGAAAGCAGCCATGAGATCAGAATCAGATTACACACTCGCGTGCCCGCACACACACGCAGGGCGTACCGCCTGCGCGCGCGCACACACACACACGCGTGTGCGCCCGCACAAGCACATACTAATAATACAAGACAAAGCGTGAGAGAGTGAGAGCGCACCTGAGCCACCCAGACGACGGACCAGCAGACTCCGAGGTAGCACGACGCGAGCAGAAGCAGCCACCTGCCACGTGATGCACGCGATGAGGCGGGACGGGGTTTGGGGTACTAGGGGCAATGAGAAGGCGCTGAAGAGAGTATCTTGTGACGACGAGTCTTGAGGAGAGGAAAAACGGACTTGAAGAGCATCTAGAGCGTCTCCCTTTGCAATCCCGTCCCGGCTCTGGCCCACCGTCATGCACAGTCAAGTTGAATATTCTTAGATCGAAAGAAAAGAAGACACACTACCCACGCACTCTATGGTGAACGCGTTGGACCCGATAAAGGCCCAGAACCCCGTCTGCGCGACGAGGATGGCGGCGCGCGCGCGCCAGAAGCGGATAGGGAAGGGCGCGAGCGGCGCGGAGACGACGATGACGGCGTAGAGCACGCCCATGGAGAGCGCGCCGATGTTGCTCGCGCCGTGGATGCTCGTCGCGACGTTCTGCAGCGCGTTGAACGCAACGAAGAAGAAGAGAAACGCCGTGCTCATTAGCAGTATGTCGCGCCGCGACCACACCCACCGCCACACCCGCGCCGCGGACGCCCGTGCTGCTCCGTCGCCGCCGTCGTCGCCGCCTTTAGAATAGTCGCCGAATTCTGACAACGCTGAGGGCCCGGTCGCCTCGGTGGGCGACGCGCTCGCTTGAGTCGCATTCGGCGTCGCATCCGTCGCCGTACTGCTGTCGGAGATTTGGATTTTTCGCCACCCGAAGCTCCAGCTGCCGCCTCGGCTGGGGAACCACCGCAGAAGGTTCCTCGCGGCGCCTGCGGCCGAGTCGGTGCCATTCTCGCCGCCATTCTCCTCGTCGACTCGATGTTGCTCACTGGACATGCTGACGGGCTAGATGGTCGTGACGTTGGGAGTCACGGTAAGTCGCAATTGCAAAACTACCCCTTGAGATAGCCGGCTACCTTTTCCGTAGGGCGTTTTACGCCGACAGCATGCTGGATTTACTTTTGAGAATTCTCAACAGGACGATGCTACCTGCAGCGCCATAATTCCGCACCCCGAGCGTCGCGATCTGCTCTCAAAGAGAGACCAGACTGTAAAAAATCCTGAAATCGGAATGTTCTCAGAGAGACTGTACCTTCTGAGAATTCTCAATAGCGAATATGTGACCTGCTGACTTTAGAGAGCGAACAGTAGTGGCTTAACCAGAGCATCAGAAAGATGTACTCAGCATTTATTTCGGAATTCTACGAGAGACCGTGAAAATTGTGACCTGTCTTGTCTTGCCCTCCTAGAAAGGACTTTCGAGGCGCCTCAAAAGCCTTCCCAGTGAGCGATTAGCGGCTCTGATCAGAGCATCTCAGTTGACAGAGCCGCTAATCGGCATCGACATAAGCTACACGGTTGTCTTAATCCATCCGATCGTAGTGCGTTGCCAAGCGTGGCTCGAGACACGGTAACTGTTCAACCAGAAGTCAAATAGCTGGCTACTGATAAGGAGCTGCCGTTGCACAGCTGTCCGTTGAGGGGCTAGCTAGGTGGCCCAAGTTGCGTTTTGACTCGACCCAAAACGCACATAAGCTAGTCCAGCGCTTGCTACTGATAAGGAGCTCGTTGAGGAGCTAGCTGGCCCTAGTTGCGCAGGACCAGACCAGGTCTGATGTGTCCGAGTAGAGAACTCCTCGGCCTGGTAAAATAGAGAATCCCTCGGCCTTTTCTCCAGAATCTGCTGCCATATGGAATTCGTGTCACCCAGCAACGGGTGAGGGAAGAAATGAATCTGGCAGTGGGCGGTGGAAGGTGGGTGTGGGAGGGAGGGAAGATAGGTGGGGTTGATGCTGCATCTTCCTGGTCGCAAAGGAAGTGAGGAATTTATGGCCTGGCATGGGAAAGCGCACAGATTTAGGATCTGGTTTTATGAGTCGCGTTTCGCTTCGGGCATTTATGATGGGACTGATATTCAGGACAGGACGTTAAGCCTTATGCTTACTATCGGACTGGGACTGTGCTGTTTGGGACTTCGGCTCTTCCTAAACAGCCAGGAACTTTGGTAAGCCTTATGGACACAGCACTCTAGCACTTAATCTGTAAAGCTCGCCGGCATAAGTGCTTTGTACCTATTTTTTGTTTGCAAAACGGGCGATTTAGTGCGCTTGGAATATGGAACACCACCGATGCGGCGTGTAAAGTCGCGACGCGAGTCGACCCGAGACGCCCAACTTCCACACATCGGTTCGGGTCGGAGCTGGTCCGAGCCAGAGGCCTTAGTCAACTGACAACAGTGCTGTCCACTCACTTGAAGCGCTTGTCAATCCCTAATCAGCTGAACGGAAATTCCCTCGCACGCGCCTTCGGTGGATTGACGTAACGACACGGGACTGGAACCGACTCCAACAGAAAGAAACTGGTCAAACGCCCTCTACAGTGTTTGAAAAGCAAAATGCGATATAGCACAAAACCTGACAATAAAATTCTCTTTACTCATCCAACGCCTGACCTACCGTACTATGCTGTTGAAAACAATGGGGTGGGCATCTGCACTAAAAGCATGTATTGCACAGGCATTCACCATCTGGCAACATCCGCTACTTGGGGTATGCGAATGTGGTGCATAAAACACACGGCATGAGATCTTGTATCTTGTAGCTGGCAGCCTGCCACGAACCCCTAAACCACCAAGTTGGTGTCAGGAAAATTGGCGCGCAAATACAGGTTCGTGATTGGACAATGTTCCGAAAATGTCATTTCAATGCCACCAAATCCGTGTCGCGCGCGCTTCGGGCAAAATGTTGGTGGCATGCGGTTTTCCCGCATGCCACCAACAGTGCCTGCTACAGTGGCCCTGCCACCACCCAGGGATACACCCTGAGAGGACTTTCGGCTTTAAGTGCCATCCCAGCCATCCAGAAGGTTGACCTGCAACCACAAAGAACCAGAAGAACGAGGGTTATGCAATAACAGAAACCACGGTACCTGCTTCAAAAGTGGCTCTCCAGGCAAAATCACATGCGACACTCCTTGCCGCCCACTCAGCCCCCATCCCCAACAGTCTTCCAACACTGAACCTGGAACCCCATCCCCCAGCCTCCACCCTTAGTACTCTCAAAATCCCCTTGAGCCTTACCACAACCAGCCTCGAATCGCATGACACACTCCAAAACCCTCCCCTCGCGACACAACCAGACCGGAAGGCCCTCCGCTCACCGCAATTCTGGGAAGCGTTTCTCGCAAGGGGTCCGCCCGGCGCATCTCCTTGAGCTGCTCTATTCCGCCCTCCACTCTCCCCCGCACCATCTGGTGCCGCCAGGGATGGTGGGAATAGCGGGATAGGAAAGACGGCAGGGGTGGTGGGGGAATGGCAGAGTGGTGGGTGAAATGGCAGGGTCAGTTGGAGAAATGGCGGGGGTGGAAGAGAGAGAGCAAGAGAGCAACATACATGGCAGGAAACCAGCATTGGGAATCATGTGGCACGAGGAGAGGCCACCGTATCTTGAATCTTTTATTGCACGCCTCCGTATCGTGCACGATGCTGCGATCAAGGCCGTCGGTACGGATGGGGTCGAATAAGAGGAAGCAGAGGCGCTGGGGGCGCAGCGAGCGAGGTAGCAGTGGAGATCGGGAGACGGAGCAACGCACCTGGTCGATCTGACTGCACGCCTCCTTGTCGCGTATGATGGTGGGGTCAAGGCCGTCAGTGCGGATGGGGTGGGAGAAGAGGAAGCAGAGGCGATGGGGGCGCGGCAGCAGACAACCCAGCCAGTCAGGGGGGATTGCATGCAGACAGGCAAGGAGGGCGACCCACTGAACTGACCCACCTGGTAGATCCTGCTGCACTCCTCCTTGTCTCGTATGATCGTGGGGTCAAGCCCGTCCGTGCGGATGGGGTCAGAGAAGAGGAAGTAGAGGCGCTGGGGGCGCGGCAACAGGCCGGCATTGGAGGCGAGGGGGAAGGGGGGCGACTGCATGCCCGTGGCCTGCAGTGCTGGCTTCAGCCAGGGGCCAATGGGAGAGGACATAATTTCCCTGAGATCAGGCAGGGGAGGAGCAGAGAGAGGAGACGTGGGGAGGGTTGGGAAGGGGAGGAAAGAATAAGGGGGCTGTGAGGAGGCGAGGGGGAAGGGGACCGTCTGCATGCTCGTGGCCTGTAGTGCTGGCTTCAACCAGGGGCCGATGGGAGAGAACATGATCTCGCTGTAAGGTCAGGGGTGGAGGGGAGCAGAGAGGGGGGAGGTGGGGAGGGGTGGGAAGGGGAGGAGAAAATAAGGGGGTTGTAAGAAGCCCAGCATTGGAGGCGAGGGGGAAGGGCACTGTCTGCATGCCGGTGGCTTGTAGTGCTGGCGTCAACCAGGGGCCGATGGGAGAGGACACTATATCCCTGTGGGTTGAGGAGTAACGGGGAAGAGGGGGGCCGGTGAAGGAGGAGAGTTTAAGGGGAATGTGAGAAGGTCGGCATAGAGGCGAAAGCAAAGGTATGCGTGCATGCTAGATGGGGGAGTGTGGCAATATGGTGGCTCGATCGTGCTGGTTGGAATTGTTAACAGGAATGGAGTGTTGGCCCCGCCCTCGCTTGGGCAACGCCGACGACTTGGTCGGATGTACGGGAGTAGCAACCGACCGTTCACAGTGGGAGAGCTGCTCGACAGGCTTCGTCGAGCTGCAGGGGACCGCTGTGGTGTTGCTGTCGACTAGGGAGCTCGACAGCTGCAACTGACTGGTCTGGGCGACGGGTGGGACGTCGACCAGGACCTACAGTTCGACCGGGAGGTCGACGGAGCAGTCCGTCGACCTGACAAGTGAGCAGCGGTCGACGAGGGGAGCTCGGCGACAACCGCTGATGGTTCTGGTCGAGGGAAGGGGTCCGTCGACCAGGGGGTAGCTCGACGGGAGTTGTGGTCGACCAGAGGAACCTGGTGGTCGACCGGAAGCACCTGGTGGTCGACCGGGTCGACCGGGTAACCTGCTCAACGAGTTCTGCGGAGGCACGCGAACGTCGTCGAGGCTGCGATGGCGCAGGCGACTACGTGCTGGTATCTCGGAGTCGATATGGCTCGTCAGGCGCAGACAACAGCCGACGAATGCCCAATGAGGCAAGTCGGGCCAATCGTCTGCGCACACCTGTGAGCGTGCACACTGCTATGTTCTACGGGGCAACGCTGAACAGCCACTCTGCTGCAGCGTTGGCACACCATCGACCTGCTCCGTTGGCAGGTCACCTTTCTACAGTGCTGGCGCGGCTCCTCTACGCAACTCTGGCAGGCGATCGGCTGAGCTGTGCTGGCGGTCGACCAGGCTAGCAGCAGGGTTGCTGGGTGCCTGATGTAGTCATTCTTGTCATCTCTTGTGGAATCATTTTGGACTACCAACTTGGCTAGTGGAAACTCTTGCCAATTTCTCCCGTGAATGTGCAAGCACTAAGGAACCAAGCAAAACTACGATCACCTCTAGTAGTTCGTGCCAACCCCCGTAGTCTAGCTCACTACCGTTGTAGAGTGAATCTTCGCAGGAGTCAAGTGGCACCTGAATGGTATATGTGTCAAATGCGTTCTCCACACTCAGTGGCCACTGAACCATTCACTCAGGGTCCATGAGCACGTCAAATGCGTCCTCCACTCCGTTAGTAGAAGAGAACAGCACGATGGTGGCACCACAGCGCACCGCACCGCACCGCACCGCACCAGATGCTTCCCCCCCCGCCCATGCAAGCCACTCACTCAGGATGCATGAGCACGTCAAATGCGTCCTCCACTCCAATGGTGGAAAACGGCAGGATGGGTGGAGCCACAGCGCACGGCAATGCACACAAAGTCGGTGGTGTCTGGCTGTGCGCACATAATATGGAAAGGCAGAGCACACATCATGGTTTTTGAGAATTCTCAAGAACCAGCTACACCATGGTATGGCAAGGCACTCGAGGCACTCACTCGGGGTCCATGAGCACGTCAAATGCGTCTTCCACCCCGATAGTAGAAAACGGCACGATGGTGGCACCACAGCGCACTGCGATGCGCACAAAGTCAGTCGTATCGCGCCAGAACAGCTTGTACTTCTCGTTCTTCCGCTTCCCCACCTCCCTGCCGCCCCCCGGGTACAGCAGCAAGTTCTCCCCCTCCCTCAGCAGCTGGTAGCATGCTCGGGGGGATACCTGCAGCGAGTGGGGAGGGTTTGAGCAGGACAGGGATTGGGAGGGTTTGAGCAGGACACGGATTGGGAGGGTGGGGTTGTGAGAACTGAAAGGTCTCCTCCCTGCCGCCACCCGGGTATAGTAGCAAATTCTCCCCCTCCCTCAGGAGCTGGTACCACACGCGAGGGGACACCTGCAGCATGATGAGAGGGAGGGAGGAGCATAAGTCAGTGCGACAACTGAAAGGTCACTTCCCTCCTCCCCCCATTCCTCCCGGGTACAACAGTATGCTCTCCCACTCCCTCAGGAGCTGGTAGCACGCGCGAGGGGACATCTGCGGCATGATGAGAGGGAGGGAGGAGGGTAGGTCAGTGGTGTCGTGCCAAAACAGCCTTTTTCAGTCATGTGCAGCTTGTTCTTCCCTTTTATACCACTCACCTTCTCTTTTATACCACTCACCTTCTCTTTTATACCACTCACCTTCCCTTTTATACCACTCACCTTCTCTTTTATACCACTCACCTTCCTTTTTATACCACTCACCTTCTCTTTTATACCACTCACCTTCCCTTTTATACCACTCACCTTCTCTTTTATACCACTCACCTTCCCTTTTATACCACTCACCTTCTCTTTTCTTCCCTTTTATACCACTCACCTTCTCTGTTCTTCCCTTTTATACCACTCACCTTCTCTTTTCTTCCCTTTTATACCACTCACCTTCCCTTTTCTTCCCTTTTATACCACTCACCTTCCCTTTTCTTCCCTTTTATACCACTCACCTTCTCTTTTCTTCCCTTTTATACCACTCACCTTCTCTGTTCTTCCCTTTTATACCACTCACCTTCTCTTTTCTTCCCTTTTATACCACTCACCTTCTCTTTTCTTCCCTTTTATACCACTCACCTTCTCTTTTCTTCCCTTTTATACCACTCACCTTCTCTTTTCTTCCCTTTTATACCACTCACCTTCTCTTTTCTTCCCTTTTATACCACTCACCTTCTCTGTTCTTCCCTTTTATACCACTCACCTTCTCTTTTCTTCCCTTTTATACCACTCACCTTCTCTTTTCTTCCCTTTTATACCACTCACCTTCTCTTTTCTTCCCTTTTATACCACTCACCTTCTCTTTTCTTCCCTTTTATACCACTCACCTTCTCTGTTCTTCCCTTTTATACCACTCACCTTCTCTTTTCTTCCCTTTTATACCACTCACCTTCTCTTTTCTTCCCTTTTATACCACTCACCTTCTCTTTTCTTCCCTTTTATACCACTCACCTTCTCTGTTCTTCCCTTTTATACCACTCACCTTCTCTTTTCTTCCCTTTTATACCACTCACCTTCTCTTTTCTTCCCTTTTATACCACTCACCTTCTCTTTTCTTCCCTTTTATACCACTCACCTTCTCTTTTCTTCCCTTTTATACCACTCACCTTCCCTTTTCTTCCCTTTTATACCACTCACCTTCCCTTTTCTTCCCTTTTATACCACTCACCTTCCCTTTTCTTCCCTTTTATACCACTCACCTTCTCTGTTCTTCCCTTTTATACCACTCACCTTCTCTTTTCTTCCCTTTTATACCACTCACCTTCCCTTTTCTTCCCTTTTATACCACTCACCTTCCCTTTTCTTCCCTTTTATACCACTCACCTTCTCTTTTCTTCCCTTTTATACCACTCACCTTCTCTGTTCTTCCCTTTTATACCACTCACCTTCTCTTTTCTTCCCTTTTATACCACTCACCTTCTCTTTTCTTCCCTTTTATACCACTCACCTTCTCTTTTCTTCCCTTTTATACCACTCACCTTCTCTTTTCTTCCCTTTTATACCACTCACCTTCTCTTTTCTTCCCTTTTATACCACTCACCTTCTCTGTTCTTCCCTTTTATACCACTCACCTTCTCTTTTCTTCCCTTTTATACCACTCACCTTCTCTTTTCTTCCCTTTTATACCACTCACCTTCTCTTTTCTTCCCTTTTATACCACTCACCTTCTCTTTTCTTCCCTTTTATACCACTCACCTTCTCTGTTCTTCCCTTTTATACCACTCACCTTCTCTTTTCTTCCCTTTTATACCACTCACCTTCTCTTTTCTTCCCTTTTATACCACTCACCTTCTCTTTTCTTCCCTTTTATACCACTCACCTTCTCTGTTCTTCCCTTTTATACCACTCACCTTCTCTTTTCTTCCCTTTTATACCACTCACCTTCTCTTTTCTTCCCTTTTATACCACTCACCTTCTCTTTTCTTCCCTTTTATACCACTCACCTTCTCTTTTCTTCCCTTTTATACCACTCACCTTCTCTTTTCTTCCCTTTTATACCACTCACCTTCTCTTTTCTTCCCTTTTATACCACTCACCTTCCCTTTTCTTCCCTTTTATACCACTCACCTTCCCTTTTCTTCCCTTTTATACCACTCACCTTCCTTTTCTTCCCTTTTATACCACTCACCTTCCCTTTTCTTCCCTTTTATACCACTCACCTTCCCTTTTCTTCCCTTTTATACCACTCACCTTCCCTTTTCTTCCCTTTTATACCACTCACCTTCCCTTTTCTTCCCTTTTATACCACTCACCTTCCCTTTTCTTCCCTTTTATACCACTCACCTTCCCTTTTCTTCCCTTTTATACCACTCGCCTTCCCTTTTCTTCCCTTTTATACCACTCACCTTGCCTTTTCTTCCCTTTTATACCACTCACCTTCTCTTTTCTTCCCTCAAAAGTCGTTGATGGTACGCCCAGAGGGTAGGTCAGTGGTGTTGTGCCAGAACAGCTTGTAATTCTCTCCACTTCACTTCCCCACCTCTCTCAACCCTGGCGATACAACCTGCCTTTACAACCACCACTCCCATCCCCGCCCCAACCCCCACCGTCTCACCCACACAGCACCGTCATTGGTGAACCGGTCTGCAAAGGGGCTCTGCCGATGCCGTCTATTCGCCTTCAACTACAGCATGCTAATCCCATCCCTATCCCCATCCCCATCCCCATCCCCATCCCCATCCCCATCCCCATCCCCATCCCCATTCCCATCACCATCCCCATCCCCATTCCCATCTCACCCGCACGGCGCCGTATTTGGTGAACTGGGCAGCAAAGGGCCCCTGCCAGTGGGTGGGCGCGCCCAGCCCTCTTAACGTGACTCCCGTGCGCATGTGAATGTCTCGGATCATGAGCGGCCTGGCAGGGAAGGGGAGGGGTGGAAGGAGGAGGCACTTAAACTGATGAATGGACGAAAACAGTGGATACTGCTGGAGGGGGGCGAGCAGCGCGCAGCCAGCCCTAAGAGAGTGAAACCCGCGAGCAGTGAGATGTAATATGAGGCGCCTCAAAATTCGAGTGACTTTTGAGAATTCTCAAAAGTCACTCGTACGCAGCCAGCCCTAAGAGAGTGAAACCCACGAGCAGTGAGATGTAATATGAGGCGCCTCAAAATTCGAGTGACTTTTGAGAATTCTCAAAAGTCACTCGTACGCAGCCAGCCCTAAGAGAGTGAAACCCGGGAGCAGTGAGATGTAATATGAGGCGTCTCAAAATTCGAGTGACTTTTGAGAATTCTCAAAAGTCACTCGTACGCAGCCAGCCCTAAGAGAGTGAAACCCGCGAGCAGTGAGATGTAATATGAGGCGCCTCAAAATGCGAGCAGCGCGCATGTGGATGCCTCGGATCATGTAAGGCATGTGAAATAAGACTGGTTTTGAGAGGCCTGCAGAGGGGTGGAAGGAGGAAGACTGCACATAGATGCATCTCCTGGCAGGCGAGAGAGACATGGATGGAGAGATGCAGGAGGTTGAAGAAGTGTTTTGAGACGTCTCAAAACACTTGTTCATTCTCATGGCAGGCAAGAGAGACATGGATGGAGAGATGCAGAAGCCACCCTGTACGACCCTAAACCCTACCCCACCTTCCCCCCACCTTTCAACACTCCCAAAAACGTGCATGGCATAAATACCGAAGATGGTGTGGTTGCCCACAAACAGCAGCCTGCCCGCCCGGAGGGTTGGTGCTCCCAGTGGCCTTGGATTCGAGTGACTTGCTCATCTTTTAAGATGGGCACCCAACCAAATCCCATTTCCCCCCTCTCCTTCCCAACCCTCTTCCCCACTTCCTCCTCAAACCCCCCCAACCCACATGTCATAGATGCCGAAGATGGTGTGGTTGCCCACAAACAGCAGCTTCCCCTCGTTGCGCGGAATCTTCTCCAACCCTGCCATGCGCCGCGGGGCGTGGAGGGTTGGCGGAAGGGGATGGGATGGGGGATGACATGGGACATGGGACATGGCATGGCATGGCATGGCATGGCATGGCATGGCATGGCATGGCATGACGAACAGCAGCTTCCCCTCGTTGCGCGAAATCTTTTCCAACCCTGCCATGAGGGTGGCGGGTGGGGGGATGGGGGGGCGGGGTGGGGATGAAATGAGTCAAACATGGCATGGTAACCAGCAGGCTGCCCTGGTGTTATGAGACGTCTGATAATAAAAGTGTTATGAGACGTCTGATAATAAAAGTGTTATGAGACGTCTGATAATAAAAGTGTTTTGAGATGCTCAAAACAAAGTGTTTTGAGACGTCTGATAATAAAAGTGTTTCGAGACTTCTCAAAACAAACATGGCATAGCATGGCATGGTAGCCAGCAGGCTGCCCTGGTTGCAAGGAATCTTTTCCAACCCTGCCATGCTGTGGTGTGGAGGGTGGGGGTTTGGGGAAAAGAGATGAATTGAGACGTTGCGTTGCATGGCATGCCATGGCATGGCATGGCACAGCACGGCACAGCACTGCGTGGCACACTATGCCGGTATTTCTCACCCATTCATGCACATGTCAACATAAAGGGGCCGTGCAACCCAGTTCCAGAGGCGAGGCGGTATTGAGGCATGTCATCCAGCATGCCGACCAATGGACCGGCTACACACATTGCTTTATTTCGCACAGTACAGCACACACACGGCACACACCACACGGCACACACCACACGGCACACACACACCACACGGCACGCAGCACACGGCACGCAGCACACGGCACACACCACACGGCACACACCACACGGCACACACACACCACACGGCACGCAGCACACGGCACGCAGCACACGGCACACACCACACGGCACACACCACACGGCACACACCACACGGCACACACCACACGGCACACACCACACGGCACACACCACACGGCACGCACCACACGGCATGCAGCACACCATGACCATATCACACACACACACCCACACGTACCAACATAGAGAGGCCCGGCCACCCAGTTCCAGAGGCGGTACTGAGGCATGTCATCCAGCATACCCTCCAGTGCTCGTCCCACCTCCCACACACCCACAGACTAGCCAAGCACAGACAGACACAGCACATTATTCCATGCAAACATACACACATACCAACATAGAGAGGCCGTGCGACCCAGTTCCAGAGGCGGTACTGCGGCATGTCATCCAGCATACCCTCCAGTGCCCGCCCCACCTCCCCTGCCGTCGCCCGCCCCTCCACCGACCCCATGTACCTCCCACCTTCCACTCCCCCTTCCCTTTTCCCTTCCCCTTTCGCTTCCACTTTTCCTTCCTTGCCTCCCTGCTGCTGCTCCTCTTTCCTCCTAGCCCTTGCTTCCCCCACCACACTCCCCACGCCGCTCCGTTGCATTGCTTTCTCTGTGGATGAAGCAGCAGCAGTGGCAGTGACAGAGCCAGCGGCATTATTACCAGGTTTCGCACCAGCTCCTGTCCCCTTATTAACAGCTCCGATACTGGAACTACCATTTGTGGCACTAGTAGAACTGGGGAGTGCAGCTCCATTAGCTGCATCAGGAGCACCAGAACGCGCAGCTGCAGCAGCAGAACAGGCACCACCACCACCACTGCCCTCTGCACCCCTCTCTGCATGCCCGTTATTAGCACGCACAGAACGGGAGGCAGCAGATGTTGTAGCTTTGGACTGGGGTGGGGAACCCAAAGCGGACTGAGAGGAGAGAGAATCAGGTGCAGCTTGAGAGGCAGAGGCAGCTTCAGAAGCAGAGGCAGCTTGAGGGAACATGCGATCAGCCCATGCGGCATCCCCTTTACCCTTCATCATCTCATAGTACCCATCCAGCCTCAAACCACGCTTGGCCTTGTTGACTTGCTCCCCTTGATTCCCTTGCAGTCCCTCCCGTTGTCTTTCCTTCCCTCCTCCCTGCCTCTCACCTCTACCCTCATCCTCCTTCCGCACCACATCATTCTCTACCCACAAGCTCTTCCGCACTCCCTCCTCTCCTCTGCCCTCTTCCCTCCTCCCCTTGCTCCACTCCCGTAAACTCCTCACTATCCCTCCTTTTCCACCTCCCCCTCCCACAACCCCTCTAGTTTCCACTCTCCCCTTCTCCATCCCCTTCCAAACCTCCGCCGAACCCCCGTCCTTCCGAGCCTGGGCCGCCCGAACCTGAGACCATTCCCGAAGCACCACCTCTCCCTGCGCCTCCTCCCGCTTCCGAGAAACTTCCACCCACACATCTCCTCCATTCTCCCCCCCTTCAGCTTCTATCCCAGCATCTCCTATCTCTGCTCTTGCCACCGCTTCAGGTTCTGCTCCAACTGTTGCTCCTGCCGCTGCTGCTGCTGGCACCGCTGCTGTTTCTGCTGCCACCGCTCTTGCCACTGCCACTGTTGCCGCTGCTGTTGACTTCGCCACTGCTGCTACTGTTTCCGCTGCCACTGCTGCTGCTGGCACCGCTGATGCTTCTGCTGCCACCACTCTTGCCGCTGCCACAGCGGCTGCTGCTGTAGTCGTTGCCACGGCCGCTGCTGTTTCTGCCGCCAATGCGGTTGCCGTTGCCAGTGCAGCAGACGCAGAAAGAGAAATCGCTTCCTCTTGGATGAAAGCAGCACCAGGAGCAGCAGCAGCATCATCAGGGCCTGTGATTGGTTCAGCATCCGTGGCAGCAGAGCCGGCCAGTCCAAGCACAGCAGCCACGTCAGCATCATCCCAGTCCTTCCCCTCCATGCTAAACTCCCCCTCCTCACTGCTGTACCCTGCTGCACCCTCCACTCCACCTGAAATTTCACCTGAACTTTTGCCTGCCCCACTTGATGCTGTGCTGCCACCCATGCTGCCAATACTCATCTCCCCCATCGTAGACTCATGGAACCCTGTAGACGTGATTCGGCTTGCACTGTCCGCTGCAGGTTCCGCAGCATACAGAGCACTGCCGGTGCTGTTGCTGCCGCCGCTGCTGCCTCTGCTAGCTGCATTGCTGCTCCTTTGAGCATGCACTGCCGACCCATCCTCGCTATTAGCTGGCTCATCACCCTCGCTAAAAGCAAGCTCGTGCTCGTCGTCAGAGGGAGGGACAGGGTCGAGAGGGAAGGCAGCAGAGGGCAGCAGCACCCCACTCTCCTGCAGAATGTCCTGCAGAGAAACGCCCGCCTGATGAATGGGGGGAGGAAGAGGGGATATGGTTGTGGGCATGCGTGGCCGGGGCATGAGAGGGAAGGCAGCAGAGGGCAGCAGAGGGCAGCAACACCCCACTCTCCTGCAGAATGTCCCGCAGAGAAACGCCCGCCTGATGGGACAGGTGACAGGGGGAGGGATGTCAGAGAAAAGATCACCATCTGCTGTGTGTGCCGCTCATCTCTCGCAGAGCACTGTGGCTTGAGACGGGCTTTAAGACGTCTAAAAGACTCACCTCTAGCAGGGCAGTGTGGCCGGAGAAAGGCAGAATCTTGATGCGGCACGACGGGATGCACGTCGCTAGCCCGTATGCCTCCTCCACTGATGGTATCAGCCGGTCCTCCCCGCTGCACGCATGCAATGGGTGGGTGTGGTTTAAATGGGTCAAAATGGGTGAGGACAAGGGGTTGAACTTCATTTCCTAGTCGGCTCAGACATCACGATGGGACGCACAAGGGACGCATGTGGCCAGCCCGCCCGTATGCCTCCTCCACTGATGGTATCAGCCGGTCCTCGCCACTGCATGCAATGCACGCTTTTAGATGGCTTAAGATGGGAGTCAGGATGGGTCAAGATGGGTCAAGATGGGTAGTCTACTCTACTCCCACCTGGCAATCAGCAGGGTGCTGGCTGTCATGGACTGCAGCATGGCATCGGACGGCTGTAGCAGTGCATTGGACAGCACTGGGAAGCACTGTAGCTGTAGCATACCTGGCAATGAGCAGAGTGCTGGCTGTGATGGACTGTAGCATGGCATCTGACGGCTGTAGCGCTGCCATCATGGCAACTCGGCGCGCCACTGTTGCTGCTGGAAGCACCGTCGTGCTGGTGAGGTGGGGGTGACAAGGGAAAAGGGTGAATGGGTGAATGGGTGAATGGGTGAATGGGTGAATGGGTGAATGGGCGAATGGGTGAATGGGTGAATGGGTGAAAGGTGAATGGGTGAATGGGTGAATGGGTGAATGGGTGAAAGGTGAATGGGTGAATGGGTGAATGGGTGAATGGGTGAAAGGTGAATGGATGAATGGGTGAATGGGTGAATGGGTGAAAGGTGAATGGGTGAATGGGTGAATGGGTGAATGGGTGAATGGGTGAATGGGTGAATGGGTGCATGGGTGCATGTGAAGGGTAAGGAGGGACATGAGGAGCAGGAAACGCACCTGAAGGGCGGGGTGATGAGGGTCCTTTCTCGCTCCCCCAGGCTGTCCCAATCAGAGAGGAGAGGTGCAAGGGCCAAGGAGGAGAGCTGCGCTAGGGCAGGAATGTCAGGTGCAAAGGGTGCCTGGGATGGGGTTGGGGATGAGAGATGGTGGGTGGAGTTGAGGAAATTTGGGAAGAGAGGCGCGCGGGCGAAGGGGGAGAGCAGTGTTAAAAAAGTGAGGCAGACAACGGTGGGGATGGGTTTGGACAGGAATGGGATGACATGGACAGGTGCAAGCAAGGGGTGCCTGGGATAGGGATGGCAAGGGCGGAGTGCTCCTGGGTGGAAGGGTCCCGGCCCACAAGGAAAGGAACGCTCCGAGGTGGAAGGTACGCAAGAACCGAGAAATCTAAGTAGTACAGATAGACTGCAGACCTAGTGGCGTTTTACTATCTATCTTGTGCTTTAAGCTCGACTAGGTCTGCTGCGCGCTGAGAATACAATGTCACAAGGAACGTTTCCGAGGTGGAAGGTACGCAAGAACCGAGACCATTCTTCTTCGGCGGATTGTTTTTGAGAATTCTCAAGAACAAAGTCGGCCTGCCTTGCCTTTCTTCTTCTGACAAGTCTCACCAGCAAGGCTCCGAGCTGAAGGGCTGGCTGGCGGCGAAAGCCACTGGCACTGCGAGAGGAGACGAGGTGTGATGGGATGGGAGATGCAGGTGGGGTTGGGAAGGGATGTGAGAAGAGATGTGTGTTCCGGGTGCATGGGGTTGCATGGTGGTCACACAGAAACGCACACACACTCACACACACGCGCGCGCGCGCGCACACACACACACGCACAAACGCATGCACGCACGCACGCACACACCCATGCGCACACACACACACACACACACACACACACACACACACACCCACACACCCACACACCCACGCAAACCCTCACACACAAACCCACACAACCCACACACCCACGCACCCACAGACCCATGCACTCACGGCCCCATCCACCAACACACACCTGTTGCAGATGACGAGGTGTGCAACCAGGCTAGCATGGGAGGCAGAGAGGGAGAGCGCCACCCCAGCTCCAAACGACTCTGCAACCACCGTCACTGCTGCTGCCGCTTCTGCTTCTTCTGGTGCGGGTGTGCTCGTCCCTCGCGGCATCTCATCATCCGAGGCATATCTCACGGCTCCCACACCCATGGCGGCTTGGGCGAGGGTACTGGCGCTTCTTAGGTCATTTTCGCGCTGAATGAGCTCCGCCACTCTGCCGAGGAGAGAGATAGGGGAAAGGGAGGGAAGGGAGGGGGGGGGGGGGGGGGGGGGGGGGGTTGGAGAGCAAGGAAAGAGGCGGGTAGTTGCAGTGAGTTGTGTGAGAGGCCTACAGAGCAACAGAGCATCGTACAGGGCCGGGCGAACCAAGCAATGCCGCTAGGTGATGCCATATCACACACTCAAAGGACAAGCAGTGAGAGCACGTACAGCTGGGCGAGCTGGCCATAGGTGGAAGTGTCAGCAGCCGGGATGCAGAGGCAACGCACGTCGAAGCACGGCTTTAAGCCCTCCAGATGGCGCTCCAAGAACACGCCCTGGAAGGTGGGTGTGGGGTGGATGGAGGGCGGGAGGAAGCATTGCAGGGTCAAGGCCGCCAGGTGTCACTCCAGGAACACGCTCTGGTGGTTGGGTGGGTGATGCACGACGAGGCGGCGCCTTTTCAGTTGACACAGAAGAAGCCAAGGGAGGGGCAATGGAGCGCCAGCTGCCTTTTGTGTTGAGACAAGAGGAAGAGAGGGACGTAAAGAGAATGCCACATGGACAAGTGCTCCAGGAATACGCCCTGGGGGATGGGGGGGAGGGGTGGGTGGGGGATGAACGAACCGTATCGTAAGGAAGGGAAGGGCCAGAGAATGGGACAAGTCGGTGGGGCGCGTACCCCTTTCACTTCGCCACCCACCACCTCCTCTCACTGTCCAGTCTAACCCCCGCACGTACACGAGCAGCCGCAAAACCCTATCCCCGAAATCCTGAACCCGCACCTTACTTCACCATCTACCACCCCCTCTCACCGTGCCGTCCAGCCCGGGAAGATACACGAGCAGTGGCAGCTCGCGCCACGAAACCCTGAACCCTACACCTCGTACCCATTCCACTAGACCCTACCACCTCTCACCGTGCCGTCCAGCCCGGGAAGATGCACGAGCAGTGGCAGCTCGCGCCACGAAACCCTGAACCCTACACCTCGTACCCATTCCACTAGACCCTACCACCTCTCACCGTGCCGTCCAGCCCGGGAAGATACACGAGCAGCGGCAGCTCGCGTCGCACGCCGCACGGCGCCAGGAATCGCGGGCCGTCCGTCACGCGGCTCGCCTCCAGCGCCACCTGCACCAGATCGAGCCCGCTCACGTCCCACATCAGCCGCGCCGCGTCCCCGGTTGAACCAGAATCGTTATTAGCAGCCCCGTTATAGTCGTTCTCGTTACTGACGCGCGGCCGTTTGTCGGAAGCATCGTCCGTGGCTGTAGCACCAGCCCTTTCATCCACCGGCCCATCGCGGTCCCCGCTCCCCCCTTCCGCGCTGCGAGTCGCGTCAATTCGACCGTTACGCCTCGATACGACAGACCGTCTCGCTCTAAACGGCCTCGCTAAAAGCAGAGGTATCGCGGCTGCAAAGGGCCTTGTTACTACAGGATTGTTCGCGCTTGTTCCAATAACGAGGCTGCCAGTAACGAGATGCGATCGTCTTCCCGCAATAGGAGCATTCCACGGCGGAATAAACAGAGAGATAACGGAGACCGACAGTTGAATTGCTGAGGGGCTCGCTGGCGTACGTCCTCGTCTGTCAAATTGACGGAAAACGTCTCCGCTAGACGGTCGTCCTTTGTTACAAGCAATGCCAGCAGGTCCAATCGCGGAACGTTGCGAGAGAAACGGCGAGCTGACTAGCGACGGCGACGGTAGAATCGACTGCGATGATAAGATTTTAGCACCATTGGGAGGGACAAATCGTTCCCGTCGCGATGAATTCTGACGAGAAACCAGCTGCGTGAGAGAAGCCGCGCATGTCGGCGCACGAGCCGCATCCATGGCCGCCCTAGTGATCTGGGGACTGATCAGTTCCACGCTGTTTATTATTTTCCCCGCTTATCAACGACGCGTTATGAAGCTGGTCCGATTTAGTACTCAGTATTAGGTTCAGCTGTTTTCGAATCGTGTACTCGGAAGAATACAATTACACAAAAAGAACAAGCTTGTTTTATTTCCAACAATACATTCTAAAAAGGCATGCTACATCACGCACTCAGCACCCTATCCCCTTCATAAGCACACACGCACACACACTTCCCAATTCTGGCAACCAGAAAATATATGCGCCATTTATCCTTCTTCCTACACCAGCCCTCTCCCCATTGCGGCGTTGAGATTCGCCCCCAATGCCACGTAAGAATCTTAGGAATCACCCTGTCAGGTCCGGCAGCCAATCAAGTGCCTCCAGCCCTCCCTGCTCTGCCAGCCACGCTGCCGCCTCCACCAGCAACTCGTCCTCCCCCATGCCGCTCATGCCCACGCCGCCCACACCGCCCATGCCGCCCATGCCGGCCAAGCCATCAAGCCCCACGCTAAGAGTGCGAGTGCATTGCACCATGGGGGTCTGTGAACCAGCAGTACCACCAGCAGTACCAGCAGCAGCGGCACCAGCGGCGGCGGCAGCGGCAGCAGTGGTAGGAATTGCAGGGCTCGAATCAACACCAGAGGCACACACATAATTGCAGGCCATGCCCATGAAATCTCGGGTGTGACTCATGCTGGCATGAATATGAGCAGCCTGAGCTGCCTGCGCAGGTGGCACCTGGTGCAACTGGTGCAGGTGCGCAGCAGCACTGCCTGCATGCTGCTCATGGCTAGAAATAAGGTTCGTGAAGTGGTTGGCGACGGGAGGGAGAGAGGCGATGGGAGGGAGAGCGGCGATAGGAGGGAGAGAGGCGACGGGACGACGCACGCTAGTGGGGGAAGTGTTAGGAGGAGTGGTGAAAGAAGGCGATGCTAGCTGCGGTTGCATTGCTAGCTGAGAGGGCTGAATCTGTGCTGGCATCTCCATCACAACAGCCTCTGGCTTCGCTTGCCCTGCAGACTGAACACGCCCTTGGACCGCAGCTTCGGTCCTCAACTGAAGCACCATTGGCTGCTGCTGCTGCTGCACTTGCTGCTGCTGCTGCTGCTGCTGCTCCTGCTGCTGCCTCTGCCCTTGGGATTTCCGGCACTCACACTGACAGCACGGGGTTTCAAGGTTAGGCAGCACAAGAGCGGCCGGCGACACTGCAGCGGGCGGCGATGCAGCGGCGGGCGGCGGCACTGGAGCGGGCGGCAGCTCAGGAGCGAGAGGCTGCGGCAGCGCATGGGGCGACATGCAATGCGGCACTGCTGCTGTTGCTGCTGCTGTTGCTACTGTCGCTGATGTTGCTGCTGCTTGGTATGGGGTGTGGGCAGAGATAGGGAGCAGCAGAGGCGACAGGAAAGGAAGCGCCTGGTTGTACGCAACGGCAGGTGCAACAGAGGTGGCTTGAGCTTCAAGGGGGGCCCACAGCTGCCGCTGCGCCGATCGTTCCGCTTCCACTGCAATGCTTTCGGTGGTCTGGAAAGGCACTGCTGCTGCTGCTGCTGCATGCGGTGCCTTATCCGGTGCTACTGATGTGGCTGGAGTTTGGAACGCTGCTGCAGCAGCATCAGACGGTGCCCGATACTGTCCTGCTTCTCTGACTCGCTGCGAGCCCTGCAGCAGCTGACGTGGCACCATATCCTCCAGCAGCCCCTGCAGCTGACGTGGCGCTGAGTCATCAAACTGGTCACCAGCCGCCACGTGTGCTTCTGCATTGGTCGCGCTGCTCCTGCTCATAGACCACCCGTAACCGCCAATGCCGCCACCCGCTACCGGGGAAGCCACAACAGCTGCACCCACATCAGTGGCGCTGCCGGTTCCGCTCGTAGGCCGCCCGTAACAATCACCGCTGCCCGCCACAGGGGTAGGCACAAGAGCCGCACCCGCATCAGTGGCGCTGCCGCTTCTGCTCATAGGCCGCCCGGAGTTACCACCGCCGCCCGCCACGTCGCGCCAGCTGTCGTTCCTCTCGCCAGTGCTGCTGATCGGGTTGCTGCCGTCACCGTGGGGGCTTGACAAGAGGTCAGCGCGGGAGAGATTGGCACGGAGCACAGAGAGCAGCAGAGATTGCGAGTCCGCAGGGGCACTTACTGGGGCGTAAAGAGGGGCGTGTAATGGGGTGTTGAATTGGGGGTCATGTAAAGCGGCGTTTGGAGGGGAAGTGGCTGCAAGGGCAGCTGAGGATGGAAATGGGGGGACCATGGGAGCGGCACTGGCATGAAGAGCACCGCAACCAGCGGCATCAATGGCTCCTGCAGTTTCGGCAGCAGCGGAAGCAGGAGGAGCATCGCAGGCAGCAGGGTTGGCAGCAGCGGACAGGTGAGCGACGCGAGCAGGTTACGAGGCTGCTGCTGCTGCTTCGGTTGCCATTGCTGCTGCAGCTGCTGCAGTTGGTGCTGCTCCTGCTGTGGTTGTTGTGGCTGCAACTGCTGCGGCTGTGGTTGCTGCTGCAGTGTTTGCTGCTGCGGTAGTTGCCATTGCTGCTGTTGCTGTTGCTGCTGCTGCAACTGCCATTGCTGCTGTTGCGGCTGCTGCTGCTGCTGTTGCCATTGCTGCTGTTGCGGCTGCTGCTGCTGCTGTTGCCATTGCTGCTGTTGCGGCTGCTGCTGCTGCTGTTGCCATTGCTGCTGTTGCCATTGCTGCAGCTTCAGCTGCTGCCGCAGCTGTTGCTGCTGTTGCTGCTCCAGCCGCGGTTGCTGCTGCTGCAGCAGCGGCTGCACCACAGTGCACCTCCCTGCATCCTTCCACCCCCCCTGGTCACCGCCTTTGCTCCACGGGGACTCACGGTCGGCCGGAGGAGAGAAGCTCACTTTGATCGGCCTGGGTGGCGTGAATGCGTGAGTCGCGACAGCAGAAGCGGGCGATGAGTGAGACGGGTGAGAGGCAGTGAGGGAGGCAGAGGACACTTGAGTTGCGGCAGACACGTGAGAGGAGGGAGAGGCGTGGGGGGCAGGAGAGGCGCGCGTCACACGAAAGCCCACCTGAATGGATAGCGGTTCAGGAGAGGCGCGCGTCACATGGAAACCCACACGAATGGATTGCGGTTCAGGGGATGGCTGGAGCCGGTGCGGGGGTTGGAACCGTTGAAAAGAGTCCAAGGTTGGGAAACTAAATCCCTGAGAGGCATAGCGGGCGCGGGGAGCATGAGTGGGCAAGCACGGTTCTGACATCAAGGAAGGGTCGTCTTCGTGCGATCGTTTGCCCAGAGAGGTGGTAGTGGGAGAGCGCTGCTGGGTTAGGTAGCACGGTGCGGAATTGGACTGCAGTACCGCTTTGCACTCCTCTTGCTGCTGCTGCTGCTGCTGCTGCTGCTGCTGTGGACGAGGCTGCTGTTGATGCTGTTGCGGGGGCTGCATCTGCTGCTGCCAGGGATGTCCTGCTGCGTGCTGTGTTGCGTGCTGTGTTGCGTGCTGTGTTGTGTGCTGTGTTGTGTGCTGTGTTGCGTGCTGTGTTGCGTGCTGTGTTGTGTGCTGTGTTGTGTGCTGTGTTGTGTGCTGTGCTGTGTGCTGTGTTGTGTGCTGTGTTGCGTGCTGTGTTGCATGCTGTGTTGTGTGCTGTGTTGTGTGCTGTGTTGTGTGCTGTGTTGTGTGCTGTGTTGTGTGCTGTGTTGTGTGCTGTGTTGTGTGCTGTGTTGTGTGCTGTGTTGTGTGCTGTGTTGTGTGCTGTGTTGTGTGCTGTGTTGTGTGCTGTGTTGTGTGCTATGGTTGCGATGATGTGTGCGTTGCTGTCGGGAGTCGTAAAGGGCCAGGAGAACTCATGTTCCCCTGCTGTTGCCCTTGCTGCTGCCACTGCTGCTGCCCTTGCCCTTGCTGCAGTTGCTGCTGCTGCCCTTGCCCCTGCTGCTGCCATTGCTGCTGCCACTGCTGCTGCCACTGCTGCTGCCCTTGCTGTTGCTGCTGCTGCTGCTGCCCCTGCTGCATCTGCTGCTGCTGCCCCTGCCCTTGCTGCTGCTGCTGCATTTGCTGCATCTGATGCTGCTGCTGCATCTGCTGCTGCTGTTGCTGCCTCTGCTGTACGAAGTGCTGCAAATGCTGCTGCAACAAATGCTGCTGCTGCCGCGGCGGCGGCGGCTGCTGTTCACCCACAATCTCTGCTTTCGTTGCACTCTCCGCCCAAACCCCAACTAAACCAGCCGCAGCAGCAGCAACACCCGCATCCGGTATCTGACTGCAGTAAACACCCCCAGCGTGACAAGCTGCAGCAGCTGCATCACCTGGTAACCCCCCAAAGGGCGCAAACCGGAGCCCAATGGGTGGCTCACTGTGGTTGTGCGTGTTCAGGTACGTCACCCGGAAGAAAATGATCGACGCGGGCGGCCTGCCTGCCGCCCGGAAGTGCGCGGCTGGGTCGAAACCGGGCGGCAGCTGTGACGGGTGGGTGGCAGGAGTGAGGGGTAGTAGCTGCCAGTCGACCCGCTTGCGAGCCGGACAGGGATGGAAGACGGTGGGAGGAGCGGCGGCTGTTGAGGTGCCAGCTTCATCAGCATCATCATCATCATCAGCAGCAGCAGCATCAGCATCAGCCTTGGGATGAGGTGGAGTGTCAGCATCAGAAGCTGCACCGACAGCAGAAGCTGCGCCAGCATCAGCAGCAGCCACAGCAGCCGCAGCAGCAACTGCAGCAGCCGCAACAGGCTGGTCAACTGAGTCTGTTCGAGTTGCTGGCGTTGCTGCCGTTGTTGGCGCCATTGGCGTTGCTGGCGTTGCAGGCGTTGCCTCTTGCATGGAGAGTGATGTTGGTGTTGCTGCCGGCGTTGCCGGTGGCGCTGCTGCTGCTGCTGCTGCTGCTGCTGCTGCTGCTGCTGCTGCTGCTGATGCGGTGGGTGACGACGCCGCTCCTGCTTCATCCTGGCGAGTGTCCGCACCGACAGGCAGAGGTTGGCACGTGGACCGTGCACAGCGGAAGTACGACCTGTGGTAGGGGGAGAGCAAGGGCAGGAGGGTGGGGTGGCCAGGGGATAGTAGGAGACGCTGAGATCACAGGGGAGTGAGAGCTGGCGGAGGGAGGCACGTGGCGCGCCGACCCGAGGGCGGGGAGAGCAGGACGGCTAAGGGAGGAGGAAATGGGGTTGTGGAGCAGGGGGGCGGAAGGAGACGATGAGGAGTTGACGTGGGGGTGGGAACCTAAGGAGTGACAACGGGGTGGGTGGGGGTGACGGCACTTGTAGCAAGTGAAGGGACGAAAAGGAGTGGTGCATTGTTTGCCAGCCAGAAGAAATCTGGCTCCAAATCTCACTGATGCTCACCTGTTGCAAGCTGACTTGACGAGCCGCTTCTCGCCGTACTTGAGCCAGCAGTGCGCGTCCTATGGCATCACGTCCTGCGGAACGCGCCTCAGCTGCTCCGCGTCCACCGCTGCCCAATGCAGGAACAGCGCCCACGCGGGGGCGCCACTGGCTCCCGGATTAGCCCCCGCCCCCACGTGACAGCCGCAGCTTGCTGCGGGAATCGCGGCAGATGAGAGCTGCTGCGTAGACCCCTGAGGCTGCCTTGGCGCGCTTATCATGCTGCTGGCGCCAGTGCTGCTGGTGGTGTTGTTGCTTGTGGTGCTAGCAGCAAGGGTGGGAGTGGGAGTGGCCCCAGTGGCCCCAGTGTGCTTGCTGCTGCTGCTGGGTGTCATGATGATCGTGCCCGTCAGGTAATCCACAGCCATAAAACGCCCTAGTAAACGGTTGACTATAGTAGTAGACGAGACAGGCAATGCGGGCCGGATCAGAGTGTCACAGACTGGATCAGAGTCCTAGCAGGCACGTTTGGATCTTTGGGTTTCACGGGCTGTTTGGCGTTCGAAGGCCACACGAGGACGCTTAGAATGCTCAATAGTAGTTGTACGGATAATATCGTACTCCTGTTATCCCTGGTTTGCAAGCGGCGGCGCTGCGGCTTTGTGAAACGGGAGTGGCTAGCCGCGTGACCTCCTCTGGTGGGGAAAGAGGCGGTAGTAGCAGTAGCTCCAACTTACGTAGAGAAGTGGCGGAAACGCGGCGCCTGATCGAGCAGAAACCGCGTGGTTCTACTCCTGGCTTCTTGCAGAGTCAAACCGCAGCGGCAAGTCAAGTTAGCAAGTAGCTGCTGCCGCGTCAAGTATTCTCAAATCGCGGGGCTAGACAGCCAATCAAACAGAAACCGCATGGTACACGTCCTCCTAGCCTCTCGCAGAAGCTGAATCTGGAAGAGTTTGACGAGCAGCAAGCTGAGTGCTGCCCCGTCACGTATTCTCACACGCGGAGCGCCCGGCCTTGACGAATAGAGCAGTGATTAGACAGAAACCGCGTTCTACATCAACCAGAAGGGAGCGGCTCTATTCATAGTAATCCGTGGTCAGACAGAAAGGCTCAGGAGTCCTGAGAATATCGTGTTTGCTCGCTTCAAGAAACCCATAAATCAGCCAGACAGTCAGCCCTTGTGAGCCAGCTACCCGCGACGTTCGGTACAGTGGTTGACTGGTAATGCTACCCGCGATGCTCAATACAGTGGTTGACTGGCAATGCTACTCGCGATGCTCGCCGGACATGATCCCGGTGTAGCAAAACAATAAGCCCGCCATGCCCACAGTGGCGTGGCACGTCATGATGATTCGTTCTTACACCAGCCGCTGGCTAGTGGTTCATCATCAGCCTGATGAGGCAACTTGTCGACAAGACCGTGTACGTAACACGAGCACGCGGCAGCTGCTCGACCAAATTCAACTACAGTACAGTTCTACAGTATTACCGGATCTCACAAATTTCTTGCCAAACGCCGAAGATCTCAAGGTCAGGAGCGATAATTGGGGGAGAAAGAGGAGGGAGATCGAAAGCGAGAATGGAGTATGAGATGAGACCCTTTTCTAGTACATGCACCAGATAAGGGTCTCATACTGTATGACGAAATCTGTTTCTGAGTGCGTGTGTGTGTCTGTACGCGGTATGAGTTTGAGGTGAGGAGGAGGATTGGCTGGAGGGAGTTGTACGCTATAGAGGACATGCTGCCGCGGGGATTCACTAACGCGTCACTAGCCCCAGCGGGCATGCCACCTCAGACGTAAAGCGAAGTCAGACTTCGTTAATCGAAACTGGAGTGGGTCACGGGTGGGACTGGGCGGCCGGGGCGGCAATACAGGGTACTGCCGCGCACTCCAATGGGTACATTGCTTCTCGATGCTGTCGAGGCGCGAAGCCATAAAGCGACGAAGCATGTCAGGAATCCTCCCTCTCTTCTTTCTCTCCAGAGTAACAAATTCTGCTCTACATCACAAAAAATGACTCTGGCGAAAGGGAGAAGGGGAAGGAGGCCCGGGGACTCCTCGGAGGAGTAGGGGAGAGGAGGTGGAACAGGGTGGGGGGGAAGTCGCGGAAAAGCCAACGGGAGGAACTGGGGTTCGGAAATATCGAGGGGCTGGCATTGATGGGCGTGATGCCCTTCGGTTCGGTGCCGCCGCCATGCCAAACACACAGCTTCGGCTTGAGGCAGCGTGCGGCATGGCTCGAATGATATGCGGGCGGTTTAACCCGCCTCCCGTCCCGTCAGTTGATGGCAGCTCAAATCGAAGGCCAGTACACTACTTACAGCGAATCAAGAAACGAATCATTATTAATTGAACGTCGGACAAATCGGTGCATGCCAGATTCAGGTCCCCGTTGAGCAACTCAACAGCGGCAGCAGCGGCAGCACACCCGCGCGCCCCTCCATCCCGCTGACCAGCACTGTGCTTTCTATTGAGGCAAGCGACCAAGAGTCCAAGTTTTGCAACGGATCTAGGCGCGGGCGGTAGATTCGCGTAGATAAAAAGAGGACAAATTAGGGAAGTCAAAGTCAGAGAATGACGATGTCAAAAGTCACTGCATCAGAATCAAGCACGTATGCTGGTTTTGCGACTATAGCGGCGGGAGCTAGCTGTATGCGCAGCTGGATTGGCTAGTGACAGCAACAGATGGTTAAAGCCCGAGGTCAGCATGGTAAAATATCAAGTTATGTGGGTTTGAAATGGTGTTGGCGAAACTTTGAAAACAAGAATTTCGGCAAAGTCAGTGTAGCGAGAAAAAGATGGGTTGACGAAGGGGAAAGGAGTCTCGCCAAACGTGACGTGATGGTGAACGATACTGTGCAGCTTTGCAAAGCAAAGAGCTGCGACTGGAATGAGCGTCGCTAGGGTTGTTGGCCAGCCAATCAGGATCAAGTAGGGGAGAATGTCCTCGCACAATCCTACTTCCAGCAAAAACGATAACAGAAAGCACCAACCACCCCAGAAGGAAACACCACGATCGAACAAGCTAACCACTTCACGTGTGAAATAACCGCAGTGGCTAACCACAACAGAGAGTTCAAACATAGCTGACGTGCCAGAACTTGTACATGTGGGGTCGATGGAAGGAGTGTTGATAAGAGGGCGAAACAGCGCGATATGGGAGTACTGCGACGACTCGACACGAAGACTGCGGAAGGCAGAGAGGGAGGGGAGAGGCGGAAGAAAAATTGCGTGGGCGGGAGAAATCGGTTCTGATTGCGCGATGGGAGAGCTGTCCGCTGGCGCAACTTGCGGCAGACGCAACACCGGACGGCGGGGGAGAGGAGCAGATACTGGGGGTGGAGGGGGAAAAGGGGGGAAAGAAAATCGGGGGCTTGGCGTGCGACAGGAGAGATGCTCCGCTTGTGACGTGATCTGCGGCAGGCGCATTGGCGCGCTGCCGCTCCTCATCGCGCAGGCGTGCGCTGCTCACGGATATAGCGGAATAACGCACGGAAGGGGATAACGCGCGGAAGGGGAAATCGCGCGGAAGGGGATGAGGCACGGGAAGGGATGACGCGCGGAAGGGGATGAGGCGCGGAAGGGGATGAGGCGCGGAAGGGGATGACGAGGAAAGAGATGAGGCGCGAATTCCCTGATTCCCCTCCTTTCCCCCCTTCCTTCGCCTCCTTTCCTCCCTTGCTTCCCCTCCTTTTCCCCCCTGCTTCCCCTCCTTTCCACTCCTGCTTCCCCTCCTTTCCTCCCCTGATTGCCCTCCTTTCCCCCCTTCCTTCTCCTCCTTTCCCCCCTTGCTTCCCCTCCTTTAATTCCCTGCTTCCCCTCCTTTAATTCCCTGCTTCCCCTCCTTTAATTCCCTGCTTCCCCTCCTTTAATTCCCTGCTTCCCCTCCTTTAATTCCCTGCTTCCCCTCCTTTAATTCCCTGCTTCCCCTCCTTTGCCCCCTTGCGTCCCCTCCTTTCCCTCCCTGCTCCCTCTTTTCCCTTCCTGCTCCCTCTTTTCCCTCCCTGCTCCCTCTCCTTTCCCCCCTTGCTTGCCGTCCTTTCCCCCCCTTCCTTCCCCTCCTTTCCCCCCCTGCTCCCCCTCCATTCTCCCCTTTCTTCCCCTCCTTTCCCCCCCTGCTTCCCCTCCTTTCTCCCTCTCCTCTCCTTCATTTTCCCCAGCTGCTTGCCGCTGTTCCTCTCCTCCCTTCCCTCTCCTCCCTCGTCCAATCCCCTCCCTCCCCTCTCCTCCCTCGTCCAATCTCCTCCCCTCCCTCCCCCATCTTCCCTATCCCCCGGAATCCTTCTCTCCCCTTTTCTCCTCCACCCCCTCTTCCTATCTCCTCCTCCTCTTCCCCTCTCCTATCCCCTCGTTTACCCCCCCCCCCCTAGCCCCTTGCTTCTCCCATGCTAGCCCCCTGCTTCTCCCATGCTAGCCCCCTGCTTCTCCCATGCTAGCCCCCTGCTTCTCCCATGCTAGCCCCCTCTTCCCTCCCTTCTAGCCCCTTGTTCCCTCCCTCGTCCAATCTCCTCACTTGCACCCTTCCTCTCTTCCGCACTCCCCCCTTACCTCTCTGTCCCGCCTTTCCTCCCTTGCTTCCCCTCATTTACTTTACCCCTTTTCTTCCCCTCATTTTCCCCCCTGCTTCCCCTCATTTCCCCCGCTGCTGCCACTCATTTCCCTCCCTGCTTCACCTCATTTCCCTCCCCACTTTCCCTGTTTGTACCCTCCTGGTTCCCCTCATTTCCCCCCCTGCTTCCCCTCATTCCGCCCCCCACCTCCCCTCATTTCCCCCGCTGCTGCCCCTCATTTCCCTCCCTGCTCCTCATCATTTCCCTCCCTGCTTTCCCTGTTTGTACCTGCTTCCCCTCATTTCCGCCACTGCTGCCCCTCATTTCCTTCCCTGCTTCTCATTATTTCCCTCCCTGCTTTCCCTGTTTGCACCTGCTTCCCCTCATTTCCCCCGCTGCTTCCCCTCATTTCTACCCCTGCTTCTCCTCAATTCCCCCCTCTGCTTCCCTGGACTTCCCAATCTGTTTCCCCTCGTTTCCCCTCCTGCTTCCCCTCATTCCCCCCCCTGCTTCCCCTCATTCCCCCCCCCACCTCCCCTCATTTCCCCCGCTGCTGCCCCTCCCAAACCCTCGTGTTGTCTCCCTCTTCCTCGCTATTGCAGTGACTACACTGAAGATTTTTCTGATATTGCAACTCGCCTCAGCCCATCATCCCATGCCATGCTCGAAGAGAAACCAGTTCCCCTCATGTTTTTTTCAGGGCCTTGAGAAAGGTACAATCAATAGCGTCTATGCATTTTGGAAGATTATATTGCACTGCAGAAACAATAGTACATATTGTGCCTTTGGCATGGATATCTCCAACAGTATTCTGATATCATGCTTGCATACAACACACAAGAAACAGGCGGTGGTATGGTGTAAATCATCGACTAG